TCGTCGCTTGTATCAATTGTTTAACCAAGGTAAAAAAAGTCGTTATTTTACAGTATGTTTCGTGTTTTTATCCGGAGAAAGAGTCATCAGAGATGTCACTGAAACAGAGACATTGCTTCTTGTGTGCAGCTTGTGGGTAGGCTCTCGCAAGAGGAATTAATGGATCAATTGTCGTCTTTTTTGCCTGCGGTTTTTGAAGCATTTGGGAACCAGAGCGCTGATGTTCGCAAGGTAAACAAGTCGAAATCAAAAAGCTTCAGAAACTTTAACTATTCTATTCATACCAATAACTTGTTCTCAGTTTCTTTTTTTATAATCAGTTTGGAACCCTTAGATTATATTTTAGGAAATCGGACAAGATTTGTGTGATCTTCAAAATTGATGGGGTTTGTGTTTGTTGCAGACGGTGGTGTTCTGTCTGGTAGACATATATATAATGCTTGGGAAAGCATTTTTGCCGTTTTTAGAAGGACTAAACAGCACGCAGGTTCGTCTAGTGACCATCTACGCAAACCGGATATCTCAGGCTAGAACCGGAGCCCCTATGGACACAAACACCTGACGACCCGGTTCTGCTCATTGTTGGTTCATTGGTTTTCTCTTGTGTCTTGGGGGTTAATATAATTCATCACTGTTCATTTTGTATATTGGTGTGTGTGTGTGTGTGTCTCGTGTTTAATTTTTTTTGGGATATGTTTGGTGTATTTTTGCAAGTTGGGGTTTTTCATTTAGTTATAGTGTGCTTGCGATCTTACATAGGGGGAGGGAATGTGTTGTTACTGCTTTTCTCTTGTACGACCAACAAAAATATTGTCTTCTACATTTTTTTAAAAAAAAAATTAGCTTCTGATGATTAATTACCTTATTATATGTCTTATGTGAGTATGATATGTGAAAAAACTGAATCTTGAATCTTATATATAATTAGGGAGTTGCTCTCTTCATATAATTAGGGAGTTGCTCTCTCCATATAGATGTCCACATCAGCACAAAAAATTCATTAAATTGTTTTTAAGATATTTAATACATGACTTTTCATATTTCTTTGCATATATTTATATTTTAAATATAAATAAAACTAAGAAAAATACACAACTAAATTACTTAATTAATATAAAATATGTGATAACTTGATGTTAAAATTTATCAAAAAGTTTGAATTAAGTAAAAATATATGTAACTTGAAATGGTATATATTTACCTTTTTATTAAAAGAATTTATCCTATTTCAAAATGTTATAATGTGTTTACAAGTTAAAAAGTTGAATATAAATTAATTAAGATAATAAAAAGCCAATGAGAAATTAGAGTTAGAGTTTATTTAAAAAAAATAGAAGTCGAGTTTTTATATGTAAATTTAATTGCAGTGAAAAACATGAAAATTTTAAGGATTGTGATATGTTTGTCTCAAAATATAATTAATATTTACAAAACTAACATAATAGAAAATAATCAATGGTTATGAGGCTCATATGCTACCACAACAAAGTAGATATGTAAAAAAGTATATATATTATTTTTTTCATCTTATTTCGGGTCCAAATGCTATTTTACATTATGCTTACAAATTTTAACGTTGAGTCCAATGCATATGCATGTTTATAGTCTAACAGAAGTAAACAAACATAATATTTATAACATGCTAAAATTTTAGAAATAGAAAACTCGAGATAAAGTGGGAGTGTTAACATCCTAATAAAATAAAATAAAAGACAAATTGTTCATATTTTTAATGTTAGTGATTGGGTTAACTCAAAACATAAACAAAAAACATGAAAGTTAATACAAAACCATCATAATTCAAATCAACAAGTATAGATAAAACTAAACAGAAAACTATCGCAAATAACCCGCGCGCGGGGCTTCAAACCTAGTAAGTGATAATGACTATCTAGGAGTGCCACTCAGGTCTTGGAAAATAGGTTTCATTTGGTATCTAACCATAATTCGGTTTGGATTTTGGATTCTATACAATAAGTTATATCCGAAATCAAATTATGTTTAACTTTCAAGAATTTTTTCCAAAAGAAAGTTTTAATTGATTTTGCCAGTACCAATCTCACCAAAATTAACTTTTAATTTCTTACATACCAACGTAAGTCATTTGTTTTATAATTTGATGAATCAGAAGCTGTATAATTAATCGGATATAGTCATATAGCAAAGTTGTTGACAAACAAACAAATAGCGAAATTGTCTGCTAATACCAAAATAAGATGAGGCTAAAATTAGCAAATAGATGAAGAAAATGTCTGGGGTGAACAAACAGAACAAAATATTGTAGAAAATATGTGGTTAACTGAATTTCTATTTTTTGTTCTTTCAAATATCAATTATTTCACAACCACAATTAACTTATAGACTAGGTTTTTTTGTGTGGGTTGTCCTTATTTAGAAAACCAAAAGCTTATATATACAACATTTAGATGTTTGAACGTAATATAAACATTTGTTCAAAAAAGAAGAAGAATAAATTAAAAAATGAGAAAAGCAGGCATGGCTAAAGGTGTAAATGTTTCTGACTTCATCATTGTCTTGATGATATTTTCGTTAATTTCAACAGGTAATATGTATATTATGACAATTGAATCTCATTAAAAATATTCAATTGTTGTTTTATTTAATTTAGTTTAATTTTAGTTAAAAAAATTGGATATAGTCATATAGCAAAGTTACAACCCATATAATTTAAAAATATATTAAGAAAATGTTTCTTTTGTTATATAAATACTTTTTATGTATTGATTATTAATTTAATAATTTTTCATTCTATTAAAATGCTATGACTAGGAGCAACACAAACAATGTCGCCTGAGCGTTGTGCGAGAACTTGTTGGGTGTCTCCCAACCCCTCTGGTCCCCCACCTGAAGTTTGCAACAAGCCTAATGGTAGCAACTTATGCAAACGTGCGTGTGAAACGTCAATCGTGGAACCATTTCTACATGGACAATGTTTACCATCAAAGAAAGCAAAAAAAACAGTTTGTTCGTGTAGTCCATGGAGTTTAAGTGAGTGCAAATTACGTTGTCCCAATAATTAAATACAAATAAGTGATTAATAATATGTAACCACGAAATAGTGAAATAAGATTTGTAAACTCTCTAGAAAACAAGATGGTGTTTCTTTTAAAAATTAAGGTATAATTGTTATAAAATAATAATGAATCAGTTTTTTTATTCTTAGCAAAATATCAGTTTACTTTATGTTATTTATCTGTTATTTTATACATTTTGTTTTGCTATACAAATGTAGTTTTGTAAACAACACAACACAAAAAAAAACAACACAAATTTTTCAATAGTTAAATACACAAAATAGTGAAATAAGATTTGTAAACTCTCTAGAAAATAAGAGGGTGTTTCTTTTTAAAATTAAGTTTTGTAAAAAGAAACACCCTTTGTTGTTCTGCTGATGTTCTTTCTAAACATTATAATTATAATTCAGTTAATTTGTGCAAGATTTATGTAACACCACCATCATGGTTGGTGAACTATTTGTATTGCCACTTTTACCGTATAATATAATTAGATGTTACAAAAAAAAATATTTATAAACTCTTTTTTTTTTAAAAAGAGGGGGTTTCTTTTTAAAATTAAGTTGATTGTTATACAAATAATAATTAATCACATTATTGTTTTTATTCTTAGCGAAATATCAATTTACTTACCGTTATTTTATACATTTGTTTCTTTGTCAATAGATCATGTTTTTGCAAATTGCTTAAACTAATATGTTTTTCCAGAACAAATAACTAATTTATGAGTACATAAAAAGAAAACTGAAAATAACTAACCACAAAAACATTTCTACAAAGAAAAAAAAATCATTTGATGTGGCGTCCATTTATGGGCCATGGCCCATGTAATATCACTTTCTCTGATGATGTTGGCCAACTGGGATTGCCGAAGGAAAAAAAACACCGCCTTCAATTCCCGGTCACGATTTGCGCCTTTTCCGATTCAACGCCGTCGACAGACTGAGCAAGGCGTAGCTTCTTCTGTGCTTGTGGCTCTCCCTGGACACTGATCGGGAAAGCTAAGTGTCATCTGTCTTCTCTTATCATGGTTTTGGTTTCGGTTTCTCTTGCATGTGATTTCGTTTTGGATTGTATGTGATTTTGTCTCTTGAGACTGTGACTTGAAAATCTATGCAATTGATTGTGTTTTTGTCCTCTTTAGACCTTGAAAATATAGCTTTTGTTTGTGTTTGGTTGAGATTGTTTGGTGCAAATGATTTGTGTTTTGATTTCTATGTGTTTGGTTGAGATTGTTTTGGGTGTATGTGTTTTCGATTTGGGAAGATGCAGAGACTGAGAGCGAGCTTAATTTTCATAAGGTTCTGTAAAAACTGTTTTCGAAAGGTTCTATTGCTCTCTTGCTCGTGTGCAAGTTTAGGTTTATGTTTGATCAACATTTAGATCTTATTTTTCATTGATCGAATCCATTATATTAACCTTGGTGGTATTATTATGATCTTATTGCAGCTTGAGTAGAGCTTCTTTCGTGTGAAAACTCTGACTTCTAGACATTCGAATATTGGTGTTGTGAATTTCATAGTTTAGTGACTGGTTGGTTCTACACACTTATTAACACATACAAGCAGGCTTGAATTTCTTTCCTCCGTATAAAACTTTTGGTTTCTTCTGGAATAATGTCAATGCTGTTCATCTTATATCAACCGAAGTAGCATAGCACCGGGTTTTTGATTCTTCATGTGACGGGTTTCTCTCCGGCGTCCTCTTCAGTCTTGAGGTATGAATATGATGGCGGGATATGGTTCGTGAATGGCAAGGGTAAGATCGGAATCGGTTACAAAGTAATGAAAGAGGAACAGGAATTTCAAACCGAACATTTAAAACACACTTGAAGTTACTTACCCATACCCCGTTTGAATTTATGAGAGGGTATGGCGATTACTGCTCTCTATACCTCTATAGGGTTTGTCGAAAACTGGATTTTCAGAAGATCTCTCTGTTTGTGTTTGAGAGTGAGAGGAGAGTATGGCGATGGGTTTGATACAGTGTCTTGTTTGGTTAATCTGCTTTCTGATTCGTGTCTCCTCTGAGTCTGATGATGTCAGTGTGTTGAAAGGTTGGGACTTGCTGTCGCCATCAACCAATCGGACGATTGTTTCTGCGGGCGGTGTATTCGAGCTTGGGTTCTTCAACCCTGACCCAAGCCGCGGGGAGCGTTGGTACGTCGGGATTTGGTACAAGAATATCCCTGAGGCTGGGAGAAGATACGTTTGGGTTGCCAACAGAGACAACCCTCTCAACAACTACAATGGAACACTCGGAATCTCTGGAGCAACACTCGTTATCCGGGACCCTTCTGATAACAACAGGATCGTGTGGTCAAGCACAAGTTTTGGTTCAGGGTCTCCGGTGGCAAAGCTGTTAGATAGCGGCAACTTTGTGCTGATGAATTCCAACGACGAAGATCCAGGTTAGTATTGGAGTTAGTTTGGTTACGACATTTGGTCTATCCAGTAACTAGTAAGAATGCTCTGCTTCTTTGGCGGCTTACTCTTTTGTTTTGTTTCTCAGGCGATATCTTGTGGCAGAGTTTCGATTACCCGACAGATACTTTACTGCCGGGGATGAAACTCGGATCTGATCCCGACGTCAATGAGAGAACCGCCCACATTAACCGAGTGTTAACCTCTTGGAAAAACGCTATAGATCCGTCGAGAGGGAATTATACTTTATCGCTTGAAAGACGAGATGAATCATGGGGCTTGTCAATCATGGGGAGTGGAAACAAGCGTATGTACTCGAGTGGCCCCTGGAATGGAGCCGCGTTTTTCAGACTTCCGAGACCTTCACCGAGGCGTCCAACACCAAAGGCGCCATGAGTTTCATGTACGTGGCTACAAACAACATGTCAATGCTAAAACTGACCTCCCTCGCACGGCTATATCAACTCTCTTGGAACCAGAGCAGAGGAGTGTGGGGCGTGGGATGGTTTGCAGATCTGGAATTTTGCGATCTGTACAACAACTGTGGGGATAACGCATACTGCGTAATGAAGTCCTTGGTATCCAAGGGGTGTGCCTGTATCCAAGGTTATGATCCGATTGGACCAAACATGACGAGTGGGGCCGGGTGCGTGAGGCAGACGTCTTTAACCTGTGGCTCCGACCAATTCGTGCCCCTTGTGAACATGAGTTTCCCGTATGCTCTCAACATTGTTCAGTTGGACTCTGTCAAAGACTTGCAAGGTTGCCGGATGGAGTGCATAAAGGACTGCAGGTGCGTTGCATTCTCCGTGTCCAGCAGCTTTCACTTCAACTCTTCCTCGTGTACTTATTGGATGGACAAGATACAAGATCTGCGTCAATACATGAACGAAAACGGTATCACTCTCCATGTGAAACTCAATGGTGAGAGTCACTCCCTCTCTCTCCCTCTCTCTCTTTCAAGTATTATTATGTCATATAAAGCAGCAGTTTTTGCTTTCTAGGGAAGAAGAAGAAGAAGAAGAAGACTGGATTGGCGATCGGTCTCTGTCTTGGACTCGCGGCCTTGTTTTTCCTCGGTTTGGCTTTCTATTGCTGCTGGAAAAAATGGAAGCACCAGACTCTTGTGGCGCGCGAGACTGAGCTTTCGGCTGTAAGGGAAAGCAGCGGAGGCCATACGGAGCTAATCGAGAATGCACCGCTCCCGCCTATGGAATTCGAAGCCATTCTACGAGCCACTGACAACTTCGCCATCGAAATCGGCGAGGGCGGATTCGGGAAAGTCTACAGGGTAAGGGCGTAAGGGCTTTGTGACGAGACTGGTTTGATCGGCTTTGTGGAATAGTCAAATTCCAAAGTTACATATATTATATGATTTAAACTGCTGCTTATTTGGACTGACTTGACTGCAGGGACGGCTGCCGGACGGTAGAGAAATCGCGGCGAAAAGGCTTTCTGACAGCTCAAACCAAGGCAGGGCCGAGTTCAAGACGGAGGTCATGCTTGCCGGAAACCTCCAGCACCTCAACCTTGTCAACCTTATTGGTTGGAGCACGCATGGGGACGAGATGGTGCTTGTGTATGAGCTGCTCCCAAATGGAAACCTCGAAACCCATCTCTTTGGTTTGTCTTGTCCTCCTCCTCCTCCTCCCAATTATGTTTTTTTCAAACAACATTTCTGACCAATCCAGTACTCTCTCTCTCTCTAGATCAAAGCTCCCGTGCGCTTACTTGGCAGATGAGATACGATATCATCAAGGGCACTGCTCGCGGTATGGCCTACCTACACCATGGGTCTCGATTTGTCACCGTCCATCGGGACCTCAAACCGTCAAATATATTGCTTGATGGAGATATGTTGCCAAAGATCTCGGACTTCGGGATGGCCCGAGTCGTCCAAAGGGACCAGAACCAAGACAACACGAGGCGTACCGTTGGGACTCAGTAAGTTTGTTTATAGATATATATATATATATATTATACACTCCTTTTTGTCTGTTTGTTTTTGAATGATAAAAGAAAGAAACCAATGCTTCAAGTCACCAATGACTATCTAAAGATAGCAAATAGAAGGAGATAATATGTGGTTACACATCAAAAATGATGGAGAAAATATGTGGTTAATTGGATTTCTATTATATCATCCATTTCTTAACCACAATTCATTTATGGACTACATTTCTTTTGTTTTCCTTTTCTTTATTTAGAAAACTCAAAAAACTATATATACAACAATTAGATGTTTGGATATAATATATCTTATTTAAAAAAAGAGAAAAATTAAAGAAAACAAACAAGAAATCAAAATGGTAAAAGGTGTAAATGTTGCTCACTTCGTAGCTATTTTGATGATATTCCTCTTAATTTCGATAGGTAATACATTTTATGCCAAAAATCTCTGCTTGTTTTTTATATTTAATTTTAATTTAGATTTATATATTTATTTATATGAAATTAATTTTTTTTTTACTTATTAGTTTCTAATTCCATTAAAATGATAGGAGAAATGAAAAATATAGACAGGCTACACAAGAAGAGCTATATAAGGTTCAATGTTGGCGTTTTCTACTAGCCCAATTTGCACCACACGAAATTTGTTCAAAGCATAATACTGGCGAATTATGCAAAAGTGCATGCAGAAAGAATATGCATGTATATGGACAATGTTTTCCCTCGAAAAAGATAATAGGAAAAGTTGATTGCATTTGTAGTTAAATTCTTCCGAAGGATTGTCAAACAAAATGTTGTTTTAGTTAAATATAAATAAATGATACATAATATGTAACCATGAAATAAATAAATCATATTTTAAAACTTTGAAGAAAATAAGAGTTTCATTTTTTTTTAAACTAAACTCTTATATTCCCAAATAAAATAATTAATCACACTGTCTTTTCTATTTTTATGAAAATATCAGTTTACCAATTTACTCTCTATTATTTTTCTTGAAAATCCTTTAAAAAAAAACTCTATTACTTTATATATTTTCATTTGCTATAAATGTATCACATGTTATTCTTAAAATTGCATTGGATTGGAATCTCCAATTATTTACCCTCTCGAGACATAGCACGATGAGACAGCGGGCAGCTTGTCTTTCCAAAGACATGCTTTTTCAATCATCAGATTCCCAAATTATTTTAAAAAAATGAAATGGAGTTTCACCAATAGAATTGCACCTAAACAATGGTGTGTAAAGTGTAATAATGATTTTCTCACTATTCACAAATTTTACTTCAGTAAATAAATTAAACTGCATATACAGTTCATATAATATTTTGTGAATTCTGGAACGCATCTCAATTAGTAAACATGTTGAATGCTCAGGGAGACACATAGGAGGTGTGGGCAAACGATTCCCCAACAACCGCCGAAATAATTTGCAGTTTTCCTAAATAAGAATATATTATAAAGTCAGATCCAAGTAATATGTACATTTAGTAATTGGCATATTTGGGTCCACCTTATCTTATACGATTACTATATTCGTATTAATATAGTATTATTATTTGCCTAGTATTGTAAAGATAGTCATGTCGCCATCAAACATCATTTTCGTCATCATTTTTTTTCTGTCATCAATTTCTACTTGTGATTTTTGTTGTCAATCATTTGATTTCTATCAGTTATTTAAATCAACATTACTAGTCTGTGATGTGTGTGATTCATTTGTCAAACCATGAGGTTTTTTTTCTTTCCCTCAAAGGTGAGACAATAGTTACTGATTTTAGTAATAGTATTTGCTATATGACCGCATCCATGATTAATAGTCTAACTGTTTACCCTAGTATTTTGAATTTGAACATATTAGGGTATTCGACAATATATATGAATTAGATTACGATTTAAGTATAGAGATCTTAAATTTTTAAAAGAGTGAAATTACTAAAAATAGATAGTGAGACAATAGTTACTGATTTTAGTAATAGTATTTGCTATATGACCGCATCCATGATTAATAGTCTAACTGTTTACCCTAGTATTTTGAATTTGAACATATTAGGGTATTCGACAATATATATGAATTAGATTACGATTTAAGTATAGAGATCTTAAATTTTTAAAAGAGTGAAATTACTAAAAATAGATAGTGATGTATGATGCATGTAGAGATTGTTGTAGACCTGAGCAAAACAAGTTGTTAGTAGAAGCTTTACTTAAAAATAAATAAATATCAAGTTCTTTTTTGGTCGGAAATAAATATCAAGTTATTAGTAGTGGTTCGTGCGACATTTTAAATTATTAGTAGTAGTGGTGATTACCTGAAAAAACATTGTCTTATGCAAATGATTAAGGTTTTAATTATTATTATTATTATGCTTATCGTCTCCTTAAACCCAACACACTAATTTAATATTTAAAATTACGATACAGTATTAATTAATACACTTAATCTGATGAAAAAAAGTTAACATACTAGTAATATAATGCAGACTTTTAAACTTTTATATTCCAAAAGCTACCAAAGCTGGTAAAGACTATCACCTAAACTATTATTTCTAACACTATTCGTTTCTAACTAATGTACAGTAATTTAAATATCCAGACGATATGACACAGTCACCTAAACTTGAATCTAACTGTTTAAGTTCCTACAAGATCATAATTTGGTATACAACATATAAAGTTGCATCCCATAGAAGAATTGAAATACAAAATCCAATATGTCTAGAAGGAGTATTAATTAATATCTACAGTCTAGAAGACCGAATAGAATAATACTGGAATGTCATTAGCAGGGAATATTAATTCACATCTATAGATGCAACAAGGTTTTAGCTACCAAAATAGCAAAACATTTTACCCAGTCTGATAAATCATTGAGGTTTCCAATGTAAACCCAACTTCAGTCATTGTCCCCACCAAAGTGAGTCCATATCTGGTCCTCTCTGTCTGTTTTTTTTTCTACTTGTATTATATCTTGACGTCTCTTGTTATAGGATTATATCTCGACGGTTTATTTACATCATCCCACGGTGCTATCACAAAAACATATAATTTCGTATCATTGATAAAGTTCATATATAGTGGATGATTGGTTGGATTGTAGCTATATATTAGTAATTGCTAATACAATGTGGGCTATATACGTATTTGCTATGGTTATAAATTTTTGGCTATAACTATTTAATGGTATGTACGTTCTAGAATAATGATTTATCATATCACAAAATATAATAAAAATACTATTTTATAACATAATTCATATTAAAATGTAGAACCTAGTAAATATACATATATATATATATAAAAGAAAAAAGAATTAGATTATATCTTTATTTTCAATCGAAAAAATTATAATTCAAATAAGAAAATATAATCTCAGATAAAGAAATGATTGTCATCTTAGTACGGATGAAGAAAAAAAGAAGAAGGAAGAGGAGGGTGATTTGTTCCTCTCCGTCAGCTACGATGATCTCACACATTTTGTTTTTTTTTTGTCAGAGGTTAAAAAATCGGCACAAGTTTCTATTCACACACATAAATTACAAAATAGAGAGATTGAAAATAAAGATATAAATTACTGTAAGAGTTAGTTGAGACACAGTAAATGAGATTTGCACAATGGAGACATCGAAGAGGCAACAAAAAAAAGAAGAAGAAGCTTATCACATTCTAAAAGCACGAAATTTCAGAACAAGATTCAGAAACCAAAAAGATCCCCAGAAATAAAGGCGATATGATTTTTTTTAAAAATAATCAATTTGAAGCATATCTATCCATCTCAGTCTAAAGTTAAATATAATCTGGGAAATAATATGTTTCTTCGGAGATTAGTAAGCTATCTCTAGGTACTAGTCACTCTTTTGGACCTTTCCTGGATTTGTGAGGATATAAATGAGAGAGATAACCAGAGAAACACTCTTCCAACAAAAAATAAAAACTGTTTTTTTTTTTCTTGAAAAGAAATGAACCATTTCGTTCCAGACTTTGACACCGAAGATGATTATGTCAACGTTAACCCTAATTCTTCTTCTTCATCATCTTTGAATCTTCCCAGAAAATCCACCATGTAAGCTCCTATTACTCTTCTGTTGAGAGTTTCTTCTGATTTTTTTTTTTTGGGATCTAATTTTTGGTTTTAAATATTTAGGGGGGAAGAAGATGATCTCATGGAGCTTCTATGGCACAACGGTCAAGTAGTTGTCCAAAATCAGAGGCTCGGCAACAACCCCAAGAAATCTTCTTCTTCTTCTCTCAAGCTTCACGGCGGAGGAGATGCTGCTCCGCCGCCTCCTCTGCAACAACAACAACAGCCGCAGCAGCCATTAGAGGAGAACCTTTTCATCCAGGAAGACGAAATGACTTCATGGCTTCAGTATCCTCTACGCGAGGATGATTTCTGCTCAGATCTTCTCTTCTCCGCCTCCGCATCTGCACCTAGTGCTCCGACGACGACTCAAGCCACCGCAGCGAGACCGCCTACACCGTCAGCGAGGCCGCCAATACCGTCGGAAAGGCCGGCGGTGCGGAATTTCATGAATTTCTCAAGGCTGAGAGGCAATTCCACCGGTCGATTTGAATCTGGACAGTCGCTTTCGAAGGCGATAGTGAGAGAATCGACACAAGTAAGCCCTACCGCCACACCGTCGGCGGCGGCGAACGAATCCGGTCTACCGGAGCGGACGGATGGCATAGACAGTAGTGGAGTGACGACGGTTAATTGCGGATCCAGCTCCGGCGTGGCGTACAATTTGGCAGCTCCCGGAAACAGTCGGAAGGGAAAAGCAGTGGCGACGGCGAGTGAAGTTCCCGGTGCTTGGTCTTCTGCAATGTCAAAGAGCGAAACCGAGCCGGTGATTGTACAACCAAAGACGGGGATTACGACCGCCGATGATAGGAAACGAAAAGAGAGAGAAGCCGCCATTGACGAGACCGAGGTGAGTCGAAACCACCACCGATCGAGTCCAAATTACGCTATCCTGCGCACATATGAACTCTCTGCGCATTTTAAAAATTTATTGGAAAAAAGTTAATCAACGTTTTCGGTGTGTTTGATCGAGTTGCAGGAAACAAAACAAGGACGTGGAGCAACAACAACAACATCTACCAAGAGATCTCGAGCTGCAGAAGTTCATAATCTCTCAGAAAGGGTCGGTTTTCGCTTTTTATTTATTTATATTCATAATCAATTTTCAGATGGATTATGAAGAATGTTGCAAATGTTTGGTAACAGAAACGGAGAGATAGGATCAACGAGAGGATGAAAGCTCTGCAGGAACTCATTCCTCGCTGCAACAAGGTCTGTCTCTTTCCTTGTCAACTTTTTCTGATTCGTTGCTGATTCGTTGCTGATTCTTTTTGATTCTCAGTCTGACAAAGCTTCAATGCTTGATGAAGCCATTGAGTACATGAAATCTCTCCAGCTTCAAATCCAGGTTCGTCTTATTCCTCTACTCTTGAGGCCTCTTTAAGTCTTTTAACGTGTCTTTTTCTTTACAAGTCCATGAAAATTTTATATACCTTTTCACATGAATGATGAATACTGAGAGTAATTAATGCAGATGATGTCAATGGGATGCGGAATGATGCCAATGATGTATGCTGGTATGCAACAATACATGCCTCACATGGCGATGGGGATGGGGATGGGGATGGGTATGAACGGACCTCCTCCTCCGTTCATGCCATTCCCCAACATGGTAGCAGCTCAAAGACCTTTGCCTCCACAAACTCATATGAGCAGTGTTTCTGATCCATCAAGAGTCTATCTGCCAAACCAGCAGTTTGATCCAACATCGAGCCAGCCTCAGTATCCACATTACATGGATCCGTATCAGCAGTTCCGCAGTATCCACCCGGCCCAGCAACCTCAGTTTCAGGTAATTGACTCTCTTTTTTTTTTTTTTTTTTTTTTTTTTGTTTCATTCACAAATGCTATGTAAAAAAAAACAATAACAAAAGCTCACAAAGGTCTTCTTGGCTTTGTTCTTGAAGAGTCAAGCAACATCGTACCCGAGCTCGAGCAGGGTAAGTAGTAGCAAGGAATCAGAGGATCATGGAAACCGCACAACAGGTTGATCTGTTTTCGCAACAATTTTGAGAAGTTGACAGAGAGTCCTAACATGTAAATCATCATATATCATATATCCCCAATCTCCTCTGTTTTCTGTTTTTGTTGTTTGTCTCTCGCTTCTCTCTTCCGGGCTGTACATACACATACACATACAGGAGGCAGAGGCTTAGGCGAAGAGAATCCTAGTATGAGAGACTTATAGGTTCATATTTAGACCCAATCACTATTCTTTTCTTGTCTCCTTTTAACTATTTTGAAGGATAACAAGTACTATTGATAAGTTACTTCTCCAAGTCAAAGTCAACCAAAGACTCCATGAGCATAACAACATATATAATCCTTGCCAAACATACATTGCTAAACTAAACCAAGGGCAAACATGATTGGCCACACCGAGAGTTTCTTTGAAGTTTATGTCATTTGACTAGAAGAAATTAATGTGTCGACAAACTAAGACAGCTGATTACGTTGACTTTCTTAGTGTTAATATACTTCGTCTGTGTAAATATTGTTGCTGACTGTGACTCCTTAGATAGCAATTTTGTATCATCATCTCCCATGTGTAACGTTTACATTACTGTAGCATTGACTAATTGTGAAAAATTCAAAATGGTAACCACAGATAATCCTACTGCAATACTATCACATGACATATGGAACTATCTACTACTAAAATTTGAGTACTGTAACTTCTTTATGGATCTACACTACTTGTAGATCACAAACACAGAGACACTGTTGAAAATGAAGTAAAAAATGGCTTCTTAACACAAATGCTTCTTTTTTACATTTTTCAGCTCTTTATAAAATATAAATGACTTATTAGACTGAGAAAAAATATATAATAAAAAAATGCAAAACAAATAGTAAAAAATGAAAATGGGAAGACGACAGAGAGCTACAAGTTGGAGGTAGCTTAACCACCTTTTGTGCACAGAAGAACAGTCGCCGGTGAAAAGTCTCATCCTTTTTGGGGATTTTCCCTCACCGCCGTCCAAATCTCCGTCCTTGTAGTCCACCGGTATTTCCTTCTTCTTTCTTCTTCTTCTCCGACGAGCTTTACCGCCTCGGTTTTCTCGGAGATACTTGCAATGGGAGACGAGAAGCCGCCGATTGTTATGGCCAATCGAGAAAGAGATCGAGAGCTTCTGATTCCCGTCGCTGATTCCGGCGAGAAAGACGACGGTTCTACTTCGAAACCGTCTTCCTCTTCTTCCTCTTCTTCGCATCAGGCCAGCCACGAGGTCTGTTTTCACCATTTTTTTCCTGATCTAGAAAGCTATGCCCTTCTTTCGCTTGCTCATTTCAAGATTCATGCCAAATCGACGGTAGAATTCGATTGATTTTAAGCTCGTGAGTTCCTTTAAGAGTTTAGTGTTGAGAGATGTGGCCGATTGTGTTCGCCCTTAGTTCCAAATCTGGATTTCCATCAATCACAAGAACACTTGCTTAGATAAGTTGGATAGTAGCCAAACAGTGATCTTGGTGGCTTTTGAGTAGGAATTTGAATTCCAAATGTTGTCCTTTATCCATGAATCTCGAGTTTGTTTGTGTGTGTTTATGGTGATTCACGGTGTCTGCCTCTATGCTCTGCAGACTTTAAGCTTGTTCATCAGGGGATGGGCGTCGAAGAAGTTCATGACTGGCTGGTCAGCATTTCTTTCTTTCGGATTATCATCATTCATAAACAAGAGTTGAAATTTGGCATTTGTGTTGATAGCTTTTAGTCTCAGTAGCTCTGTTTTTGTGCAGTGTTATCCTCCTTCCTATTGCGATTACGTTCTATATAACATGGTGGTTTATTCACTTTGTTGATGGATTCTTCTCTCCGATATATGCGCAACTCGGAATCAACATATTTGGTAAGCAGCTGCGTCGCGTGGCCCTTCTTTATCGAATTTGGTTTCTCACATGAGTGTGAGTCTGATTATTGGTTGTTTTTGCAGGGTTCGGTTTCTTGACTTCCATCGCATTCATCTTCTTGGTGGGTGTGTTCATGTCTTCGTGGTTGGGAGCATCGGTTTTGAACCTGGGAGAGTGGTTTATCAAGCGGATGCCATTTGTTCGTCACATCTACAACGCCTCCAAGCAAATCAGCACTGCCATATCTCCTGGTCTCACTTCAAAACATAAACTCATATTGCATCTTAACATTATATATGTTGATTGAAATATCCAATCTCAACCCTTTTTTTTTTGCTAGATCAAAATACACAAGCTTTCAAGGAAGTTGCAATCATCAGGCATCCACGCATTGGCGAATACGCATTTGGGTTTATCACATCGACTGTTGTTCTCCAGGTGAGTCAAAACGCTTACTTGAGGCCTCTCCCTAAGGATACAAAGGGCGTACATAATCTCAGATCTTCATTGCTTGCAGAATTACCCAACGGAGGAGGAACTTTGCTGTGTATACGTTCCCACGAACCACCTATACATCGGAGATATACTACTTGTCAACAGTAATGACGTGATCAGGCCAAATCTCTCGGTCCGGGAAGGAATAGGTGAGATAGATACAGGATGATTTGGTTCTATAGATAGCATTCAAGCTAGGGAACTTATTGTATTTATTGTGCATCTGCAGAGATTGTTGTCTCCGGTGGAATGTCAATGCCACAAATTCTATCGACCCTAGATAAACCGTTGGCCTCCATCGACAGAGCTACAAGCTTATAGTTTTCCTGTAGAAGAAGAAGACCTTCTTGTTTTGTTGGGATTTGGAGGTTTGCATGTTTGATGATGAATGTGTCATGTGTGTATGGGATATCTTCAGTTACTATATTGTTGTAACGTTCCATTTGTGTTACAAAAGTGTATAATGTAAGCTAGGTCTCTCCCTTCTTAGATATAAATCTTTCTTGAAAAAGCATTGAGAGTTACATATATATTGTTATTTGCTTTAGTGATTCCTCAAAATCTCAAAACAGAAGTGACATGACATTATTTGAGTAAAAAAATTTAAATTATTTCTGGAGGAAAATGGTCCTGTGAACTAAATAGCAAACAATGTACACAAATAGTGACAGCAATTCGTAAAGAAACAAATTATGAATATATCTAAAAGAAAGAAGAAGCCTTGTAACACAAATCTGTCTACTCTCTATTCACCAGCCAATGTTGGTGACATTACCTCATAAATTAGGCATGGAGACCGCTGGATTGAGCTGCATTGTTGCTCTCTCACTCTCTGTAATGTTAGGAGTAAATGTTGATGATTCATTGGTCTTTCATCTCAGACAAAGCTTGAGGTTGTTGGGAAGGCTGTTCTTTTGTGGTTTGTGACACTCCATTCGCTACTGCTTCTTGTTGAACCACTGGCTCGATTTTCACAGCGGTTTGTACAGGTGAGTCTAGATCCATCCTTGACAGAGAACAATTTGATTCTGCAACAAACAAAAACAAGCTTTTAGAACTTGAGAAATCTTATGTTTGGCCATTTTTCTTGATGAGACAACAAGAAATGTGCAAACCTTTCAGTTCCCCGTATGAGATTATTCGGTTAAGGCAGTCACGGAACCTGGTTAATACTACTTTCTCCTGTTCTGCATAAGCCTGGTCTTGCCCGTTTTGTAGCTGTGAGGTCGCGTCTACCGAACAATTAGGTGAAGCTGTAACCATTAACATAGTGTCTTGTTCATCACACATCAGTGCCAAAGTTTCTGGAGACAGTGACCTTCCTTTAGAGCCATCTGAATTTGAATCCTCTGGACCGGACTTATCACCTTGATCTCCACTTGCAACTTTCTCAGCCTCTGTACCTTTACCACCGTCTTGTCCTTGATCTTGCGCAGAAGAAGTTTCCGTCTCATCGTTCAACCGTTTTTCCGTTGATGTCTTGGTTGCTTCCCCAGCTTCAGTTACTAGAACAGAGCAAAGTGCTTTCACATCCTGTGGTTGAATTATGTCTGCTAACAGAGACCTTCAAAAAAGATAAGAAAATGTATAACTCAGCCTCTGCAACAGATTAAGCTTTCCAAACACATCAGACATTTTTTTACCTATACACAACTTTGGATTGGCCTAAAGACGCATTGCCTCCACGACGAGAAACAGGTTTCGAGGATGTCGTTCTTCCATTGTTTGCCTGATAACAATAATAATACAATAAGATCTCTAACAGATGAGGAAAGCAAAAATAAACTTGGTTTTTTATGTGTGTGTGTGTGTGTGTGTACCTGATTTACCTGGCCAAGCTTATGCGTTGATGAATCTTTGGTTGCTTGAGTAAAAAAAAATTCCTGAGCTTTCTTCCTCTTAGGAGCTGGAGCAGGTGCAAAGCCAGAGGAACCAATAGCTCCGGTTATGGCAGCATTTGCGTGTTGGAGATGGGCCACGTTGTGGTGGGAGTGTTCACCGTGAAAGAGATTCTGTCTCTCTTCACTTCCTTCAAAGTTTTTGCAATCCATGCATTTGCAGTTCTCGGAGCAAAGAACGTTTGCCTGAAAGCACTCACAATACTTCTTAAGGCATCCCGATTTCTTGCAGTGACAGCCTTTGTGGTGTTTCCCTAACATCACAACTCCACCAACCTCCTCCTGCAGATTTTGAGTTGATAATATTTTAAATAAACTCGCCTACAATCTCAAACACAGAAACCAGCTATAAAACCACATATATACCCGGTTATCTCTTGCGCCGTGTGGACTGCTAGCGATTTTGGGCCTGAACGCGTTTGGATTCCGTTCCAGAGTTGATTCAACCGCTTCTCGTCTCGCCGGTTCATTTTCAACGTTGTTGAAACAGTTTACACAGTTGCAACCATCGCAGTAGGCGCCCGATGCAAAGCACTCACAATACCTGACCAAAAAGAACATTGTAGAGTGTCTCAATTTATATAGCTTCAATCACAAAAGTAGAATCCCGAAACAAAACAAACGTAAGACAGACTTACAGCTTCAAGCACCGTGAATGTTTGCAGTTACACTGTTTCTTCTTCTGAGGGGTTCCGTCTCTAGCTTCCACCACAGGCCTTGGCGTAGATTTCGGAGATTCCGGCTTCCTGCGATTAAACAGACACGAAACAACTACTTTATAAACTTTGCAGCTTCTATGAAAAAATCTTCAAATTAGATCAAAACTTAAGCTCAAATATGCCTTTTTAAACAGAGGACAGGAAACATTTGAACTAAATCGTTCAATTTGATTGAAAGATCTATGCTTCAATCCCCAAATCTGACTTAAGCTACAGAGAAGTTGAACAATCAGATCACATGTCTACAAGTCTATAGCTTTTGCCATTTGAATTCCCAAAAGTCTCACAATTGTCTTCACAGACACAAAAAAAAGGCTCAGTTCTGAAACTTACGGAATCCTGATTGGGGCGTGAGGTTGTGACGGTGGAATCGGAGTCACCACCGTCGCTGTTATCGATTGTCCCTGACCGGTAATAGGCTGCGTAGCCGTCGCTGCCGGAGCTTTATTAGACTGTAAATGCTCCACATCGGAGCCGGAGGCACCAGTGAAGTCGAGTTGCCTCGCCGACGCCTTCGTCGGAATAGCAGACTCCTCTGAGACCTCCCTTTTTGGCGGGAATTCGCCTCCTTCTCCCATCAAATGAATTCGAATTTCTCAGTATCTGAAGAAACCCAGAAATTTCCCCCTTTTCCCCACAAGCTCGCAATTGAGAACCACCGAAATCCCAGAGAAATACACAATAGATACAAAAATCAGCTCGAGAAATAGGAGAAATTGAAGATCCGAAGCCAGCCTTAATCCCTTCCGTATGCGAAAACCCACGAGCCCAATCGGCGTCAACTGAAACTCAAAACGGCAATTTGAATTCGAATTCGAATTCGAATTTCGATCCGCTGATATAGAGATAGAGGAAATTAGGGGTTGAAGGGTTTTAGCTCCAGAAGAAGAAGAAGAAGAGAGTAATTTGATAAAGCAGCCGCCAAAAAAAAACAGAAAAGACTGAGACTTTGGGTTTCTCCTTCTTCTTCTTCTTCGTCTTCGAGAGAGAGAGCTTCTCTCCTCCCTCTCTTATACATGTTTTGAAATTTCAATTTTCTGGATTATATTAGACGGATAGATTTGCGAGACAATTTGATCCTACGGTTGTTGTTATACATTCTGATCCAACGATTACTATTCTTAAGGTTTGAAGTGTAATTCGACCTTCACCGTCCGATCGCCCCAGAAAAAGAAAACATTTTGTAGTAAAAAGAAAAGAAAAACCATTCAAAAAAGTGAGAAACAGTATAGGAGATGTGAACCACTTATAAACTGACACGTAGACAGTCACCCCAAAACAGAGATAGCAATGTTCAAGATTAAACTTTTTGGCCCAAAAACATTCGTTTATTCGCGAAAATGCCCCGGTAATTTCCTTTTTTTTTTTTGAACAACATACCAAACAAAGATAGACTGATATACACACCAAAAATCTGTAATGGCTATTTTTAGCTGCTTTTTTTATTTTCGTCAGAAACTTATGTACCAATTAAGGAAAACGATTGATATTTCCAACACAGAAATCGATCTCTCTATTAATTAACATTTTCATTTGATCTTTATTAAGATTTTTTTTTAATTATCTTTCCATCTTCTCTCAATGTGATAGTCTATGAGAAAATGGCTTAAATGCTTGTTATTAGAGAAATGTGGTCATTAAGACCAATTTTTTTTGTTCGACTTCTTGAGCTTATCTTCATTGTATTCGACTAATGTTTCGCTTATAATTAATGTAGAAGATGTTAATACTACAGTTAGAGACAGTAAATGGGTTTCCTAACTTAACAAAGAAAACATAATTTACTTCGCCAATGATACACGTGAAGTGCAAATCTTCAAAGGCCAAAACGCTAAAAGCATACTTCGAGTTTGAAAATGATCGTATAGCAGCATGAGCAATCAATCTTGGAAACTCATTTTGTTGTTAATCTTCTCAATAGATTGGTTGCTCATGATGTTATAACGTAACACTTCTATCTGTATTCTTGCATTATTGTTGTAAATATAATTGCATATTAATAAAAAAAATTCCAGAAACGTTAATCTTTCCTAATTTTAACTAACAACACTCGAGCAAGCTCTCAACAAAAATATTTCAAAATGTTGAGCACACTTCAGAAATCAGAATCGATCAAAAGTAAATACACTACTAGATGAAAACTATAGAGCACAGACTCGTTTGTATTATAAAATCATTGAAATCCAAAACATTAATTAAGCCTCAAACGTAACTCAATAATATTATATCAAAAGTGTTGAACACACGCTTACATAAACTCCATATTCTCCACGTAGACTACAAAGGTGCGAATATAAGTATTAAACCTTTCAAATCCCTGAATATGGACTCTTGTAAAGGTTTCGCCCTCGAGATTGTACAAGTAAACGCAGAAAGGGCTCCTGACCGAAAACACGATTTCACCTGTACCAGCCATTCCAGCAAATACAAATGCGGAATTGTAAACTAAACGAGGCAATTCGTAAACCTGCTTGGACCATTTGTGACTTCCAGAATCTTCCACGACCCACAACACAAGTTGATGATACTCCCAAGGTTCTTTTGTTGCCTGACGTATACCTAGTTTTCCTTTGTAGTTGAACAAAGTCAGATACCAACATGAATAAGACTCAATATCGTATTTATCGAACATGCCTCTCTTCATGTTAATAAAGCTGAACTTCTCAGACCTAACGTCGAAACAAACTATCACAGAAGATTGTCTCAACACACCTCCGAAATACAAAACACCATTTATGCAGATTTCATTAGCCATTCTATGATTCTCTATAAAATGGAATTTGCTTTCGAGCCTTCTCCACAAACGTTTTCCAGACTCCAGTGTCAAAACCTGATGAGTATTGGGTCTTTCACAATGTGACGAGGTCATACACAGGACTTTGAACTGTTTGCTGATCGGATCATATCCAAGATAGATCCCTGCAACGATTTCTCGGTCGGGAATAGTACTCTTAGCTTTCATATCGGGTAAGTTTTTGTTTTTCAGAAGCAGTTTGGGTAAGGTTAGGAACTCTCCCGTGATAGGATTAAAAATCACCCGAATCTTTCTTTCATAAGATTTAAAGAGGGCCAATCCACAGACCAGGGTACGGAGTTTTGATGGATCTGGAAAGTATTTAGGATAAGACGTATGGTAACGTGTGGCTACAAGAGTAGAATTCTCACCTTGATTTAGGAGCTGAGGCGTAGAGTAGAAAAATACTTTCCCATCATGATGCAAGGAGAAAAAGAACCTTGGGCGAGTGGAAGACTTGGTCAGAAACAAGTCTTTGAAATCAGGACGACCAAGTATGTATCGCCACAATTTCGAGACGCAACGAAACCTAGCTATCGATTCTCCCGGGACGAGAGAGAATATATCGATGAGTATATCAACTGGGATAGGGTCTGAGTAGACATGCTGCTTCAAACGTTTCATGGCTGTATTTTACAAACCCTAGTTTCAGAGCTTAAGACGAACAAAAAGCCCTAGACGCTTGCTTTTTATGCAAGAAACTTTTAAATGGGCCTCGAAGATCGGGGAAGCTTCGATAAACAGAAACCACTATATTCACTTTACTTTAATTTAATGAAATTTCATGATCTATGTATAATAATAACCCACGTGGATCGACCAAGGAGGATCTGATGCCGTCTTCTGAAAACTGCTTTAGACAAATATGATCTCGGTTACAACTCATAATTGAATTATTTCGAAAGAAGAAAAAGGTCATTATGACTTGAAGGATATTCGAAAAAAGTAGAATGGTTATTACTCTCATCAGGTCGAGGAGGCGTTTGAGAAGGAGTAACTTGTGTTCGTCTCCGCAGGTCTTAGAATAGCCAGGTGCCAAGTCTCATGGGTCCTCTTCCCTGATCTATGGTCTCTTTCTCCTTGGTTTTTAGGGCTTTAGGGCTTAGTTTATTTTGAGCTGTTATGGTTCTCCTTCATTGTCCTATGAGTTCTCGGCTATGACGTTCGCGGCTAGTGAGTTGAAGTCTGTTGGATGGTTCTCCGTCATGAGTGTGCGACATAGTTGCTTTCGCTTGATTTCTCATTTCTAGGTCAGTTCTCTTGATCGGGTTCTGGTTGGTTTCAGTGTGCTCTTGGCTTTTGGTTGGTTTCGTACGTCCTAAATATTTGTGGTGGGAGCAATATTATGAACCCTAGACTGATTCTATTCATGATATTGAAGAATAAGGCAACGTATGTGTCTTGGTACCTCTAGCTCCTTTTTTAGTCGTCTTCCATTTACAGCTAGTCTTTTTCTTTTCTGTCTCTAAAATTATTTAACAGGACATGTCGAAGACTTGATATCATTTTAACACCGATATACAAAAGCTTGTTAGCTTGCGATGGTAAGAAAAAAGCTGTGAATATTAAATTAAGTTGTAGCAACAATCGAGGCACTAAAAAAGTGGAAAAGTTTTTGACATCAGAAGCATCACTCCACATGTGCGGGGCTTTAGATTCTTTGGAGTTCCCAAGGTCTTCTATATCAGAGGCACCATATCTTATATTTGACGATATGATATGGTATGATCTGTCTACAGTGATGACCTTGTCATGGCACACATATCTCTTAAATTCAATGTCTTGAACTGTGATCTATTTGAAGTATGTGAACTGAAGAGCTACTTAGTTTTGCTGAACGATGCATGTTTATTATTTTATTTTGTCAACAACCATGCATGTGTCTATGTGACCAGATAACCTTTTTATTAAATAATTTAATCTGCATGATTGTTTTTTTTTTGGTATTAAATGCCTTATATATCTCTTTATTTTTACATATACATTATACATGTCCGATGTTTTCATTTCGATTTTGTATAATAGAAAACTATCGGATATACTTTGTTTCTCAAATATTTAATATTACCAATATTTTATATCTGCAATATTTTGAAGCACAAAAAATATTTATATCCACGAATTGAGCATGACAAACTTAAGCTATATGGTCTATATCACTCCTATATATACATCTGCTCCATGCATATCGTTCTTCAATTTTTAGAACAAAGTACTGGCACTGCACGAGTCTTTGTAAAATTTATTTTTTTGTTGTTGTAAAAGTCCGGATGACCTTCTGATTTAAAACAAAAAAAAAATAATAATTATTATTATTGATATGTAGAACTAATACAAGTCTGATTGGCTGTCGAGGTAAGTAGCAGGATCAAAGGGATTTGATTCGAGAAAAAATGATTTTATATAAAATCCTTAGCAAATCAATAATTTGAGTAATATTAAATCATAGCCGAGTAAAGATAGGGAAGAAATAGACAGAGTGTGTTTATAATGTAGTAGGGGAAATGCATGTGCACACAATCTACAGTAGATATTATTTCATATTAATATTCATTTAATTATTTTCTAATAAATACTCTCTCCACTATGCTCTGTCTGTTTTGGTGTTATGCTCTCTTAATTACTCATCATATCACTTATAATCTCAACACAATCCCCTGTTTTGATACACTTCTCTGTCTCTAAGTTAATTCAATCATTCTGATTCTAATTATTTAATTTTGTGCATACATGTACATCGATAAGCATGTATTCAACATATATATATATATATATATATGTATTCTTGTTAAACAACAATTTGTGGATTAATAATTTGCATTTTCCTATATATGTTTTGAACAATCTGTTATAACTAGTATGCTGATCTCAAGTTCTCAACGACACGGGAAATCATATATATGAATTGAGGCCAACTCTCTCCATATGATTGACATGTGGCAAAACTTTTAAAGAGAGCAGTCTCTTCACATTCTTAGTCGTTACAGTTATAATAGGTTTCAAAACCGTCAGTTGCTTCACCTTCCATGTTGTTTCAACACTCCATTAATTGATATTCTGGCATGACTTTTCCTCTTCTTTTCAGTCAATAACTCTAAATCTTATACATTTCAAATTATGATAATAATAATCACTCTATTAATCCAAGACTTTTAAATTTCGACTTTCGACTTCCATTTTAAGTTATTATTAAACATCTAAATTCTCCTAATATATGGAGAAATGGATTTAGCAAAAATCGATAGCAAAAATCACTCTATTAGTAGAGTCCGTTCTATGTGGTCGTGAGTAAACAAATAGAGTTAATGGTTCATAGACATGTGGTATGATACAAAAATATATGTTTGAAAGTCATTCCCTAACCAACAAATAGAAATTAAATATGGATATTATTGGATTATACTTTATAATATTAATAATCGCAAATCTAAAATTGTTTTCGAGCATTTTTTAAAAACTTTAACAACAACAAAACCCGCGCGTATGCGCGGGCATTAGTCTAGTTTAATTTGATATCAAGATTGAATCTAATATTTGTTTGGTTGAATAAGTTTAAATGGCACTTAAAACAAATCAATATTAGAATATTTAGAATAATAATATAAAAATGATCAAAAGTCGAATGCGAATAATAACTAAAGTCTAAACGTATACCAAATGAATCTATAGTAGTTGGTATTCTGAATCCAAGAACTGAAGACCATAATGCCAAAATCGAACTGCGACTTTGGATATTATTGTAGTGCTATGCATATTCTTAATAACTTCCTTTGATATATACATTACCACTGATTTTGATTAAAGTAATACGGAGTATTTTTTTTGACCGCACGTACGCGTGTTTCTGAGAACAATTAACATATCAATATTAGTATTATTTTGTTTGCAATTAAAACTAAATTAAGTTTGTTTATATATTACGTGTGTAGAACTGTAGATAATAGTTGTTGTTTTTTTGGGTCAAAGATACTCAATTTTTTTTTTCAGGTTCTATTTTCTGATTATAAACTGCTGGTTCATGAACTCTAATGTTTGTAATTACATATGTTTATCGACATATAATGGAAAGTCGATGTAGATGAAAGATTGAAAAGGAATGAGGTCATAAAAGAGTAATAAGTTCTTAATTTGCTTATATATTTGTATATTACATAAAATTAACATTTGAGGTAATCGAATTGATAGACCTACTAGACATTAGAGTTCATGCACAACAAGAATATTCATCGTCAGCATATTAACTGACACGTGTCTTGCAACTAGTGGTTTAATCAAAAGTGACCACCTCGTTGTTGCCTACGTTAAGGCTAAGACATGTTCGAACAATCACATGATTCACGACATAAGTTTCGACACCACTCTTTGGATTATAAAAAAGAGAAACTCTAGCCAGACAATATTAATATTCTTTTGATCGCTATTGAACGTAGCTTTTGATAGGTCAGTTAAACAACCTAGAGGTTGGAGTTTAGTCAATCGTGTGTATAAAGTAACCAAATTTTGTCTTAACCAATCTCCTTATAGTGGTAGTATAATTGACTAAACCAGTTTTGTGGTAGACTACACTGTCTAGGAGACTAGGACAACGAGAGCTGAATAATTCGATGGAATCAACATCGAAGTCTAAAGTCTTTGTGTTGGAACTTGGAAGTCATCCAAAACAAAAAGTAAAAATAATTGAGAAAATTAAGCTAATCATTGTAATTATGATAAATAGTTAAAATAAAAAATGCAAATTAAGAAAGAGAGTTGGTAAATCAAAATAAGGTATAAAATCTAAGTAATATTGTTATGTAATGTATTTGCGTGCGTGGCGTATCTATTGAAATCTGGACACAATCTGATCCAGCGATGCAGTAGCTATACTAAGGTTTTTTAAGTAAACATAAAAATACAAAACTAATTTTTTTAAAAGCTTATAAAAAGAGAGCACCGTTTCACCATGGAAGAGAGATCTCTCTGATTCCTTAGCTCAAAGCCAACACAACAACAATAAAAAAAATCATTTTCTTCTCTCTCTCTCTCTCTCTAGAGAAGACTTTCTCTCTCTAGTCCTTGATTTTCCGGTGTACCTCCTGACGTGAAGTTATAATTAAATCTGATTGAAGAAACATGGGGAGTAGTTTCATTGGTAGACCAAACATGAGAGGATCTTCGTCGTCTTCATCGTCTCCGACGTCTTCTTCGTCTTCTCCGGCGACAAGAAGAGGGAAGAAGAACGGTTCCGAGAAGCAGAAGCAGCCACAGAGAGGTCTCGGAGTAGCACAACTGGAGAAGATTAGATTACATGGTGAAATGAGTTGCAACAGCTTCAACAATTACAACACTTCATTGTATCCTCAGGTAACATTTCACATACACATATAATATTTCGGCATATAACCTAGTAGTTAATATTAAAGCCGCCGCTCATATTCTCGGATTCCGATCTGGTAGAAGTTCTTAGGTTTTTCATTTTTTAGGGTCATCGGATCTTTTAAAGGAATCAGATCAACTTTTTGTATCAAGGGTTTTTCTTTTTCATGATCCAAAATCATGTTCGAACAGATCCACAATCATTTCTCTATCAATTTAGTATATCGACTTATTTTACGTAAAAATAATAAAAATCTTGAAGAAACTTATATAGGAATCTATTATTTATTGAAGATCATAGGTCACACAAGTCAGATGAAATCTTGATTACAATAGACTTCATATAACTTATTAGCCTATGTTGTTCAATTCACGAGGGTAGTCTCTCAATTACTAGTTTCGTATCAATAATTCGATTTTTTCATGAGTATAACTAGACCTTCATATGTAAATGTGATTGTAGGAGGATTTGAGGATGCAAGGAGGATATTCATCCATACCATCAACATCACCATCCTTTACATATGCATCATTACCATCACCAGCATCGACTCCTTATGGCTTCTATCCAAACGTCATGGTATAGCTTTCCCTTTATTCATACATGATACTATTGTGTGTGTATGTGTGTTTTTTTTTAAAGAAGAACCGTATTACTTGGATTCTTAATCAAACTTGATCTGATTAATTGTGTACTTTATATTTCAAAAGATCACACCCTAGCATATGAAATCTTCTACAAGATTTGGTCGATCATATTTCCATGTATAACAAATCTATTTTCAAATAATCATGAAACAACTTAATGGCAATATGATACAAAAAAAAAAAAAATCTATCAACTATTAATGTTTTGTTGTTGTTGTTGTTGTTATTGGCAGATGGGTGTGCATAGAGATCAATACGAAAGAGCAACCATGAGGTACACTTTCCACTGTCCTTTTGAGGTTTATAAATATGTATGTGTGTTATTGATGTTGGACTTTGTTTGGTCTGAAAAAAACGACCTTTTGTTTTTCTTGTTCAAAATAGTTGGAACCCAAGCTACGGCATCTTAGAGAGCCAAAATTCTTTGGAACCAAACATCACCAGTCATTTCTTACATGAGGTTTTTATTCTATTCCCTTACACATGTGTCTTAGTTGATAATCGGAGTTGTTTCACTCTTAGTTTCGGTTTATTCTAGTTTAGAGTAACCATGGTTCAATACTTCAATGTAGATATGAATGTTAGTTAACTAACCTTGTTAAAAGTGTAGTCGATTTGTATATAAGTGATAATCAATTTTGTTTTTGTCTTGAAATAGGATCCAAGTTCAACAAGGCGAAGTAGATCGTTGGGATTAGGAAACCAAAACTCGGGATCAAGTGACAATCAAGAGCTAGATTTGGAGTTGAGATTGTAACTTTGATCATAAATTTGTAATAGTCTGATTTTCATAAGATTGAAAAAAAATTGAAGCAAGAACAGCTGATTATTTTCGATTTGGGGGTATCCATATTTATTTTCTTCTAAGAGATTGTTTGACCTTTTCAGTAGAAAAAGGTTTAAAGAATGAGAAATTTTTGAACATTTTGAGGGGGACTTAAAAGATAGATCTTATAAGATAATTGGCATCTAGTCTAAACTGGTATATGCATGTCTAAGATTTAACTCATAAAGTATATATCTATATATATGCTTATTATATGCATCTAGGAGGCTCCATCAACGCCAAAATTTTGCCAACAAGTGTAACATCTCGATCGATTTCGTCCGTGGTACTCTCTGTCTACTTTTTCAGTCCGAAAGGTGAAAGTTCCGAGTTTTTCTTCTAATTAGCATGTCTAAGTCTAAACGCTGATCCGAGGGATGTTGTTTTGTAATAAAACGTAAATGTTATATCTTTTTTCTTTGATGAACAAAACAATTTTTTTCTCGAATCATTCATGCAATACGTCAACCACTTTTTTCTTTCTTCATGACATTTTTAGAGTAAAAACAGAGAAAAAAGTATTACCATTCATCATCTAAAAACTCAATCTTTTAACATTCCATATTGCAAAGAAACAAACCGAAACCGAAAAGCTAACAAACAATGAACCGGTCAGTGAGTAACCATATCTATAACCGATATTAAGTGCCGGTACAGAAGCTACATGCACGAGTTTTTTGGAACCGTCGTCTTCTTTGTGATCTAGTTTCTTATTGAGGATGCCATGTCAAGACATTGCTGTCTCTCTAACGGTTAATAGGAGTGTGCATACGCTCAACGATCCTATTCAAAGCATCACGGGACATGACAAGCGTGTCGTGGAGCAGAATGCTGTAAACGTTAAGCCCCTGCAAAGAGCATTACATAAACAAGATTCAAGATTCGCTAACCGACAAAGCCGCAAGAAGAAAAGTTTGAAATGGGGGATGATTTATGAAACTTACTATTGATGGAATTATGTTGACATAGTGGAGATTTTGGGTGGCTAACTTGAGCTTTTCATCGATAGGACCGCCTTCCACGATGAGTACTTTCTTTGTGTTGTCCATTTGATTGTAATAATTCACGATGTTCTTCGTTTTATGCGTTGGCAATGACAAATCATCGAACACCAGGAGCTGCATAGTTTTCCCAAAACATTCAGCGGATACAATTAGACTGGCATATAAATCAAGAGTTATGGGTTGAGAAGAGAAAGAAGCTGACTTTTCCTTCTGCGGCTCGAGCTGTCAGTGCTATCTTGAGCCCAAGCCGTCGAACCTGCTTGTTCATCTTTATGGCATGGCTTCTCGGTTTGGGCCCATGCATTACACATCCTCCTCGGAACTAACGGTTTTCAATAAAAAAAAGTTCCATCAGAAAAACTGTTTGGTGACAAGAAAGAAAGCTTCAAATCCAGAAAATGATTATACCTGAGGGCCACGCAGTGTACCGTGCCGAGCTCGACCTGTACCCTTCTGGTTCCATGGCTTTCTACCAGTTCCACTAACCTCACTTAGTGTTTTGGTCGAATGAGTTCCCTGAACATTCCACCAAATGCATCGTCAGACTTATATGACTAAAGAAGGGAATGTGAGATGATGATTGACAAGTTACCTGCTGGCGTTTCGCAAGCTGCCATCTCACGACATTGTGGATAATATCTTTCCTTATTGGAACATCAAAGACATCACCTGCTAACACCATGAAACCCTTGTCTTCGTTCTGGAAATTTGTCACCGGAATAACCAAGTCTTGATATTGTCCTACATGAGTATCAATACCGATCAGTGAAAACTTGACCAGGAGTTAGGAAAAAAAAAAACATAATTGTTCAGAGATTTGAACATATAATCTCAAGCTAAATCACAAGAAGAGAGAACATACAGACCCGAAACACTGGCGATCAAATATGTGTTAAACTTTTCATGTAATAAGCTAAGCAAGGCCCTAGAAATCTATTACCCCTCCTGAAAAAACAGCCAGTTTTCTAACACCACTACTCACTCTCTATTTACCCAACCAAACTCCAAGATTTCCAAAAGGTACAAGAAGCTCAGGAAACAAAATGAAAGATACCAGGATCCGAAATTCCCCGGAACCAGTTTGTAGCCAAACATATACATATATATATATATATAGCCTAGTTCGAAGAATGTCACTTCATACCTAGGGTTCGTTCTGGTGAAATCAGAGTCTTTTTGGTAAGCAAGTCATAAGGAAATGCATCGCCACTTGAGTCTGGAGTCAAAATAGAAGTGGAGAGCTTCCGGTTGGAAAGCAAAGCCATTCCACACTGCAAAATCAACATCTCAGAGTAGTGAAATACTCAGAAAAGAAAGATGACAAGTCAAGTAGAAAGTGGAAATCGAAAACACCAACCTTTAGATCACTAGAAAGAGAAGATAAACCATTTGCAGAGAAATCTGTTCCAAAGAGACAGAGAAGCAATCAGAGATCAAAGGAACAAAATTTACACCGTATTTGTAAGAGTCGAAACATGGAAACAAAAAAAAAAGTGAAGAAATTGAGTGAATACTTGGTGAACTGTTGCGTCCTAAAGCGGTCAAGGATCCAAAAGAGCGAATAATACTTCTCGCAGCCATTTCCTTTGATTCAAGCACTCTAGGACCTATCTGCTCATCTACAACACCCAATCCAATCTCTCAAGTTACACAATGCAATCTAATCGAAAATGACGTACACGAGAAAGAGAATGAGAATCAAATAAAAGGCTAATTCGAGCGATTGAGTTAAAAATCAAAACCAGTTCACATACATTTCCTCTAAAGAGCAGATCTCGACTAAACAAATACCGAGCAACTCGAAATGTAATCCTCTAAGAAGAGAAGAAAACGCACCGGTCACAAAGCGGCGATGATGTACGGTGAAGAAGAAGAAACGGCGACTGTAAAGGTTTAGACGGCAGGTTTACATTTGTTACACGGTTCGGGTCGGATCTTTTTAATTTATCGGGCCATAAAACGCCCATCAGTGTAGTTGACTATTTTGTTGGGCCTATTGTACCATGGGCGAGGCCCATAACTCTGAAAACTCTGGAAGAAACAAAGGAAGAAGAAGAAGAAGAGAGAGAGAGAGAGAGAGAGAGATCCAATCAGGGATTTTGATTGCCTGAGATTGTTGTTTCGTTTTGACTGCAATTCCTCTTCTTCAAACATCAGCAGATTCCGATTTAAGCTTTTTTATTTTCTTCTCCTTTGATTTTGCGTCGATGGCGTCGAATCCTCACAGAGGCGGGACATTTTACGGCGGCGCCGCTCCGTACAGATCCAGGTACAATTTGAAATTGGTTCTGATTTCTTCCTCGGGTCTTCTGGGTTCCTAAATTTGTTGTTTTTGCTTAGAATCCAACTGTCTATTTTTGGTATATGATTGCAGTGATGGGCTTAACACTAGAACTGGTGCAGGTTCAGAAGAAATCCAGCTTCGGATTGATCCGATGCACTCTGACCTAGACGATGAGATCACAGGTCTCCACGGCCAAGTTAGCCAATTGAAAAATGTAAGTTTGTGCATATTGTGAACTCTCTGTTTGTGCTTCTTAGGGATTATGGCTCTCTTTGAGCATTAAGTTTATCATATTGATTGGGAAAGTTGTCTTCTTTTTCTCTTAACAGTGCTCTGTTTTAATGTGGACATGACTCTCAATTGATTATGCAGATTGCTCAAGAGATTGGGTCAGAAGCCAAGTTTCAGAGGGACTTCTTAGATGAACTGGTACGTCGTTGATGCCGCTTAAGTTCTTGATGTGTTTTATTTACACAACTTTTCTCTCCAGCTTTAGTTCAAGCATAAAGCTTTCAGTTTTGTGTTTTTTTTTTTCCTGATGACAGCAAATGACATTGATAAGAGCGAAAGCTGGGGTGAAGAACAACATAAGGAAACTGAACATGAGCATTATCCGGAGTGGCAACAATCACATCATGCACGTTCTTCTTTTCGCGCTCCTCTGCTTCTTTATCCTCTACTTGTGGTCCAAGATGTTCAAAAGATGAGAGACTCACTTGTTTAATTAACACCTCAGAAAAAAAGAAATAAACCTTGGTGAATGTATATAAGTTGTAGACAAATCCTCTTTATATTTCAAAAATAGTAAAAATTGACACAGAATAAGAATCACCATAGTAGCTCTTGCAGATAAGGGAAGCAGAGAATGTTTTTATATTCTGGCTGTTTCATTTGCTCTGTTTAGTAAACTAGTCTTATATAGAGATGACAAGACTAGGCCTGAAAGGCTGAAATAAACTTGCATATTTATTCTCTCGTTACAATTATTTATTTGAAACTGTTTGATGTGAAAATGTAGTTATCTTTTTGGCTCATGTGGCTTTATCAACTTGATGTGCGATTAATGTGAATCGAGCCATTGGGATTTTGGGAGGTGTCTATAGCATCAGTGACAACTTGCATAAAGTAAGAAAGAGAGTTCATAATATGCTCTACAATCCAAAAAATCAAGAAAGAGAGCAAGTGTTGCTGTTATGTTCCAAATTACATGGCTTCTTGGTCCTCATCAAATACTCCTGCCCACAAATTAAACGAACAGAAACATTCACATGTGATTGGGTATGTGTTGGGGTTGTGAGAAAAAACTCAAAATACCTTTTGTTTTGATAAAGTGAGTATATATAATGTACAATGATATTTGAAGTTTGAACATAGAGACTCCACTGGTAATGGTCCGACATGTTATATATGGGCTAAGGCTATTTGTCCCCTCCAAGTACATGCATTTTCTATTGCCCCTCACCAGAACCATAAGTTTTATACCTTCAACTACAATATAAAATTTAAATTCATAAAATCTATACTTGTGGCTATAACTAACTAGAGACACGATAGATTTCATTCAACTTATTGTATCAAGTTATGTAACATACACAACAAATGAATCGTTTATGAATGTCGGACCAGAACTTTCTCGAGCAAATAATGAAGAGATTTGTTTCTTCTTATAAGCATATAATAATACTAACACTCATTATAGACATATTTATACTCCCTTTGTTCCATTATAAATCATGCTTTGAGATGGTGTATATATCAAAGTAATATTTATGTGATGGAAAAGATTATCTTTAATTTTAGCAGATTAAGGTGTAACTTTGGATAAATTGTATTATTTGTAGCATTTTTGAAGAACAATTTTTATTGGCGGGCCAAGGAGATCTATTTATTCTAGTCAAAAGTTGATATAGCTCTTAGCCTTCAGATACGAACATCTTCTTTTTTGTCACTAGGAACGAAAATGTAGTGTTTGAAGATAATTTGTTTTGAAATGATGCGTATATAAACGATAACACAAAAAGGGATATTAATCATACTCTACATGATTGGCTGAGACATTGATGAGATAGATCTTCAATGATTGACGTGAAATTCTGGATAAGGTTTTTCCCAGTCTTTATAAGGTTTTAGGGTTTAATATAGAGAAATGTCCTAAAAAAAAGTGGGTGGAAACATCTTTGATTTCATGGTTAGTTGGTAAGAAATTAGCAAACCCCTAAGTTATAATCGAAGATAAATCAAATACAATTTTAATTTAAACGCTTTTTCACTTGTAGAGATGTCGTGACACTTTTTTCTCCCTGTTAATGCATTTACCAAATAGTTATTGGGCATGGTTATCCACTGTAATTTCCCAATACCTTAGGTTAATTGTTGTGGGTAATTAGTAAGATCCCCAAAACGTATCCATTTCAGGTTTATGTTTACGTATGTCATTTTTTCATCTTATTATCACACTTTGGTACCCGATTCATCATCAAAATTCAAACCCATTATTTTCTTGTTGTGGGTATATATAATATCTGTAATACATTGCATATAACATATAAGTGGCGTCGATGTACAATTAAATAAGCAAGTAACCAAGTAAACAACGAATGTCTATGTGTTGTGTGAGTTGTGACTTATGACATACATCAAATCAGATACCCCACAAGCGTAGAAAGCGCAAATAGACATGAGAAGCCATGTACGTTTCTTTAGATGTGTGACTCAAATTAAAACTTTCTCTTATCTTCCAACTTTCTTCTGACCAAAAGAAAATGCGAAGAGGACTAAAGCATCTACGTTTGTTTCAAAAAATAATAATCAAAACCCCCTTGTAGAAGTAAAAACTATGTATATACTATATACACATGTACGTCTTAATATACCGAGCAAATAAAAACTATGTCGGTATAATTGTTGAATAACAAATATCTTTGCAGAAGGATAAATGTACACGATTATAATAAGGTTTATTTTGTAAACAATGTTACCGGTTGAGCAAGTATCAATATACAAGATTAACCCAATAGTATAGCTGATTTTGTTTTGACCATGAATGTTTTTCAGATGAACATTGTTTTAACCATAATTCCTTAAAAAATCATAAACATATTATGATATACCCGTACAAAAGCAATGGAAGTGTACTGAATTTATTTTTAATTAATTACATTAGTAAAGGTGGGGAAAGATATAAAGTAGAATGATTAACAAATAATGAGAAGCAATGGAAAAGCTAGGGTAGTGAGACACGACGCAACGCAATGCTAAAAACTTTGAATGAGATTAGGTCGTGAGGGACCATTTCGCATTCATAACCTCAAAAGGGTTTACGTATCAATCTAATTATTAAAATTAAATGACCCAACGTGGCTGCCCTTTTCATTTCTCTTCGCCACATCTTTTCTCACTCATAAAGTGTCAATTGTATATTAACCATGCGTGTGTTAAATTTTGCTGTTCATCGACTATATTATGTTATACTGATAAGATGTTGGATTTGATGAGAGTTTAGGAATACATAAAAAATAAGAAAGATATAGTTTACGTTAAAAGAACTCTTTTATGTCCGACTAAACGACATGAGCGTAGCAATATAGTTGCTTTGTAGCTTGGTACATGAATATGTGCATATATTGCGAACTCTTTCGTTGTTTCGCCCTTTTCAAATATCTATGATTATATATTTATTGGTGGAACGTGTATATGATTAGGTCTAAGCCTCGTCAAGAAGTGATGATCTAAGACCCAATATGGAGTTTAGGTAAGTTTATAAATATGGTTTTTGAAATAGGATAAGTCTTGTCCCAATATGGTTGAAGGTCTCTAGGTGGCAAATGATGGAAGGTTTAGGTCCCAACCAAATATTTTGGTAAGATCTTATTTAAAAAATAGTTTTGATGATGTTTTTATTGAATCTATATTTATCATTCATAATAATTATAAGATACAAAAGCTATATTTATATATAGACATGGTTAAAATAAACAAAACAAAAATCAAATAAACCAAATTAGTAAAGAAGGAAAATTAATACTTTGCAAAGAAAAAATTCCCATCACAACGTTGTTAATTATTTTTTATATATATACAAAAATTATGGTAAGTAATTTATATAAACACTTTAAGAAGAATATAAACTATATATCCAACTTCAAAAATTAATCTCCCAGTATTTAAAAAAAGTTGAAAATGTATGATGTAAATATTGATCGTCGTCATCAGTGCAAAAGCGTTAGCTAAATAATTCCTATCCAATTGCTCTTTCAGGCTTCAGCTATTCGATTGGTTCTAGCACAAACAACAGCACAAAAAATAATAATAATATTCTAAAAAGTTCACTAATTAGCAAATCTTTTAATCTTTAAGAGTATTCAATTTTATCCTTCTTCTCCCTGCTGCAACGGTTCTTACTTGAAGTAGATCGAGAGACCTCTGTGAATCACATTATTTTTCAATTTCAATTTTTTTGTTGTCTCGCAAATTTGTTTCTTTGCAGTCAAATGTTTCAGTTAAATTGTTTGGAATGATTCACATAACTCTCCAATGAATCTCTAAAATCTTCCGATTCCCAATTTAATTTTTCCATCGGTTGAAAAAGGAATTATCTCCAGTATCTTCAATAGATTTTCTCCAGCGACCTTCTCTTGTCTTTCTTCGAAACTTTCTCGGGAAAATTTGATTTTTTTTTTTCGTGGGAAGTGAAAAGAAACTATTTGGACTTCCGTTACTCTCTCTCCACCGGGTTTTCTGAACATTTCAGATTCGTTGATGAGCTTTTGGAGGGTTTTGCGTTATCTTCGTCTCTCTCAGTGATGGGTTGCGCTTATTCCAAAACTTGCATTGGTCAGATTTGCGCGACGAAAGAGAATAGCATCAGGCAAACTCATCAACAGGCTCCGGCGAGAGGCACGAGGCTTACGACCGCGACTGTGGCGGCGGAGGGGGAGAATCCGGTGTTCAATTTCTCTTCAGATGCGGCGGAGGATGAAGATAACGACGAAATTCACCAGCTGAGCTTGAGCAGAGACCAGGAATGGGGAATCACTCGGCTTTCTAGGGTTTCTGCTCAATTTCTGCCGCCAGATGGGTCGAGGATTGTGAAAGTCCCGTCTTGTAACTACGAATTGCGATACTCGTTTTTGTCCCAGAGAGGGTATTATCCCGATGCTCTCGACAAGGCTAATCAAGACAGTTTCGCGATTCACACGCCCTTCGGGAGCAACTCGGAAGATCATTTCTTTGGGGTGTTCGATGGGCATGGCGAGTTTGGTGCGCAGTGCTCGCAGTTTGTGAAGCAGAGGCTGTGTGAGAATCTTCTTAGACATGGTAGGTTTCATGTAGATGCTGCAGAGGCTTGTAATTCGGCTTTCTTAACCACGAATTCCCAGTTACATGCTGATATAGTGGATGATAGTATGAGTGGCACAACGGCCATTACGGTTATGGTTAGAGGAAGGACGATATATGTAGCGAATGCAGGTGATTCGAGGGCGGTTTTAGCTGAGAAGAGAGAAGGTGATCTTGTTGCTGTTGACTTGTCTATTGATCAGACTCCGTTTCGAACTGATGAGCTTGAAAGAGTTAAGCTTTGTGGAGCTAGAGTCCTTACTCTTGATCAGATCGAAGGCTTGAAAAATCCTGATGTTCAGTGTTGGGGCACTGAAGAAGACGATGATGGAGACCCTCCGAGGCTTTGGATTCCCAATGGAATGTACCCAGGAACTGCTTTTACAAGGAGTATTGGTGATTCTATTGCAGAGACGATAGGGGTTGTTGCTAACCCTGAGATTGCTGTTGTTGAGCTCTCACCTGATAATCCTTTCTTTGTGGTTGCTAGTGATGGTGTCTTCGAGTTCATCTCTAGTCAGACTGTGGTGGACATGGTAAGGTATTCTTCCCTCCACGGTCTTGCTCATCATCGTTGTGTAAGCAGATGAAGTAGCCTCACAAAATTTGAATGTTTTTTTCTTTTTTTTTGGTTTTCAGGTTGCAAAACATAAGGATCCTCGAGATGCTTGTGCTGCGATTGTTGCTGAATCATATAGGCTATGGCTACAGTATGAAACTCGTACAGATGATATCACCATTATTGTCGTGCACATTAATGGGCTGAAAGATGTAAGGAAAGCCTCTGCTTGTCTACTGTATATTAATGGTTTATTATATTTGTTGGATGCTGAGGTTAGATTTTGAATCTTTCTTAGGATGCTCCTCGGCAATTGACGAGTACAGGGACTCAAATGCAGCCTCCTATTCCACAAGTTGTGGAGCTGACAGGTTCGGAATCTCCTTCCACCTTTGCGTGGAACTCTAGAAACCAACGTGTGAGGCATGATCTATCCCGGGCTAAAATACGCGCCATTGAGAGTTCACTAGAGAACGGACATGCTTGGGTTCCTCCATCTCCAGCCCATAGGAAAACCTGGGAAGAAGAAGTAAGAGTGCTTGTCTGCTTCGCGTTTGCTCCTCCAACTGTAAATGCTAAAAAGCTGTATTTTCTCGTTGCAGGCACACATTGAGCGGGTGTTACGTGACCATTTCCTCTTCAGGAAACTCACTGAATCTCAGTGCCAGGTTTTGCTGGACTGCATGCAAAGGCTTGAAGTTAATCCTGGGGATGTTGTTGTGCAACAGGTCGAAGCTTATTCCTCCTCCTTGATTGCAGATTCTGCAACAGACATTCATCAATAAACATCTGATATCATACTCTCTCTGGTTTATTCTTTTGCAGGGTGGTGAAGGTGACTGCTTCTATGTTGTGGGTAGTGGAGAATTCGAGGTCTTGGCAACTCAGGTTTGTTCTGTCCCGTAGTATGTTGATTTGAGTAGTGGTCAGCTTTGAGCATTATTAGCACTGTGCTTAACTTGTTATATCAATGTTAGGATGAAAAGAATGGTGAGGTGCCTAGGATCTTGCAGCGGTACACAGCTGAGAAACAGTCATCATTCGGTGAACTCGCCTTGATGTAGGTTCTCTGCACTTTTCTTATTAGTTCAGGAGAAGAATCATTCTCTGTATTATGTAGTTTCTTACGATATATGTTGATGGTGTCAGGCATAACAAGCCGCTTCAGGCTTCAGTACGTGCTGTGGAGCATGGAACATTGTGGGCCTTAAAAAGAGAAGATTTCCGAGGAATTCTGATGTCTGAGTTCTTAAACTTGGCATCCTTGAAGCTTCTTCGTTCTGTCGATCTTCTTTCCCGCCTTACGATTTTGCAACTAAGCCATGTTGCAGAGTCTCTTTCCGAAGCTTGCTTTTCCGATGGACAAACGATAGTTAACAAGGTGAAGTTAGTTTTTACTTTTATGTTACAGATATCGGAACTTTATCTACTCCAACGGAATCTTTCTCATACCGTTTTGTGAATGTGTAGGATGAGAAGCTTCAGGGCTTGTATGTGATCCAGAAGGGACTCGTGAGAATTACTTTTGGTACAGAGTTATTGGAGAGTCAAAATGTTTCAAGCCTTAAGACTGGGAACTCTGAAGAATATGAGAATCTTGAAACCGGAACAGAAGTCTCCGTAGAAAAGCAAGAAGGGAGTTACTTTGGTGAATGGGCTCTTCTCGGCGAACTCAAAGATTCCTTAAGTGCAGTCGCAGTGGGCGAAGTGGTCTGTGTGGTTTTAACAAGAGAAAATTTCGAGACTGCGGTTGGTCCTCTGACCAATCTTTCAGATGACAACTAGGGAATATCCCCGGCGTATTTGTTTAAAAAAAATACAATGGTGGAAATTTTTATAGTTTTACAAATTTAAGAAAATTATATATATAAATAATTAGTATATTTTATCATGTTGAAATTGAGTATCTTTTTTATATTTGAATAGCATTATACGATGAAATTCATAAATATGAAATTAGCGAGGAAATGAACACAAAAAAATTGAAGAAATACATGAATTTGAACTGCGACAAAATACCTTTTACATGTGATACACACCCATCAAAAGAAGAGAAACTTTTTTATAATGAGAGAGTAAAAGACCATTATACAAAAATTACTTGTTTTATGTTACAATTGGCGAAAGAGCATATAAATTAGAATTACGCGTATGGCCAATAGTTTAATTTTAGAGTGGACTTATATCAATCCATTATTTATTAGATTCCACGGCTAATTGTCTGCTAATAATAATGAAAAAAAATGGATAGGAATTTAGTGGTTTACATGTTTTCTAACAATTGTATCATGCTTCACATCATTAATATCTTTGAAACCATTTATATAATTGTTTTGCTCGAAATCCCACAAATTCATACAAGTATGTATCACCATAATCAATCCATAATTTCTTCACAAAGACATAATCATCCGTTGATCTAATCTTTTATTTATTCAAACACATATAAGTCTATCACAAAGTTTTGGTTAATTTACGAAAATCCAACAAACGTATATCACCACAATTGGCCAAAACTTTCTTCATAATCAATCCATCATGTATGTACACAAAGACATAATCATCATTTTGACCTATGTTTTTGGTTATTCAACAATATGTTAACTATAAAAAAAAGGTTGCAAATTGTCAGAAAACAAACTATACGTTGAGATTTTGGCGTGTTGTGTTTTGTTCAATCCCTTTCTCTCTGTTAACAAACCACTGAGCCGTTTTTCTAGCGATTGGCAACCACAACCGCCGTCTTCTTTCCTCCATCTCAGCAATCGCGTTCTGCGATGTGGACGCCGAAGCAGCGGTTGAACCGCTGTTATCTTCAGTCGCGTTTCCACTAGTGTCTGTTCTAACTTGCAAAACGCTGAGTCTAGGAACAGCCGTGATCTCAGAGACCGCTCTTCTCGTCGAGTCTTTGTTCTTCGACATTCTCTTCATCTCAATCTCTTCCTTATCACGCAAGTTACCTCTCTCCACTCGATCCATGGAAGAGAATCTGTCGTTTGACACCGAATTCAGCATCTCCGTCGTCAAAAACGTCAAATCCGACGGAGACACGTTACTCCAACGGTTCTTGAAAACAGCATCAGAAACAACGATCCTGTGATTGAACTTATGCATAGGTTTCTCGTTGCCTTGTACAGCAAGCGACGACGATGTTTCCTTCTTACCACCACCAATCTTAAGAATCTTGCGGAAACTGCTGAATCTCGAAGAACCATCACTAATTCCTTCTTCACGTTCGATGTAAATCTCCAAGCTCGAGCCTTCTTCTCTTGCCTGAGATTCGTTCATGATCCTCAAACTATTGCTACTATAACCCAAAACAGAGAGATCGTCTTCAATGGAGACTCTGTTTCTACACAAAGGACACGTAGCGTGCTGCTCAAGCCACTCATCAATACACCCAATGTGGAAAGCGTGTTTGCATTTAGGCAAAAGCCTAAGAATCTCAACATCTTCGAATTTAGACAAACAAACAGAACATTCCAAGCCTTGTTTCAGTCCTTTCAAAGCAGAGAATCTGAAAAAGGGAAGAGATTCGATTGCTGTTTTGTTGAGACCAGACAGTCGAGAAGATCGGTTGAATAGTCCTTGCCAGAGACGATCGTGTCGTCCTCCTTCTCCGTCACCGTCGCTCTCTGATCGGAGATCGTTGTGGAAGCATTTGGCGTAGACGAGGAGAACGAAGGTGAGTGTGAAGACGACGGAGAAAACTCCGGTGATGATGGCTAAGCTCGGCTTGAAGAGGTCGTTGGTTGTGTAAAAAGGAGGAGGAGGAGGAGGTTGAGCAGAGACATAATCTAAGAAGATGATGATGATGACGAAGATGATCAAAATTTCTTGTGGCGGATTCATCGTTTGAGAAAACGAAAACAAAAAAAGTCGTTTTTCTTCTTTGGTTCAATCTTGAAAATGTCTATGGATTTGGAGAGAGAGATATGAGAAATTTGGTTTTATTTAAACTCAATAATCTAATGTCAACGTGATATCATTATTGATCTCATTGAGGCATGAAGAAGACGGTGTAATTCGTGAGAAAGTAAAACAATATTCTATGGGATTAAGTGAAGTTATAATATGCTATGGTCCATGGATAGATTGTTGAGAAAATATTATGAAAACCATAGTAGGGGTTTGACCGGAGATTAATTAAGGAATTGTTGGAAGAAAACTAAAGGTGGTTGAATATGAATTGAATATATGGATAATTATGAAACTATATGTCTTGAATGTTGAATTGTGGAGAAAATAACCTTATTTGGAGTAAATTACCACTTATTTTATTTTGATTTCCTTACAATTGTCATTTATTATTCATGAAACTTCAAATCTGTGGAGTCAAATTCACTTGCAATACATAAAAAGAAAACTAGTGAAGTTTTTTAATGTGGACAGGAATAAAAAACATTACCAAATCTCAGATACATTTTCGTTTAATATTTTCTGAAAAGCTTTATTCATTTCTAAGATACAATTTTTCTCAAAATTACACCTTGGTCATGATAACTAGACTATATTACACACTACAGATAATTTCATCATTACGCAAGTAGTTTAGCAAGTTCGTCTACTTTCAGAGTTCCATGAGGCAACACTTCTCTGTAGTCTTCATCAAACACATCTAATTTCTTCTTCAATCCTTCCTTCTCCTTCTTCTCGTCTCTTTCCACTCTCACTGCAACTTCTTTTTGCCTAGAAACCACAACATTACTTGTCTTTACCTCCAAGTTCCTGTATCCGAACTCTCTGTTTTCCTTCTTCTCAACCGTTGGTTCTTTCCTCAAGCCATGCTGGAAAGCTGGTCCAGGCGTAGCTACAGTCGAAAAGGCTACAGCTTTTGCAAAGACTGTGTCTGCATCCAGATCAGTATCGTCTAACACAAACGCACTTCCGCTCTCTACAGCTTGTTTCATCAGATTTTGAACTCTTTCAAAGCTTTGTCTGTTGATCTCTTCCGACGTTTCAGGTTCTTGATGATCTCCAAGAGAGTTATCTGTAGTTAGCTCGGTTACATCTTCTGTAGACGAGCTCTGTAAAGCAGTGCTCATACCTCCTTCCATTGCCAAGAAATCTGCAGTTGATGAGTGGCTCAGATCATCACTACCATTTGGATCATTTTGCAATTCCATTGAACCAAAAGCAGAGTTCGGGGTCGCAACTTGGGTCTGATTTGGTGACACTGATGCTTCTTCTTCTTCATCATCATCATCATCTTCTGGCAAGGCAGTATCAACTTCGATATCTCCGAGTATGTCATCTTTGTTATCTGGAAGTGTGAGAGACGATTCCCATTCTCGTCCTCTCCAGACAAGAATCTGCTCGTTCTCAAAAGATATGAGCACGCATGGAACAAGCTCCTGGCACAGAAAGAGAGAGAGCAATAACACAACCAACAAGTTTAGCACAGAGACTGTAAAAATTAGACTCAAAATAACAAAACATGTGATTTCAAACCTTGAGTTTGGCGCCGATTTTCCTGAAATCACTTCCTTTCATCCCTTGACAGTCGATCCGAACCAATTCACAAACTTCAAATGCTTCTTTCACATTTTTCACAAGGTCACAATACACACCATTCTTCCCTAACATGACCCAACACAACATGTGCTAAAGTGAAAACTGTCCGTTTTGAAACCAAAAAACCAAATAGATTAAAGATTATTGTCAGCTTACCTAGCTTGCATATAGGCATGAGCTCTCGTCCTTTTCTCCGCATCTCAGTAGCTTCCTTAAGAGATAAACCTTCGGGGATTTGTTGAATGAGCCTTGGGTAAACAGGAGCTACAGGCTTCCACAGCATAAGAGGGAAGCGTGGTCTTGTCCTGTGGTTATAGTTTCTGCCACGGAAAAGGAATAGTACACCTCCTCTTCTGTATATCACTTTCCCACCAATTTTCTCCTGTCATTCCAAATTCACAACTTCATAAAGATTGATACAAAAGATGATCAATTTGTCTACTAATAGGAAATGAAAAGAATAGAACCTCTAATTGCTCGCAAACATTATCCATGTCGACTGTACAAACTCCTTTGCATTTGATCTTGCAGACCCTTCTTCGCTTCCACAAATCATGAATGTTATTCAACATGTTATGTGTCAAACCATCTCTGCCTGAGAAGAGTGATAAAAACAACAATGTCTAAGCTTTCCACAAATACCATCTCCAAGAAAACTTGATCATCAAAAGGAGCAAACTTTACAGAACCAAGAACATTTCAACAAAAAGTATTGAGCTTTTTATATACCCATATTCAATTGCCTTGTTGTCTTTAAGCATGAAGTGATCAGCTCTCTGATCTCTTCCTTCGTCAATGGCTCTCCCAAAATCTCCTCTTTAGTGTAAACATACCTTGGACCAACACCGGGTCGAAATGGACCCGGTTTCTGAATCGGTTTCACTCCTTTCTTTCCCGCCGGCGGCAATCGGAAAGAATCGAATTCCCTCGGAGTTTTCTGCGACTGAGGAAGCGGAGCACGGCCAGTCCATGGCCTTCCCATCGTCGTGGGACCGAAAGGAGCGTAAGCAGGCTCACGGAGCTTCAATGGCTTGACTTTAGGTGTCTCCGTGTAGCTGTATTTGAATTCGAAAGGAGCTCCGTCGATGACGTAAGTTAATCCGTCTTCGCTTAGCTTCACCTCCGCCTTTGCGTCTAATTGCGGCGGCGAATCGGGAACTTTAGGTTTGTTCTTCGGTTTGTTGGGTCCTGAATCGGGTTTGGAGTATTTGGATCTCCGACCCGGGATCGATCGAGCTGAGGGAAGTGAAGGAGTGCCTCTGGACCTAAAAGGCGACGTTTTGGGCTCAGAAGCTGCAGCGGCGGAATCGTGGGTATGGACGATATTAGTGGCGGCGTCGAAACGGCGGTCGCGACGGATCTCCGCCTCGAGCTCCTCTTGGTTCCGGCGACGCTGCTCGAATTGCTCGGCATTAGCGTTGCCCCACCTTGAGAATCGAATCTCGCTGGGCCCTCTTTGGTTCGGAGTTGGGGATAGAGTTGGCGCAAAAGTTGGGAAAAGGATATTGAGTTTCAACGACATGGCCGGCGAAACGGAGGTCGGAGGAAAGGGAAGCATCAGAGACTGACTCATCCACAGGCGGTGGACTGAAACTAAATCAACTGTAAACATTTGTATTTTAATAAAAAAAAAAAAATTAGAATTGAGTAAAACCCAAAAATACCATTGTAAGTGTTCCACTTCAAGTAATCACTACATTGTGCTAATAAAGATGACTCAAACAGTCAAACCTGCATGATTTATGAATAAGCGCATGTATATAATAAGTAATACATAGTAACATATTTTATATATATTGAAACTGGTTTTACTTTTGAAGTTTTAGAAAAATTGAGTTAAAACAAGCATCAAATGGTTAGTTAGTTGAAAAAGTGACGAGTCATCTGTTAAAAATTTTTATAAGCAATACAGATTAAAGTTATGTTATCTTTAGACTTTAGTCACACACTTAAAATGGTCTTTAGTGTGTGATACACTGATACGTGAAGTAATAACTGGTACTCAATAACTAAGATGTAACAACCATCTCATTAAGCCAGATTGAAGAGGAGGACTCATGCCTATGCAGTTTATGAATAAGCGTATGTATTAATGTATTCGTTTAAATATTTCCCTATTACTTTCAAAATCTCGATAGTGTCCTTTTAACATTTTTAAACAAAGTTTATTTTATTTTCTTCTCATCACCATTTTCATAAATGCCTTTTTTTCCTTTGGTTTTGCTAAATATGTTTTTTCCTTCTATTTCGTTTAGAGAAATTATAATCAATAATCATATTGACAACCAAAATTAACAAACTAACCATATGAAACTCTTGGCTAGAGTACAAAATATATTTTATACAATAATACCAATTTTGTCCTTCTTCTTTTATACATAAAAATCAATTCCATACTATTTTTTGTGTGTGTATGGGATAGAACCATGTTTTCTTTTTCTCATTTAGGGTTTAGTTTTTTTTAGATTCAGGTTTTGATTTTGTGTTTAGTATTTTGATTTTAGGTTTGTGTTTATATTTTTAGGTTTAGGATTTTGGGTTTCAGTTTAGGATTTTTGTTTTTTTTGTTTAGGGTTTAAATTTTGGGTTTTAGGGTTTAAATTTTTTCTTAAAACAGGGTTTATATTATAGTTTTAGGTTTAGTTTTTTTTCAGTTTAGGCTTTAGGGTTTAGATTTTGGGTTTAGGGTTTATATTTTATTTTAGGGTTTAGATTATTTTTGGGTTTTGGGTTTAGTATTTGGTTTTAGATTCTACACCCTAAACCTAAAACCTAAAATATAAATCATAAAACCAATATGTAAACCCTAAACTCAAAAATTACTCTAAACCCTATAATCTAAACCCTAAATATCTAGTAGAAGTTTTGTTCTACAACAACAATAATATAGTATAGTATTTTTTAGGGTTAATATAGGTAATTTTGTGTGAATATATTTATGTAGTATAGCCAAACATTTGTAATGGCTATATTCTTAATATTTTCCCCAATATGATTATTCACCAAATTAACCCTTTCATTTATTACTAGTTTTTGTTAAAGTATTAATTTTTAATTTTACACGTTTTTATGCTCAAAATTACTTCTAATTAAATTTCGAATATATCATTTCCAAAATATTACCCGTTCAAACCAGAAGATCATAGAAGAGTGTAAGCAAATTGTTGGCACTGGTTGGTTCCCCTTGACAACCATAGTGCAACCCGATCGAGATTAATAAATGTAGTTCAAAGATTCCTGAATCTTTTGGCTGTTTAACTTAAAATTGGAAACTTAACAACTACTATCATCTTTCTTTCTTCCGATTTTTATATTTCCATTGACCCATAGATCATGCAGTTAGTTAGTTTGTCATAGTACATTGTATGGATTCACCAATTCCGAAACAAAAGTCATAATGAATTGACTTACTATTCTTCTCCATGCACTCCACGTCCACGATAAGACTAAACAAAGTTTACAAACATGTATAATTCGTCGCCAGAAAGTGCTAGCATTATATTATAGTATATGCTTTTCTTACTCTTTACATGTTTTATTAGATTGACATGGAGAAACTTGAGGATATCTTCGATTGCAAAAGGACTTTTTTTTTGTTCTTTTCGTTCAAGCAAAAAGACTAAAAGAGTTACTTCCTAATTATTATAGTAATAAGATGAAATACTAGATTATATATCTTCGACAAAAAAACCCATGAACCGATTTATATTGTCCAAGGTACAAGAAAATCATAATGCTGTTCTCAATAAGCAAGTCGCTTTGGCCGAGTGGTTAAGGCGTGTGCCTGCTAAGTACATGGGGTTTCCCCGCGAGAGTTCGAATCTCTCAGGCGACGTAACCTTTTTAATGCTTTTAATTTGAAAAACACTCCAGTCCATTTTCTCTGGATCGCTTATAATATTATTTCTGTTTCAATACACTTTTGCGTAGGCCTGGGCATAAAATCCGACCCGCGGGACCCGACCCGGACCCGACCCGAAAAAATCGGTTCTGGTTATAACTGGTTTGGCTAAAATCAACTGCCCGGTTATTTATCTGTTGTAACCACGGTTCTCGGGTCGGGTCGGATATTAACCGTTTACCCGTGGGTATTTTTTTTAGAACCGAGATGTGTCTTTAGCGATACGACATCGTTTTGCTCCGACAGACTTCTTCGAGACTTCGACTTCGGCCATTTCGCTTTTCTTCATCGTCCGTTCCGATTCCCCAGCCTCCGACAGTCGAGAAATCCCTTTTTCACTTTACACTTCAAATTAATATTCAATTTACACAAACTGGAATCTTCACCCAACGGATTCTTAGCGTCTCCTCCATCAGAGACGTCTGCGAATCGATCTAAGGTACACAATCGATTATGTTTATGTTCTGTTTCTGCTGTTTCTGTTTCGATGTTCTGTTTCGATGTTATATTGTTGTTCTTCAATTCTGTTTCATGTTGCATGTCTCCAATTATTGGTTGGTCAAGGATATATCGAATTATATGTTGCATGTCTCCAATTTCTCTTCAATTCTGTTTCTGTTTGTTAAAAAAGATGGAATTTTGAGACTTTTCTATGGAAAAATGAGACTTGTCTTGTCCGAGAATTGATCTAGTTGTTGATTTTACTTTAAGGCAATAAGACTCATGCTCAAGCAGTCAAGCTTTTGGTTTGGTCACTTCCAATAGTGAATTGAACACATTATGTTTCGTCCCTTTAGTTATAAGCTAGGGAAGTGTTGGCTTATCACTCGATGCATTTTCTTGATACACTTTGATTCGTCTATTTAGTTATAAGCAAGTATATCTCTTCGTTCATGTGTTTGCTTATCAGAATCAAGTATATCTCTTCGTTCATGTTTTCTGTTTTTCATTTTGGTTTCTCTTTAACTTTCCTGCAGTTTCTTGGTGCTTTTTTGTCTTGATCAAATAAATTTCCTTACTCCTTCTCAGGTGTCGATGCTTTTGGCTTGTTTTTTTGTTCCTGAAACTTTGTCCTTGTCCTTGGTCTTGATGCTTTTTCTCTTGTTCTCATTTACCTGAAACATGAGTTTCTCAATCCTTCTCATCTCGATGATTTGTTGTTGTTTTCTTGTTCCTGAAACTTGAATCATATCTCATCTCTCTGTTTGCTTGTTTTTCCAGATGGCTTCAAATGAAGGACCACGTTTACATGACGGTAGTGGATCAGAGACTGAGGATGATGTTACTGAAACGTCACCAACACCACCAGTGACTACAAGTACAAGTAACAAAGGCAAAGGGAAGAGAAAGAAACCAGAAGAAGATAGCGCTAAGAAACAGGGTACATGGTCTGAAGTATGGGATCACTTCTCGAGACCTGATAATAACAAGACAAAAGCAATTTGCAATTATTGCAAGAAGATCTTTTCAGCTCCATCAGGCAATGGCACATCCAACCTGAAGAAACACTACATGGTCTCTTGTAAGGCTTACAATGTATGGAAGGCTGCTAACAGTGGAAAGAAAGACCAAACCATGTTGTCTCCTGAAGGTTCTAATAGTCGACTTTGTAAAATGTCTGAGAAGGTAAAATAGTTTTCTGCTTTCACTTGAGTTTTTTTGTTATCTTATTTCACTCGAACGTAATAACTAATTAGCTTCTTGTTTGTATTTTGATTGAGAAGCTGATCAGGGAAGCTTCTAATGAGATGATGGTGATAGCAGAGCTGCCTCTGTCGTTCATTGAGGGCTTGGGATGGAAACATTTCTGCTTTAAAGCAAAGTTGCCAAATCCGCATTCAAGGAGAACAGCTACTAGAGACATTGTGGAAATGTTTGTTCAGAGGAAAGCTGTGATGAAGAAGATTTTGGATGAGAATAAGCAGAGACTGTCTCTGACTACAGACATTTGGGTCGCACCTCATACAGGAGCTAGTTACATGGTTATAACAGCTCATTTCGTCGATGCTTGGTGGCAATTAAGGAAGCTTATCATTGGATTCAAAAACGTCTATGACCATAAAGCTGCGACTATAAGTAAGGTTCTAATTGATTGTTTGGCGGAGTGGGACATCAAGCGGATATTCAGCATCACTGTTGATAACGCCACAGCTAATAGCAATGCCATGGAGACATTCAAGAAGGACTTCAAGCAGATAGGAGATGATGCTTTGATTATGAACGGTGACTTTCTCCATTTAAGATGCTCTACTCATATCATTAATTTGATAGTGAAAGAAGGTCTGATGGAGATAGTTGACAGTGTTAATGCCATCCGCAATGGCATCTACTTTGTCAGATCTTCCACGCCTAGGCTCAAGGCATTTGAGAATCATGTGGAGTCAAGAAGGATTCTAAGAGGAAGTTTGCCTCTAGATGTGAAGACAAGATGGAACTCGACTTACTTGATGTTAGAGCAAGCTTTAAAGTTCAGAACGGCATTTGACAAGATGCATGAGGTCGATTTTCCTTATATCAAGTATTTCAAAGATACCGTGGAGGGAAAAAAGAGGGTTGGGCCACCAGTGAAAGATGATTTTGATTCGGTTGACAGGTTAGTCAAATTTCTCATTATCTTCTATAAAGCGACTTTGGTTCTCTCGGCTTCAAACACTGTCTCCTCTCACAAGTTATATCATGCAATAGTGACTATGAGTACAAACATCTCTCAGCTACATAGTAGTCCTGGTTCTGATGAAGCTCTACGTGAGAAAGCTTTCTCAATGCATATGAAACTAAGCAAGTATTGGGATCCACTTGATAATAGAGTAGAGATGAACAAGTTGATATTTGTAGCAGCCGTTTTTGACCCAAGCAAGAAAATGGTGTTTGTTGAGAACAGTTTTGACAAGCTCTATGGTAAAGGTACCAAATCTGATGATCTGAAGGAGGAAGTGAGAGATATTTTGAAGAGTCTGTTTGAAGAGTATAGTAGCGCAGTAGAGAAGAATTTAGGTGGTGAATCAGGTTCATTATCACAGCAGTCAAACGAAGTGTCTACTAGTTCTGCTAGGTCTAGAGAAGAAGCTTCTCAAACGGTTCTTGGAAGTGGTCTACATTATGAAAGCATGAATGACATTTACAGGGAGCTTGTTGACACTGGAGGTTTTCAAGAGAAACAGAATGAGTTAGATTTATATTTGAAAGAGAAGCTTGAGAATCCAGCTACTTTTGATGGGACAGATTACGATGTGCTTTCTTGGTGGAAGGTGAACATTTCAAGATTTCCGGTTCTCTCCGTGATAGCTAGAGATATACTTGCAATGCAAGTGTCTTCAGTTGCTTCAGAATCTGCCTTTAGTACCTCAGGAAGAGTTTTAGAACCAAGTAGAAGCTGCTTGACTCATTACACAATTGAAGTTTTGATGTGTCTTGAGCAATGGATGAAGTGTGAACTTAGACTGAATGACAAATTGGTGAAAAAGGAACAGCTGCTTGCGGATGTTGAGGTTCAAGATAATCTTATGAGAGGTAAATTATATTCATGATACTTATGCATTGATACTTATAACTTCATGCATTGATTTTTTTTTTCTTTTCAGAGTTTGAACCGGCATTTACCTTCAGCGCACCTTGAGTCCTTGGTAAGTAATGTGTTATTTTGTTTTATCTCTTTATGTCTTTAACTTAGTGTGTGATTCATAATTTCTATTGGTCCGATTGACATGAATGCTTTAGACATGTCTTTGTTATTCTGGTCTTTGGAACTATGTCATTTGGTATTTGACTGATACATTGTCCTTATTTTGATTGTTAAATACATGTATTCATGTGATTCTGTTTCGGGTATTTTCAGAGAATTCGGTTATAAACGGATAAAACGGGTCTAAACGGGTCTAAATGGGTAAAAAGACCCGTGTAATACCCAAACCCGAATAGTACCCGCAGTTTCGCGGATAAATTACAGTTATTTTGTTTTAGGACCCGTTAGACCCGGAACCGAAGGGAACCGACCCGGAACCGACCCGAAACACGTACGGGTCCTATTTGGATAAAAACAAAAGATAACCGAAAGACCCGGAACCGAGAGAACCGACCCGGAACCGACCCGAGTACCCATTATGCCCAGGCCTACTTTTGCGCACTATTTTTCTTAGCTTAAACAACACTTATCAAAAAACAAAAATTACTGATGGCACATGTAAGTATTGTATATAAAAAGAACCGTTTTTATTTTTTTTGTTGGAAGAGTGTTGCTCTGGTTATCTCATTTATATCCTCACAAATCCAGGAAAGGTCCAAAAGAGTGAGTACCTAGAGATAGCTTACTAATCTCCGAAGAAACATATTATATTTCCCAGATTATATTTAACTTTACACTGAGATGGATAGATATGCTTCAAATTGATTATTTAAAAAAAAAATCATATCGCCTTTATTTCTGGGGATCTTTTTGGTTTCTGAATCTTGTTCCGAAATTTCGTGCTTTTAGAATGTGATAAGCTTCTTCTTCTTCTTCTTTTTGTTGCCTCTTCGATGTCTCCATTGTGCAAATCTCATTTACTGTGTCTCAACTAACTCTTACAGTAGATGATAAATCTCTCTATTTTGTAATTTATGTGTGTGAATAGAAACTTGTGCCGATTTTTTAACCTCTGACAAAAAAAAAACAAAATGTGTGAGATCATCGTAGCTGACGGAGAGGAACAAATCACCCTCCTCTTCCTTCCTCTTTTTTTCTACATCCGTACTAAGATGACATTCATTTCTTTTCGCTGATGTGATAAGCTTCTACAAATAAACTTTTTTTTGCTCAGGTCTACAACAATCTCGACATGCATCATACACCACTATCTATTTTTAGTAAATTCACTCTTCTAAAAATTTAAGATCTCTATATTTAAATCGTAATCTAATTCAAAGTATTACTATGAACATTATAAACAAACTCATAACTGTTGACAAATGAATCACACACATCACAGACTAGTAATGCTGTTTTAAATAACCGATGGAAATCAAATGATTGACAACAAAAATCACAAGTAGAAATTGATGACAGAAAAAAAATTAAGACGAAAATGATGTTTGATGGCGACATCATTATCTTTTCATAAGATTAGAAAAGATAATGTGATTAATTATTATCTTTTGCAACAATAACTAAATTTAAAAAAGTAATATTAAACTCTTATTTTCTTTAAAGTTTACAAATATAATTTATTTATTCCGTGGTTACATATTATGTATCACTTATTTGTATTTTAAACATTTTTTTTGACAAATCACCGGAGAAGTTTGACTACAAATGCAATCAAATTTTCCTATTATCTTTTTCGAGGGAAAACATTGTCCATATACATACTCATCCTTCCTGCACGCACTTTGGCATAATTCGCCACTATTATGCTTAGAACAAATTTCAGGTGGCGCAACATTGGCTGCTGGAAAATGCCAACATCGAGCCTTACATTGCTCTTCTAGTGTAGCATCTCGATATTTTTAGTTTCGTTTCACCTGTCATTTTAATGGAATTAGTAACTAATAAGTAAAAAATAATTAATTTCAGATTGACAAAATAATGTTTTTCTCAAAATATTTGCAAATTATAAAAAAATAATCTTTTATATAAAATATTAGGTTTATACCTATATAGAAAAGATAAAAACCACAATCATTCTTTGAAAATTTCAAACCCATGTATGTATTATTTGTGTTTGGTATTTATAATTACCAAATGGCTTCTGTTAGCTATTACAAAATAAACTGTGGGTATGGAGTCCATTAGAGAGTAAATAAATATATAAATCTAAATTAAAATTAAATATAAAAAACAAGCAGAGATTTTTGGCGTAAAATGTATTACCTATAGAAATTAAGAGGAATATCATCAAAATAGCTACGAAGTGAGCAACATTTACACCTTTTACCATTTTGATTTCTTGTTTGTTTTCTTTAATTTTTCTCTTTTTTTTAAATAAGATATATTATATCCAAACATCTAATTGTTGTATATATAGTTTTTTTGAGTTTTCTAAATAAAGAAAAGGAAAACAAAAGAAATAAGAAATGTAGTCCATAAATGAATTGTGGTTAAGAAATGGATGATATAATAGAAATCCAATTAACCACATATTTTCTCCATCATTTTTGATGTGTAACCACATATTATCTCCTTCTATTTGCTATCTTTAGATAGTCATTGGTGACTTGAAGGATTGGTTTCTTTCTTTTATCATTCAAAAACAAACAGACAAAAAGGAGTGTATAATATATATATATATATATCTATAAACAAACTTACTGAGTCCCAACGGTACGCCTCGTGTTGTCTTGGTTCTGGTCCCTTTGGACGACTCGGGCCATCCCGAAGTCCGAGATCTTTGGCAACATATCTCCGTCAAGCAATATATTTGACGGTTTGTGCTCTGATTCCATGTCTGTAGAACTAGCCTTACGTTTCGCGACATTTGCAGTATTGAGATGTCGTCGTCGTTTGTCGCAATGTACATAAGGGTCCCTTTCCCTTGGCTGTTGGCTTCCCTGGTGAAAATCCTAGGCACTTTGATGAATCTGTCCCCGTTCCAAGGGCCACCTCCCCAGAATACAGTGTTGAATTCATTGCTCACTACTTCAAGCTCAGATTCTTCCTAGTTATATCTTACCGTGTAATTTCCGGTTGCAGGATCATCCATGCTTTTCCAGGATTTAAGAACTCTGTTGATGTGTGCGGTCTTCCAATCGGAATTGGCATCGACTCCTAATTTCATCCCGGGGAGTAAAGTATCTGTGGGATAATCATAACTCTGCCATACCAACTTTTCTGGATCATCGTCGTTGAGATTTCTCACCACAAAGTTTCCGTTATCGAGAGCAACTCAACACTGAGCCAGAACTTGAACTTGAGCTTGACCAGACGATGCTATTATTAGATGGGTCTTGGATAACGAGGTTTGCACCTGACAATTTTAGGGTTCCGTTGTAGTTGTTGAGAGGGTTGTCTCTGTTGCCAACCCAAACGTAGCTTCGATTAACCTCTGCGATTTCCCTGTACCAAATCCCGATGTACCAACGATCAATACGAGGATTGAAAAATCCAAGTTCGAATACACCGCCGGAAGAAACAAGAGTCCGATTACTGGACGGCGACAAGGAATCCCAAGCATTTAGAACACTGACATCTTTCTGAGAGGAAAAAGGAAGAGAAACGATTATCCAGAGAAGAGTAGACAACGTATCCAATCCATCACCAACAAAAAAAATCGCAGTTTTCTGACAACTTCGATAGAGAGAGAGAGAGAGAGCAAGAACCGCCGGAGAAATTGTCAGACATTCGACCATCCCACATGAACGCCACCAAACAAACACACGGTATGGGTAACAACATAGGTGATAGGTGTGTTAAATGTATATTTGAAAAATTGTACCTCTTAATTTTTGTATCCAAAATAGCTCGAATTTCTTTACCGTTTGCATTCGGAAACGACATCCCGCCTTGCCCTCTACCTGCAAAAGCAAGCCGGAGAGAACGCAGAGGAAGACCTCAAACCGGGACAAAAGATCCACTTCTATTAACATCACCGGGCAATTGGTTAATTGAGAATATGATTTTACATGGGCCTTGGCCCAACGCTTTCTGTTACGCTTTTAAGCCCATAAGTGTGATGGTCCTTTGCCAGATCAAATGATTTTCTTCCTTCATAACAGTTATGAAAACTCATACATTAATTTCAAGATATCACTAGTTTGAGAAATATTGTTGAATTCATGTTATCTAAACTAAATGCTTCTGTTAGTTGGTTGGTTTGTATTCTTTCATTATCCTGATTTTTAAATAAAATGAAAGGAACTAATATTCGTACATGATAACAAATATAAATAAAACAATGGTCAACAACCGCCGCACTACATCTACATGGCTATGGTTATAAAATGATATGTCATGCAAAGTCCACACATTCATTAAAGAAAAAAGAAATTACGTATAGAGCACATAAAATTTGTAATCTAGATTCACAAAACGATCAAGACATATAAGCTTCAACGTTTGTATTATAGAACATGATCACCACAAGAGGTGTTTTGTGTCTCTATGAGAGATATAGTTGGTTTGCTAAGTCGAATTTTCATGTCATTGTAATAAAAAGTTAAGTTGAATCGGTACTTGTTGTTGTTAATGCCGTGTGAAATGTTGAATAGTTCCTTTGGACATAAACTGGTAGAAAGTCTTGGCAACGGAGGAAACAAGAATCAGTATTGAATCTGTGTTCAAATGACAATTGTTGAACACAGACGTATATTATAGGTCAAATATCAATTTGCAATTAATGTAAAATTACGTAATTTCTTTCAAGTTTCAACTGACCCTTTTAATTTTGATAACAGTCCCCTTTTCTGTAAACCAGTTCTTAATCTCTTCTATTGATCATTTCTCTGGTATTAAAACAACAAAGAATCAAATAAGAAAAAAAACATTAATTTACCTGCTTCTTAAGTCTTAGTGTTATACATTCAAATCTCTGTATATATGCGTTTGGTACCGAAGTAAACAGCTGTCTCAAAATCTTCTCTTTAATTTTGTTTTTGTGTTCTGTCGCTTGGTTTTACTTTTGTCTTTTTTTTTTTTTTCTTGGTTCTTTCAAAATCATTCATTCTTTAACCTCAAGCAAGAATCATTATTTTCAAGAACAAAAAAAAAAAAAGTTTATTACTTTATTTCTGCTGTCTCGTTTGTATTTTTGTGCATTTGGTGATGAATCAATGATTTGTATACCTGTGATCTGATCCTTACCGAAAAATTCTCTTGTCGTTTTTTTTATTTGATTTTCGAGTTGAGTTTCTTCTGTAAGCCCAAAGATTAATTTTAATTTTATACATACAAGAGAGAATCATTTTTGGTACTGTGTTACACTTACATCGGAAGGAAGGTTTTTGAGTTTTAGCTTCTTACTTTGATCCAAAAGTCTCTCTCTTTCTTCAAGTGAAAATGGAATCGTTACCTTCTCCATTTGGCGACCCAGCCATAAACTTATCGGATTCGGAACTCCGAGAAACAGCTTACGAGATCTTAGTCGCAGCTTGCCGGAGCACCGGAAGTCGTCCGCTGACTTACATCCCGCAATCGCCCAAGTCCGAGCGCAGCAACGGCGTGGCTACGACGGCGCTATCGCCGTCGCCGTCGCTTCATCGATCTCTGACGTCGACGGCTGCTAGCAAAGTGAAGAAGGCCTTAGGGATGAAGAAACGAAGCGGTGGAGGAGGAGGAGAATCGTCGGGTCAAACGGATCGGAACAAGAAATCCGTCACGGTGGGTGAGCTGGTTCGGGTACAGATGCGAATTTCGGAGCAGATCGATTCGAGGATTCGAAGAGCTCTTCTCAGGATCGCTTCTGGTCAGGTACCTTTCTCAATCCGACTTTCCCGAGAAAATCGAAAACCCAGGATTTTCTCAGCAATTTGGGTTTTATGAAAAAAAAAAAAAAAAAAAAGAATCTGATTGAATCTTAGCTTCGTGATCGTTACATTACAGATTCTCAAGTTTGAAATTTGTGATTTTGATTAGCTTGGGAGGCGTGTGGAGACAATGGTTCTACCTCTTGAGCTTCTGCAGCAGCTCAAAGCTACAGATTTCCGAGATCAGGAAGAGTACGAGTCATGGCAAAGAAGAAACTTGAAGCTTCTCGAAGCCGGTTTGATCTCACATCCTTACCTTCCTTTAAGCAAATCGGATAAATCTGCTCAGCAGCTTAAGCAAATGATCCGGTCGGGTCTCCAGAGGCCGTTAGATACCGGGAAAGTCACCGGAGAGACGCAGAATCTCAGGAGCCTTGTAATGTCTCTCGCTAGTCGCTCCAACAACAACGGCATCGGCGCAGAGACTTGTCACTGGGCTGATGGGTTCCCTCTGAATCTTAGAATCTACCAAATGCTTTTGGAGTCTTGCTTTGATGTCAACGACGAGTTATCGGTTGTGGAGGAAGTAGATGAAGTGTTGGAGCTGATAAAGAAAACGTGGCCTGTCCTGGGTATGAACCAGGTGATCCACAACGTTTGCTTCCTCTGGGTGTTGTTTAATCGCTATGTTACAACTGGTCAAGTGGAGAACGACTTGCTCGTAGCTGCACATAACTTGATACTCGAAGTTGAGACCGACGCAGTAGAGACGAATGATCCTGAGTATTCCAGGATCTCGAGCTCTGTTCTGAGTTTGATTACGGATTGGGCTGAGAAGAGACTTCTTGCTTACCATGACACCTTCAACATCGATAACGTAGAGACGCTTGAGACAACGGTTTCTTTGGGGGTTTTGGTAGCTAAAGTAGCTGGTGAAGATGTTTCTACAGAGTATAAACGGAAAAAGAAGCATGTTGAGTCAGGGCGTGATCGAGTCGACACCTATATCAGATCTTCCTTGCGTATGGCCTTCTCGCAGGTTTGTAGATTTTCATACTTATTAAGTACCTGCAACGAAGCAAGTCAAGTAGTTTTTTTGTTTGTTTGTTTGTGACAGACGAAGAAGATGGTGGAACACAGGAAGCGGTCAAAATCCCGCCAGAGCACGAGCACGAGCAATCTTCCGGTTCTTGCGATTCTCGCGGAGGATATTGGTCATTTAGCATTCAACGAGAAGGCGATATTTAGTCCAATCTTGAAGAACTGGCATCCTCTTGCAGCTGGTGTGGCTGCAGCTACGCTTCATTCGTGCTACGGAACCGAGCTGAAGAAATTCGTCTCGGGTATCACCGAGTTGACCCCGGATGCTATCAGAGTACTCACCGCTGCAGATAAGCTTGAGAAGGATCTGGTTCAGATTGCTGTTCAAGATGCAGTAGACAGTGAAGACGGCGGTAAATCGGTTATAAGAGAGATGCCTCCTTTTGAAGCAGAAGTCGTTATAGGCAACCTTGTGAAGTCATGGATCAAGACCCGAGTCGATAGACTCAAGGAGTGGATTGATCGGAATCTCCAGCAAGAGGTACCTCAACTAACGAGTCTTTAAAAACTTTCCTTTTCTTGTTTCTTCTAAGAGTTGTATTGAATTGTTTCCACTTTCTATCTGCAGGTATGGAATCCAAGAACGAATAAACTCGGTATCGCTCCTTCTTCTGTGGATGTTCTGAGGATGGTGGATGAGACATTGGAAGCGTTTTTCTTGCTGCCGATACTTTTGCATCAAGTTTTGCTTCCTGAGCTAACGTCAGGCCTCGACAAGTGTATTCAGCATTATGTATCAAAGGCGAAATCTTCTTGCGGTAATGCAGATTCTCGTCGTTTTTCTGGTTTTTGGAATGATGAAGCTTTCGCTTTGTTGATTTCACTTATGGAGTTCCTGTTTTTCTGTAAATGGTTTCAATTAGGCTCACGGAATACGTTTCTACCGGCTTTGCCTGCTTTAACAAGATGCACGGTGGGGTCGAGACTACACGGTGTCTTCAAGAAGAAGGAGAAGCCAATGGCAGCTTCTCAGAGGAGGAAAACGCAGCTCGGGACTAGTAATGACTCTGCGGAAATTCTTCAGTTCTGTTGCAGAATCAACACTCTGCAGTATGTCAGGACGGAGATGGAATCATCCGGGGGCAAAACATTGAACCGTCTCCCGGAATCCGAAGTTGCGGCTTTGGATGGTAAAGGCAAAATCTTTGAACAGTCCATCGGCGTTTGCTCCAAAGGAATACAGCAGTTGTCTGAAGCAACTGCTTACAAGATCGTCTTCCACGATCTGAGCTACGTTCTCTGGGACGGTCTCTACGCCGGAGAAGTTTCGTCCTCGAGGGTCGAATCGTTTCTTCAAGAGCTCGAACGGTGCCTTGAGATCATTTCGTCATCTGTTCACGATAGAGTGCGAACTAGAGTGATTTCAGACATCATGAGAGCTTCTTTCGACGGGTTCTTGTTGGTCCTCCTCGCCGGAGGACCTTCACGTGGCTTCACGGTTCAAGACTCTGCTGCGGTAGAAGAGGATTTCAAGTTTCTGTGCGATCTTTTCTGGTCGAACGGAGACGGTTTGCCTTTGGATTTGATCGAGAAGGTTTCGACGACGGTCAAGAGTATACTTCCGCTGCTGCGTACGGATACAGAGTCTCTGATCGAAAGGTTTAAAGCGGTGTGTCTCGAGAACCACGGTTCGGACAGAGGGAAGCTTCCGTTGCCGCCGACTTCTGGTCCGTGGAGTCCGACTGAAGCAAACACACTCTTAAGAGTTTTGTGTTACCGTTATGATGAGCCTGCGACCAAGTTTCTGAAGAAGACGTATAACTTGCCCAGGAAGCTAACTTGAGAATGACCTAAATACAGTGGGAAACATTGGACCGGATGGGAAACATTACAATAACTTTGGTAAATTGTAGAATTTTTTATTTTTGGGAAACATTTCTTCATTTGTATTAATTAGACCGGGTGGGATTTGTTATATGTTGTTATTGTATGGATTTGTGAAATTAATATCTTTGTTTTTCTTCTTTCTCGTAATTTGATTCAGATTAATGATATGGATTGGCTTACAAGCATAATCTTGGTGCGACCTCTTCTTCTTCTTGTGTATAAGGTTCTACGAACTACGTAGTCTTCTTCCATGTTTACTTGTTTAATATTTCTCTTTGGTTATTAAATAAAGAGAATTGCAAAAGTATAATCAACGTGACATTGATCAAAGTCGTCTTTTAGCATTTGCTAGTTTGTGAACATCATCTTTAAAAAGAGCAATTAAGTAGGCCAGTACAAAGCCCAATATCTGACTGAACCCAAAAGGCCAAAACTCAAAACACAGAGTCTGTCACGTGCCAAATAGTTTGAAAACAGAGCATCACACGTGCTGCCTCAAAATTTGAAATTACGACTTTGAAAAATGAATCCCAAAGGGTAAAAAATAAACCAAAAATTCCCAGAAAAACAGAAAACCCCTCTTTCTCTCTCTCTCTCTCTCGGAAGACAACCATGGAAGCTATGCTTGTGGACTGTGTACAGAACAGTCTTCGTCATTTTGTCTACAAGAATGCCATTTTCATGTGCGAGCGTCTCTGCGCCGAGTTTCCTTCTGAGGTAACTTCCTGTGTTTCACTCTCTTTTCTACTTTCTTATCTCTTTCTATGATTTCTGTAAATCGAAGCTATTAGGATGGCGACATATAGAGATTATGGTTTATTTCTTCTGGGTATCTATGAATCTTATGTATCTGCATCTATTTTTCTTCTTTCTGATGTGGAATTCAATAGCTTCCCTGAGTTCTTCGAGATCGATTTTGGTTTCTTACCTTTTATCCCTTTGCTTCGCGATCTGTACGTTGTTTCTCGGGTCAATTAGGGGATGAATTCGTTATTTTTTTTCTCTCTTTAATACGATTTTGTTTTCTTCAGTTTACTGATCTGGTCAAGTTCTATCTTTGACTAATTGCAAAACGAGGGTTGCTTCTTTCTCTAGATTTTCCCCAAAAATTGAACTTTTTTTCCCATCTGCTATGTTTTTTGGTGTCCCAATTTTGAGTTTTTGTTATCCTTCACCTCAGCTATGAGTCCAACTGTTAGAGGAAATTTTGAAATTTGGGTTGATATAGCTTCATTAATAGTCGGAAAGAGAGAGTGAGAAATATTTCGTTTAGCATTTTGTATGAATCAATTCTCAAGTATTCATATCGGTTGTCATTTCAATAAAGTCTAGCCCTTGATGCCTTCTTGTGTAATCACGATTACTTTCTGTTTTTTCCTCTTATATAGGTTAATTTTCAGCTGTTAGCTACCAGTTACCTACAGAATAATCAAGCTTACAGTGCATATCATCTGTTAAAGGGTACGTGTTTCTCTGTGTATTGCTTGTTAGGCTTTTATCAAGTTTGTCTCTAGCTGGAATCCTGCGCCTTCTATTGTTAGGCTGTTTTACTCATCTTTATATTTGTTTTTGTTCGATGCTATGTAAAGGAACACAAATGGCTCAGTCCCGGTACTTGTTCGCGTTATCATGCTTCCAGATGGACCTTCTCAGTGAAGCTGAATCTGCACTCTGCCCTGTTAATGAACCTGGTGCGGAGGTATTTAATGATCTCTGGTAGATTGCTTTTATCCGCTTACTGAATGTCTTCTGTATCTGGAACTTTTGTGTTAACTTATCTCACTTAAGAGGATAATTGACGTAGCTTATTCTGCAGATCCCAAATGGTGCAGCGGGTCATTACCTTCTTGGACTTATTTACAAGTTCGTTTCATGTTCTCTCTATGCAGTTTTGTCTTGATTTTGAATGTCTTCAAAAAGATGGTTACTCATTTATGATAATGGCCTATCAGGTACACTGATAGAAGGAAGAACGCCGCTCAGCAATTTAGTCAGTCTCTGACTATAGATCCTCTACTTTGGGTCGCATATGAGGAATTATGTATACTAGGTGAACAGAATAATGCCTTTTCTGCATACTTTGGCACACTTGTTATGGTTCTCTTACATTTTTCTGGCCCTCCTACTTTTTCAGGTGTTGCTGAGGAAGCAACTGCAGTTTTTGGTGATACAGCTGCTCTCTCCCTCCAAAAGCAGTACATGCAACAGCTGTCCATTTCCCTCAACTTATACACGCACAATGAGGAACGTAATTTAATGTCTACTAAACACACGAGTTCTGAAGATTATAGTCCAAGGCAGTCTAAACACACACAAGGCCACGGCCTTAAAGATATCTCTGGGAATTTCCATTCCCAAGGTGTTAACGGAGGTGTTTCGAACATGACGTTCTATAATACTCCTTCACCAGTAGCTGCACAGGTAATGTCACACTTCTTTTAGTATGAACAACTATGATTCCATCTGTTGATCACACTTTTCTTTGAGTACTTGGGAGATTAATACGCTTATCTTATATCTTCAGTGCCCAATATGGGTTGGGTAATCTTTAGTTGAGTATTAGTTCTGAGTCTGTTTTTAATGCCTTTGGTATTTTAGTCATCTGAAAATCTTTATGTTTCTACTTTAAAAGCACTGTTTTGGTCATGGTATCTTGTATATGTGCTTGAAAAAGCAGCTGTGAATGAGTTTTAAATGATTTTCTTACATTTCTTAAATTGTAGCTATCGGGTATGGCTCCACCACCACTTTTCCGGAATTTTCAGCCAGCTGTTCCAAACCAAAACTCCCTTATTACTGATAATTCGCCAAAGTCCACAGTAAACTCTACCATACAAGCACCCAGAAGAAAGTTTGTAGATGAAGGAAAGCTACGTAAGGTAGTATTCACGTTTATGTACTGGTCTACGTGTTGTCATAATGACACAATTCTGAAATTTTTTTGTCTTAGTATGAGTGCATGTTTCTCTTCTCTGCAGATTTCTGGCAGGCTTTTTTCTGATTCTGGTCCACGACGGAGTTCAAGACTGTCTGCTGATTCAGGGGCAAACACTAATGCAAGTGTTGCAACCGTAAGTGGAAATGGGAACAATGCTTCCAAGTATTTGGGAGGTTCTAAATTGAGCTCTTTGGCACTTCGTTCTGTTACACTAAGGAAGGGACATTCGTGGGCAAATGAAAACATAGATGAAGGTTGTGACTCACATTCCATGCACTAGATTACTATTTTGTTTGAAATCTGGTCTACTGTGATTATTGTTTGCGTATATGTAATACCAAAAGCGTTGTCATTCTTATTGTTTAGGAGTTCGGGGGGAACCTTTTGATGATTCAAGGCCTAATACTGCCTCAACGACTGGTTCTATGGCTTCCACTGATGCTAAATCCTATGATCAGGATGAAGAAACAATGTCGATTAGTGGCACAACGTTAAGTGTACAAAGAATCACAGTTGGTGTTTCGGAAATATTAAGCCTCCTAAGGACACTTGGGGAAGGGTGTAGACTTTCGTATATGTACAGGTGTCAGGTAAAGCATATTGTTTAGCTCTCTTAAATATAATACAAAGGTCAGGTGAACTTACACAGGATTATTTCATTGTCTCCCTTGTGATTCTGGCTGATTCAGGAGGCACTGGATACGTATATGAAACTTCCACATAAGCATTATAATACAGGATGGGTTCTTTCCCAGGTAATTAGTCCCTCTTTTTCTCTTTTAGGCTTTCATATATGCATATAGCTTGGACATGCTTTATTTTGACGGCAATTCGAGGAACTATCTTGTTCGGTTTGGTGGTTACTTATTTGAAAAACTGTGGTTTGGAACAGACGTTTCCAAATAGAACCCATGCATGAACTGTTAGTCTGGTGGCCTGTAATATTCATTGTTTAAGGCAATTTGTTGGTTCATATATATACAATGTATTAAATGCAGGTCGGGAAAGCATACTTTGAATTAATAGACTATTTAGAAGCTGAAAAAGCATTCCGTCTTGCCCGCCAGGCGTCTCCTTATAGCTTAGAAGGAATGGATATATACTCTACAGTCCTCTACGTAAGTGTATTCGAAACATTAGCACTTGAAAATTTCCTCAAAGAGCTCCCATGTATCGTAAATTTTTGTCAACAAAAAATTGATATTTCTTTGCAGCACTTGAAGGAAGATATGAAACTGAGTTACTTGGCTCAGGAACTAATATCAACTGATCGCTTAGCTCCTCAATCTTGGTAACTTTGTTGAATGTTTATTTCTGACTGATTATTTCATTTGCTGTTGGTAAATAACAGAAGTAAGTAAAATAACTAAATTATGTAGGTGTGCTATGGGAAATTGCTATAGCTTGCAAAAGGACCATGAGACCGCACTGAAGAATTTCCTACGAGCTGTACAACTGAATCCAAGATTTGCATATGCACATACTTTATGTGGCCACGAGTAAGAAAGCTTCTATCCATTTTGACAATAATCTAGATAAATTGGTCTTGGTTGGTTCTCTAAGAGACACTTTCTATCTTTACTGTATCTCTAGATACACAACTCTAGAAGATTTTGAGAATGGAATGAAGAGTTATCAAAACGCACTTCGTGTAGATACAAGGCACTACAACGCATGGTATGGTCTTGGAATGATCTATCTACGCCAAGAGAAGTTGGAGTTCTCAGAGCATCACTTCAGAATGGCTTTCCTAATAAACCCGAGTTCTTCTGTTATAATGTCTTACCTAGGAACAGCTTTACATGCCTTAAAGGTTATATTATCACACTCTCATTTGATTGATTTTCTTAAGCTTACAAGAAAAACATTGTTTGAACAATGACTAATGCTTTATTTTTTACTTTTCTTTCATGTGTTAACAGAGAAGCGAGGAAGCATTAGAGATAATGGAGCAAGCTATCTTAGCAGACAGGAAGAATCCTCTTCCAATGTACCAGAAAGCTAACATTCTTGTCTGCTTAGAAAGATTAGACGAAGCTCTAGAAGTTTTGGAAGAGCTCAAAGAGTATGCGCCTTCAGAGAGCAGCGTTTACGCTCTAATGGGCAGGATCTATAAGCGGCGAAATATGCACGATAAAGCCATGCTTCATTTCGGTCTAGCTTTGGATATGAAACCTCCTGCAACTGATGTTGCTGCAATAAAGGTACAAAACAGAGTCATGCTATGATGGTTTTATCTGCTGCTTTTTAGAATTTGAACTATCTTGAGAGTCTACTGAAGCAATTCCTAGTGTAATCTGGTTGTTATCATTATTATCTGAAACAGGCTGCAATGGAGAAATTGCATGTTCCAGATGAGATCGACGAGAGCCCATAAAACCGTTGCTGATCCAAGAACCTTGGAGAAGGAGGCAAATGAATGGAGTTTTAGGGAACTAGCTGGTTTTTGTAGTTTTGGTACCAAACAGTAACACAGCCACAAGAACTCACTTACCACATGAGAATGTATCATTAGTTAATCTGTATGTTGTCCATAACTACTTCTCGCAATATATAAATTTCTTTAGAGACTTCAGGTTTCATGTAGAACTCAATTTTCTTTTTCATTTTAAATGATGTTTGAGTTTTTTTTGTTGACAAGTCTGCACTGAACCATCAACTTTTTCCACCAAAACTTGTTATATCAATAACCATTGACAAGTTGATTCGATTGCAACAAGCTTGATTGGTTCTTCTAAATCTATGTTTTGATTATAATAATGCACTGATTTTAATATTTAATCGCACATTTAAGGAGTCAATAAAACACATGTCTAAAGAAGATTTGTTTCAAAATGTAATCTCATAATCTTGAGAGATGGTTTACGTATATATACGTAAAAGAAAATCACGGGTGTTGAATAAAATTCACGAGAGTTATAGAATATCACGTGGATTACAGTTTAGAGAGATTAACGAACGTAACGAACAAGACCAATCAAAAGTCAACATTGATCATTTGGCCAACAACCACACACTAGACGAAAAACACTTCAAAACTAACATTTAATATGAAAACAGAGTCTAAAGAAATGGAATTCAAACTATTTCTATCTTAAAAACGATCGATACCTCTGAATCAGAAAACACTTTATGGATTTTCTTAAGAGTAGCAAAATATAGGCCGTGACATTGAAAAATTTGGTACATTTTATCTAGTTTCTAGGTTTAACACTTTTTCGAATACTCAAGGACGAATTTATTCCATGAAGTTATGGGAATGCATGAAAACTCTATATTTTTCTGTTATCCTATTTTCAACTTTAGGATAACTTTTATCAACTGGTTAATATAATGATAAAGACCTTTTGCCACTCTAATATTAGAACCTCGTCATAAATTTGGGTTATTTTAAGAAATTCCTAATAGTAACAATATAGGTTTTACTATTTAGCAATTGAACAGAAAGAAAAACAACTTCTTGTTATTTTTCTGATTTAATGGTGAACATCGAAATCCCAAAAATAGTCACGGAACTCTTGTTTTTCTAGCCTTACAAAAGGAGGGGGAAATATTAGAATAGAGAGATCTATAAGTCTTCACGAAAGCATCCCTAATTAGTTCCAAACAACAACAAAAAGAAAAAAAGCAAAACAAAAAATGTCGTTTTCTGGAAATAGCTTCATCGTACTAGCAATATTCTCCATCGTCGTAACTCAAATCTATGGTTTGGGAAAAATGGGAAGAGTGGGAAGAGTAGACCCAATGGAAGATCTCCAACCGGAAGAGACGCTAGCGGTTCACAACCAGATCCGAGCAGCGGTCGGGGTGGCTCCATTGGTTTGGGACAGCAAAATCGCTGCCCATGCACAAGCCTACGCTAACGTACGCTCCAAAGACTGCGCCATGCAACATTCAACCGACGGGACCTACGGAGAGAATATAGCTGCCGGTTGGGTCCAGCCTATAGACACCATGAGTGGTCCGATCGCGACTAAGTTTTGGTTGACGGAGAAGCCTGCTTACAACTACGCCACCAACAGGTGTAGTGATGTGTGCGGGCATTACACTCAGATTGTGGCTAATCAGTCGACACGACTCGGTTGTGGTACGGTCAGGTGTTTCAATAATGAGTATGTTTGGGTCGTATGTAACTATGCTCCTAGGCCGATGGGTGATGCCAATACACGTCCCTATTGATTTGGACGTATCAAAAAAAAGAGTTAGTAGTTTTATATGAGGTAATTCGGTTTGAAATATATTAATTAAGATAATAAACGGTATCAAAGACGCAGTTGTATGAGACTTGCATGGAATTTTAATTTAGCAGTTTGTATTAATACCATAATATATGTAGTTGTCGATAATAAAAATAAGAATGTGAGTTTACGATATACCATGCAAAGTTATAATGTACCGTATACAGGCGCATAGAGCCATAGACTATATACCGATCGAACAATCTTTGGAACGATAACTTGCTCGTGAATCACAAATTTAACAAAAAATATAATGTACATTATATTTTTCTTCAAACGGAAGCTGGAACACGTTACACATGATCAAACTAAAAAGAAAGAAATCAGCGAACCTTTTTATCATACAATACTAAAAGAGTAACGAAAAAAGAAGGTCAACATTAACTCTCCGAAAATGAAGCTGGGAACAAATCACGGGTGTTGTATTAAATTCACGTGAATTAAAATATCATGAGAGTTAGAGAGATAATACATAGCTTACAAGACTTATTGATAAAACTCAACTTTTGATGGGATTTAATTTCGTGTTTCACGCAATTATTGATTCTGACTTTTGTTATTAACTACCTTAATTTAAGGGATTTGAAAATGAAGGAGTAAATTACTACAAGTGAATCATATAGCTCAAAAAGATCAGCTTGAATCACATATATAACTTCGTGTCTGTTACTGATATAAAAATATACTAAGAAAAGAAAAGATATCAAACTAAACCATAAATCATGAATCTATCAGTTTTTATCAAGTCATATCTACAACTCATAGAAATGTATTTATCCTCTAAAATAAATTGTTTGCTTCATTTTAAAATTTTGGGATAGCTTTTCTTGACTAACTATAAATTCCTTTTGTTAGTTTTTGAATTACGAGATTTTATCCTAAATTAGAATCCTAAATTAGAATTTAATCCTATAATTATGTTATTTTAATTTATGGGGTTTCTTAAACTAATCAGACGGATATTTTATAATAAATAATTAACTCTAGTTAAATTATTAAATATTATAATGGCAAAGGTTCTTTATTATTTTCTTAGGCTTACAAAAGGAGGAACAACAATCAGAACAGAGATCACATAACCATAAGTTCCAAAACAATTTACAAAAATGTCGTCCTTTGGTAAAAGTTTCGTCGTAGTACTAACATTATTCTGTCTCTTTTCAACTCGAGCCAATTGTCTACGAAAGGTAAGGCCAATCGATGATGTCCAACCAGAGGAAACGTTAGCGGTTCACAACGAGATTCGAGCCGCGGTCGGGGTGGCTCCATTGGTTTGGAACAAAACCGTTGCCGCCTATGCACAGCACTTCGCAAACAAACAAGCCAAAGCTGGAGTCTGCATGTACAGCGACGTAAGACATTCTGGTGGACCTTACGGCGAAAACATAGCCGCGGGATGGGTCCAACCGACAGACCAAATGAGCGGTCCGATCGCGACTAAGTTTTGGTCGACGGAGAAGCCTAATTACGACCATGACACCAACAAGTGCAAAGATGTTTGCGGCCACTACACTCAGGTTGTGGCTAATCAATCGTCTAGTGTTGGTTGTGGCTCGTACAGGTGTCATGATAATGAGTTAATTTGGATTGTTTGTGATTATTATCCTATGCCAGTGGGTGATGCGGATACGCGTCCATATTGATGTTTCTGAATGAAATGATTCACAAAGACTTGAATTAATATATGGTAATGTGAACTCATAAAAGTAGATAAATCAAGTTGATGATCCATTGTTATATCTTATATATACAATTAAATAGAAAATGCTTTGAGTTCCTGTAAAATCGATTACGAGCATTAAGTGTGTGTGTGTCAGATTTAGGAGTAGGCACAATTCTAGCAGAAATTATGCAGCAAAATTTGGTTCGATCGGTCTTAAATGCTAAAAAAAGATGTTGATTGGTGCTTTATGATGCTGTTAAAGTCGTTGTGGGACTCTAAGCATGTGACTTGTGAGCCATCATCAACACCACATTCTTTAGAACAACATCATCAACATTACATAAAGTGACATGTTATCATTTTTTGGCTATTTTTAATGTGATTAAATAGTTGTTCTTTTTGTAAAAAAATCATAACCGATTAAAAGCTGTTGTGAAAGAAAGAAAAAGTGCACTCTCTAATTTGGTGAGTTCATTAAAAGCCCAACAAGTAAAAGTCCAATAAGCCACTAAAAAATTCACAAAATACTCTAGTTCAATCCAATACACACACACATCTAAAGAAGTTTAGGAGAAATCTCATAATCCAATTTGGACGGCCACGATGAGCTTGACCACTGTAAATCAGGTGGACGTGACACCACACGATCAACGATCTGAGTTCTCTTCCTTCTACGCTCAAATGCCAAGTAATTCTGGTTGATGAAACCCCTGAAGAACTCGTTCGTCTCCATCCTTTGAACATACTCAATTACAGAGATCAGACTCGAATCCGTAACCATTGGTGAATCTCGAAATCAGCTGTTGATTTTTTTCAATCTGATCCTTTTTTTTTTCGTGAAACCGAGCCGGTGGTGCATGGAAGCTCCTCTGCCGATCTGCCGTGAATAGCGGAGAGTTACTTTACATTTTGATCATCAATGGCGTCTTGGCTCAAAGCTGCCGAAGGTAATTTACATTTAGTGGGTTTCTGCATTCTTTTACAATTCCCAAGTTTCCGTAATTGTTTATCTTTCGTTAGATTTATTCGAGGTTGTGGATCGAAGGGCAAAGTCTGTGGTCGAAGACCTTTCCGAAGAACAGTCTGATTTGCAGTTGCCAGGTACTATGAGCGATTAACTCTGACTCCTTTGAGACTAACTGTAGTACAAAAAGCTCATCTTTGGTTCTGGTTGATTGATCTGTGATTACAATTTAAAATGTCACAATCATGGAACACTCAAACACAAATCTTACCGTTTACATTTTCATAATCTGGAATAAATTTACGAACTTCAGTAATAGGATAACAAAAAATTTGTAATGTGAAATTTTTGTCTATCTTTATGCCTTATATATTGTGTTTCCTTTGATTGGGTTGGCTAAAGCTTCTAATAGGAAAGGGTCGCAAGGGAAGAGATCAAATACAAAGAAAAAGGTATTATCTTGGATCTCTATGTCTGTGAGTTGCTCTCTTTGTTTGTTACATGGATACTCAATATGAAATTTTTTGGTTCTGGAATGTATTTGTAGGCTCGACAGAAACCTGTGAAAGAAGAATCTTCTAACAAAAGAGATGATCAATCTGGTCCAGGAGTATCACAGTCAGAGTTGCCTCCATCTAAAAGCTCTGTTTCCACTGAAGAAGCCTCTTCATCAGGGCCTGTTTTGGAGACAAGAGAGATTCAACAGACTGATGCAGATGTCCAGAGTGTTCAATCAATTCCACAATCAGTGGCAGATACAAAAAGTGACGATGTTTCTGTGGTAGCTTCAGAATCTGTTGTGGACGGTGATGCCGCTGAGTCAACTTCAAATGGCAAGCAGGTTGATGGAGATGCTCCCAATGACTCTTTGGTGCAACCGTCACAATCTTTACCTGACAAAGAAATTGAGGTGACTGCTAGTGAGAACCTAAATAATGCTCCCAAAAAAGGCACAGAAGGAGAGTTAGAGGATTCTTCAAAAAGAGACCTGGAGAAACTGGAATCTGTAGTGCATGTTTCTCCTTTAGGCGAAGGAACTGTGATTCAAAGCATAGGCGATGAGGTGAAAGTTGGCACCTCAATCAATCTGGATAAAGAACAGGAACAGGGAGTTGCTGATACCTCAACCAATTTAGAGAGAGAGCAGGGTCGTAGAGCGGAGACAACTGCCATGAAAATTCAAGATCAACTCGAAGAGGTTAGTTAGACTCGGGGAAATGAAGAAAAGTATAGCAAATTGTTGCCTTCTTAAAAGTCTGTTGATCAATCTTTCTACTAATTATAGGCTCAGGGGTTGCTAAAAGCTACAGTTTCCACTGGACAGTCGAAAGAAGCCAGGTTAGCAAGGGTAAGCTCGAATATACTTTGCTACTTTCCTGCATCAAATGGGCACTCTTTCGTCTTCGGATAGGATTTGTCCATCCCAGTCGTACTTAATGACCAATTTCAGATGTATGTTTTTTTGTCTTCATTTGCCTCTAGGTTTGTGCTGGACTTTCATCCCGTCTTCAAGAAATTAAGGCAGAAAATGCACAGTTGGAAGAGCTTCTCAATGCAGAGGTAAATTTCAACAGTTTGAATTTCTTTTGACCCAGAAAGAAAAAGTAAAAGTGATACTTGAATGTGGTCAATGCACCTAATTGTCTTTCTTCATTTTTGTCTGTAATAGCAAGAGCTTACCAAGTCATATGAAGCTAGCATTACACAGTTGCAAAAAGATCTGTCAGCCTCTAAAAGTGAAGTGACTAAAGTAGAGTCAAGCATGGTTGAGGCACTAGCAGCTAAGAACTCAGAGATAGAAGCACTTGTCAGCGCAATGGATGCTCTGAAAAACCAGGCTGCTCTGAACGAAGGAAAATTGTCGACTGTTCAGGTTTCTAGGCCTCTCATTTTGCTTAGATTTTCTGTTGTGTTGTCATACCTGAATGATTTATCAAACAAGCTATTCGTAAAATTATTTACTTTTTTTTTCAGGCAGACATGGAGTCTATTATGAGAAACAGAGAATTGGCTGAGACTAGGATGATGCAGGTATTGCTATATTTTTTTTCCATTAATTTCTTCCAAAATTATTTTGCTTGGTATATATGATTATGAAGATATAAGGTCCTCAGAGGCTCAGACCATTGGATTAATATTTTTGTTATTCCAGGCATTGCGGGAGGAGCTTGCCACTACTGAAAGGAGAGCCGAAGAGGAGCATTCTGCACATAATGCCACAAAAATGGTTTGTTGTCTGAACGATGCTGAAATTGTTTATAATATAAACATGATATCACCTTTTTGTTTTACATTACATTGCTCTTTCTAAGACAGGCTGCCATGGAAAGAGAAAGGGAACTAGAGCACAGGGCTATTGATGCTTCCACAGCACTTGTTAGAGTTCAGGTGAGACATGCTTCTTCCATTGATCGCTACTGAAAAAACCACTAGTATACATTTCAAATAGGTCATCCAACATAATTTGCTGCTTTCGCATGCTATATATTCGTGAACAAAGTAAAGATTCTATGTGGAACTCTTGTTTCCCAAAACCTACTTTGTTCTGACTTTTAATTGGCTGGTATTTTAGAGAATTGCTGATGAAAGGACAGCGAAAGTGGCAGAACTTGAACATAAAGTGGCATTGCTTGAGGTAGATGAACTTATCTTCAACACAATTTTTCCTCCCTTACCATCATATATTTAAAGTTCACTAGAATAATTGGCAAATGATTGTCAGGTTGAATGTACCTCTCTGAATCAAGAGCTGCAAGATATGGAAGTTCGTGCTCGCAGAGGACAAAAGAAGTCTCCGGATGAAGCAAACCAAGTGATCCAGGTATATCATATTAGGTTACCATGCTTTACATTGTTGCAGTTAACTTCAATAATGAGTTCTTAGCACACATTCAAAATTGCTATTAGAAGTAAAAACTATAGAGCATATTCCTTTAAATTCTGCAGATTCAGGCATGGCAGGATGAAGTGGACCGTGCTCGGCAAGGTCAAAGAGATGCCGAGGAGAAACTTTCTTCAATGGAGGTATGCCACTAATCTCGGAATTCTTGACAACGTTATGTATTTGTTGTTTGTGCTATACAATATGCATTATTTTTACACATGATCCATTTGTTTGTTGTAGGCTGAAATGCAAAAGGTGAGGGTCGAAATGGCAGCCATGAAAAGGGATGCCGAACATTACTCACGCCAGGTGAGATTCTCAGTTTTTTAAAGCCTGTCTCTTCTTGTCAATGCATTAACTGTTTCTGATTGTTTGGTCTCTTTTTATTTCACAAATTTCATCGCCCTTAATTTTCATATGATTATAGAACATGAATTAACTCGTGATACCCCTGACCTAGTAGGAGCATACAGAGCTGGAGAAACGCTACCGTGAACTAACAGATTTACTGGTATGTGAATCCTAAAACGTACTGATTCTTAGATCAAAGTCATATTGGGAAGTTGTGTGATGATTCTGGTCATTGGTTGTGATGCAGTACTATAAGCAAACGCAACTAGAGACTATGGCGAGTGAGAAGGCTGCCGCAGAGTTTCAGTTGGAGAAAGAGGCCAAACGTCTACACGAAGCACAGGTTCGACGTCAAAGCTCAAAACGTACTTTTGACTTTTGACAATTTCCATGCTACTTACAAGAAAGGTTCTAAACTTATTGATTCAGGTAGAGGTAGAAAAAAGCAGAGTTTCACGACGCCCATCCGCAGTTTGGGAAGAAGATTCTGAGATCAAGACACTTGAGTACGTATTTAGCAATGTCAATCTAAGAAAGACGCTAGGAGATATTTATTACACGTTAAGTTTGTTCTTAATGAATACTTACAAACAAAACAATTTAACATTCTCAGGCCTCTTCCATTGTATCACCGACACATGGCTACAGCGAGCACACAGGTAAGAAATTAGGAGCCATTTACAGAAACCTCTGCTTCTCATCATTCGCTTTTAACTTGAACTCTTATGTTTACTTTGTTGACACTCTCTGCCTTCAGTTGCAAAACGCAGTGAAACTGTTAGACTCAGGAGCTGTAAGGGCCACAAGGTTCCTTTTTCGGTACCCAATAGCCAGGATTTTCCTACTCTTTTACCTTGTGAGACGCTCGCTTACTTCTTCAATCTCATTCACCTTACTTGTGAATTTATGGAAACCTTAACCTCCGTCATTTACGAAATCGCAGGTCTTTGTTCATCTCTTCTTGATGTATCTATTACACCGGCTCCAGGTAATATTCGATGCTTTTACACTGAATAAGTGAATATCACATCACATCACAGTTATGGAATTCGAATTCTCGTCGTTTCTAATCTCATGCTCTCGGGAATGTAGGAGCAAGCCGAGGCCCAGGAAGTTGCTGAAATGACCAACAACGTCTTCAGACCATAAAAGATTCCATAAGGAAAGCAGTGAATGGGGTTATAACGAGATTGCTGAGTGGGAGGTTGCAGAAGCATACTTATTGATTGTCTTAGAGAAGGTTTTACAATTTTTTGTTATACAGAAGTTGATTCTCACGATTCCATATACTGTACATATAGCATTTGTTCATAAACGCTTGATTATGGTTGTGAAACCTTTTGAAGTTATGTTTACTAAATCGAACCAGTTCTGACCAAATAAAATCAGTCCGAACCTAGTTAGACTAACTTTTGGAGTTAAGTAACAGAGAAAATTTCGACAATGACTGTTTCATTTCCAAACATCTTTAGTCTTTATAAAACCATCTTCATGCTCAATATTGCCGTCTCAACTCTCAACAGCCGAAGTGTGCATAGAATTGTTTATCTGAAGAATATAGTAGAAACAAAAACTTAAAGTGTGCAATGGAACATTGTTTCTCTCTTAAGGGAAAAGAGGCTGATGTAGGAGTCCCGTTGCTTCGGGGTATCCCAACATTATGTTAAGATTCTGCAACGCTTGTCCTGAAGCTCCTTTCACGAGATTATCAATCTGCAACACACCGAAGAGTTTTATGCAATAGTCAGTCGCTTTAAGGGAAAAGTTAGAAGAATGAGTTTATAAGAGAGGATGATTATACGCTTACCACTGAGATTATGATAGCCCTTCCAGGGATTCTATCAGGAAACACATTCATATGACAATAGTTGGATCCTCTAACATTGTGTGTCCGAGGAACAACTCCTTCATCCAACACTTTGACAAATTCTTCATCCTACATAACATTTTTTTTTATTGAAACATGATACGTAACACTAGAAGTCATTGGCTTATAACACAGAGTAATCATCACCTCATAAGACGTTCTTAATTGCTGGTATAAGTCTTTGGCTTCAACCCCAGGAGCCATTTCCACATATATAGTCGATTGCATTCCGCGGATCTACCCAAACAACGAAGGGTCAATCAATGGTTTAAGATAAGAAACTATAGAGAACAGGCTTGAGATTTATGTGTACCATTGGCATGAGATGCGGCGTAAAACTGACTGTTACTTTTGATTGTGCAACATCAGATAATCCTTGTTCAATTTCAGGAACTGCAGTAAAAAGAGATCATTTCAGAGTTCAAAAATCACAGAACCAATTCTTCCACTCGTTGTGATCTATACCATGGCGATGCCGTGTGACACCGTAAGAAGAAATGCCTTCAGCTATCTCAGAGTAAAGGTTTGCCTCCTTTGCACCACGTCCTGACGGAAACATTTATAACAGTCAAGAAACTAGAAACAATCTTCTACTGAATCTTTGTTCATGAATAAAGACTGCAAAGTAAGCTCAAACCTGCTCCACTAACACCAGACTTTGCGTCGATAATTATGTTTTCATGTTTGATGAGATTTGCCTGCACCAAAATCAACAGAACTGAGTAACGTTGAATTGAAGACAAGACGGTCTGATAAAATTGCATTCCAAGAGAAGAAAATGAAACCTTTATCAAAGGAACAAGAGGAAGTTGAATCGAAGTCGGGTAACATCCTGGATTAGCCACAACTCGAGCCTTTTTGATGTCCTCCCTTAGTAACTCTGTTAGACCATACACAACTTCTTTCTGAACCAACCATGAGACTCAGTAAGTCTTAAGCAATATGAACACAAGAGACCCAAAATTCAAGCAAATAGCCTTTTGAGAGAAACGCTACCTGTAACTCTACTGCCTTGTGTGGCTGACCATACCATTCTTCATATTCTGAGATATCACGCAACCGGAAGTCCTGAATGGCGTAATCAAATAAGCATATCAACCTAAAAGGTCGCCACAACAAGAACAAAACCATGAATAATGTCGTCAGGGACTTACCGCCGAAAGGTCTACAATTTTTAAAGCAGTGGGCAGTCCACTGATAATTTCCTATCAAACCACACACAAACTCACTTCAGTCAAGCTTAGAAACAAATATGAAATCGAAGAATCAAAAGAAGAAAGAAAAGGGACCTGGGTTGTTCCGTGAGGCAAACAGCAGAATACAGCATCCACTGCAGAAAAGTCTGCATCCTTTACTGAGATCAAACTAGGTAGTTTCTGAGTAGAGAAGCAAAAAAGGTTTAGTCATTGATCACAAAGCATCATTGACCAGATTCACTGATTGGAATTTCTATTAGGGATAGAGAGATTGCTTATATACTTGAGCTCTGAGGTGCGGGAAGACGCTTTCCATTGACTGTCCAGCTTTTCTATCTGCAGTCATCAGAGTGACGCCGAAATGCGGATGATTCGCAACAAGCCTCACGATCTGCAACTCAACAAAAAGATCATTTGTTTAATCAAAAACTTCCTTACTCATACATACCACTTAAGCTCTGATTCATTTCAAATAGAAAAGTCGAGTTTTGAACAGACCTCTGCACCAGTGTAGCCACTTGCACCGAGAAGACCGATCCGAATATCCTTCTCCGGTTTAGCAGAGCTACTGGCTGAAACTCTGAAGCTCACTGAAGATGGAGACGCCACATTGGAGGATCCCAAAGTAAGCCTCTTGGCTCGCTTATCCGCTACACGAATCTTCCTTTCACCCTTTTTCAAAATCGAAAAATGTAAAAATACACATTTGTATAATAATTAGACTGCAGAGATAACTACATTGAACTTAAATTTAATCAAATCTACGTTTCATTATTGTGGATTGAGTAGAGAGAAAAAAGGATAAACTGGAACAAAGATGTTAAGAAGTTTAGGGAAAAAACCTTGAACCAGCATCCTCGTTCGAAGCAGATTGAGCTAAAAGTCGACGCACCACTCATCCTCGGATTGAATTCTGCAACAATCGAAATTTGCCAATTCACGAAGCAGGAAGAAGAAAGGCTAAATCTTTTTTGCTTTCAAAGAAGATAATTTGAGAGTGTGAGATATCTTACAGAAATAGGATTTATTGTCGTGAAACTGAAAATTGCATAACCCCTTGAACTTGAAGCGTCTGAGAAAGTTTTGGACGGAGCAATGTGTTCCTCTGACGGCGAGAAAAATGTGGCATTTTGTTAATTAACTGGCTAACGAAAGGGTATAACTGTCAATTACATTACTAAACGGCTACATGAAGTCAAAAGAAAATCAACAGAGAAAAAGGAGCAATTTTTATTTCTTCGTCAACAAACAAGTCACACAACACTCACTATCGGTTTGTTTATTTTCCCTTCACAATTCTGTTAACACTGCTGTGTGAGTGTTTCCAACGGAAAGAGGAAAAGTTGAATCGGAAGAGAAATGATATCGACTACTTCGTATTTTCACGGCGACGATCAAGTTTCAGTGATCGTTCTTCCTGATCGGATTGAAACAGTTCTGGAGAAAATCTACAGCAAACACAACTGTCCTCCGATAAACGATGAGTCGAGGAAGAGACTTTCATCAATTCCAGAGAATTTGGCTTTTGATCTGCTGAGGAAAATGTTTAATTCGCCGGCGGTGAAGTACCTCGACGGATTGATAGTCTCTAAAGTTAACCAGACCGTTACTGTTACTAAGTCTCCGCGGATGAGCTCCGGTGGGTCTCCGGCGAAGTCTCCTAGTTCCTCGGGAAAACACAGCCGCAGGGTTTATCAAGGTCAGTTTCGGAAACAGAGTCCATCGAATAATTGTGGGTTTCCAGAATTTTGCTAAAAGTGTGTGATTGATTTGTGAATAGAAGAAATATCTGTTGTTGTTCACTGTGATTGTTGCCGATTGTAGAGGAGATATCTGTTGATTCTGAAGCTCCATCTCCCAAATCTTTGAAAAGAGAAGACAATAGAGGATCATCTGTGCACATTCCTCCTCAGATCTTAGCTTTGAGTGAGCTCCAATTTAAGAAGGCGTTTCTGTTGCTTAGCTATATTCCTGGGTATGTTTGTTTTCTTCTTACAAGTTTTCGACTTTTGAAAAAAAATCTCCATCAATATCATCTCTTTTCATTTCAATTTCAAGTAAAATTTACATCTTTTGGGATTTATAGGCGATCTCTGGCTGAGGTCATAACTGCTGATGAGATCAGAGAATGGAAGGATTTGCCAATGGCTGCATATGAAGCAGCGGTTTGGGACCGGTTGGGACAGAAGTTTTGTTCCCAAACAGACCGAAAAGCGGTATGGATGTTTGCTGCTGAATCTTTCTTTGGTATCAAAGTTGTTCTAATAATTGCATCCTCCTTTACATGCTTCTTCTGTATACTCAGTCACTTGAATGGGATAGCGGCAAGACTCATTACTATCAGTGCCATGTCGCTTCGGATGGTAGTTACACATTCAAGGTTCATTCTGCTCTTTAACTATCATCATCTTTCATGTTTTGCATTTTACAAGCGGTTGAAGCAAGTCTTTTACAAGCACTTATCGACAACACTTGTGTTCACAGGGCCCTCTTGTTGAACCCACAGGAACACACCTGCACAAGGTCTTGGGTGATGAAAATGTTTTGACTGTCAAATTTCCGGATGTCCAGAGAAAGTCGTCAAACTTATGTTACTCTGCCTACAAAAGGATTGCCAAAAATGGTATCATGGTTGGTCTACGCCGTTATCAGTTTTTCGGTGGGTTCTTCTGTTTCCTTTTTCTCTCTTCATTAAATTTACGTCATTACACATGCAACAGTTTGCATTGTAAAGTACACTCTAACAATTCTATTCAACAGTTTTCAAAGATGGAGGGAAAGCAGAGAAGGGAGTGAAATGCTACTTTATACGCACTGACTCTACAACGTCTAATGATCTTGCAAGTCCTTACATCTTTTCCGGGATGTCAATCCATGAAGCTCGTATGCATTTTATGCATGTGCATACATTGCCATCTTTAGCCAAATATATGGCAAGGTACTCTAGTTTCTTCTCTAAGTCTCTTCTTCTGTATGCATGCGAAGATGTTCTACTGTTTCATTTTTGAGGATTTTGTATTTGAAGTCACTTTTCTTTTGTTGATGCTTCAGGTTTTCTTTGATTCTGTCAAAGACTAAGAAGCTTGATGTTGACATGACTGGGATTAACTTCAAGGAAATTGATGATATACACTGCCGTGTAAGTCCTTAATTCATGTGTCTTTCAAGAACTGTGTTTCTATCTAATTGGCCTTTACTTAGTCATATTTTCACTCTGTGCTTTGACCTTTTTTAATTTTCTTCCAAACTGCAGGATCAAAACAATAATGATGTTCTTGATAAGAATGGGAAACCTCGTATACATTCAGATGGCACTGGCTACATCTCTGAGGACCTTGCTCGGATGTGTCCTGTGAATATATTTAAAGGGAAATGTCTCAGAAGTGATGATAGTCAGGTCTTTGCTCTACTTCCATTACATTTTATTGGTTGATTAGCTGCCCTTTGTTCACTCGTTTGTTTTGAATCACAGGAAGCCTGTGGCCAAGACCCGGTATGTATAATATATAGTTCACACCCCTGTTTATGCTTGATTCTCTATATATGTCTCTTACTTAACTCTTTCCAACAGCCTCTTCTGATCCAGTTTCGAATGTTTTATGATGGCTATGCTGTTAAAGGAACTTTTCTCTTAAACAAGAAAGTGAGTCTGCTTTCTTTCGCATTACTAACTTCTTCGTTTTTTCCTTCGTTTAAATGTTTCCAAACTATTCCTAACGTTGCTCCCATTTCCTTATTTGGTAGCTTCCTCCTCGGACTGTCCAGGTTCGACCTTCCATGATCAAGGTGTCTAAAGATCCAGCCTTGTTAGATTTTTCCACATTTGACTCCATCGAGGTAGTCAATACAAGGTATGTGTTTTTTGGATACTTGTTGTCCACTCAAGTGCTCTCGCTCGATGTTCTTATAGTGAAATGAAGTTATCCTCGTAACACCTGGTTGCTTTCATTATCCAGTAATCCACCAAAAAGAACAAAGCTATCAAGAAATTTGGTTGCACTGCTTAGCTATGGAGGAGTCCCTGATGAGTTCTTTTTGGATATATCACTCAACACACTGGAAGAATCAAAAACCATTTTCGACAATAGACGTTCTGCGCTGAAAGGTGCTTCAGATACCAAAGCTTTATGGTTCTTTTGCACTGTTTCTCTAATCATCTCCCTGCAGCTACTGAGTCAAGTAACTTGATGGATCTTTTAAGAAGTCAATTTGTCAGTGCAGCTGCGCTTAATTATGGGGATATGGACGATCAGAACGCTGCACAAATGATAATGGTTGGTATCCCCTTGGACGAACCACACTTGAAGGATCATCTGTCTATTCTCTTAAAGACAGAGAAGATTGATCTCAAAGCAGGAAGGCTTCCCGTTACTGAATCATACTATCTCATGGGCACGGTTGATCCCACCGGAGAGCTAAAAGAGGATGAAGTCTGTGTGATCCTGTATGCTTCCTAGTCTCATGCTCTTTCACTTTGAGTTTTAAGATACAGTAACTTTGCTTCTTTGGAATTGTGAGTTAGCTGTTCATTTCGTCACTTGTACTTTCTTCTTTTTTTGTGGTCTTGTAGCGAGTCTGGCCAGATTTCAGGGGATGTGTTAGTTTACAGGAATCCCGGATTGCATTTTGGAGACATACATGTACTCAAGGCTACATATGTTAAGGCCTTGGAGGAGTATGTCGGAAACTCCAAGTATGCTGTGTTCTTCCCTCAGAAAGGTCCAAGATCTTTGGGCGATGAGATTGCGGGTGGTGACTTTGATGGTGACATGTATTTCATATCCAGAAATCCCGAGGTGATTAACCGCAATAGAAACTAAAATTATTCATTGTTTTGACCTGATCTTCTTCGGTTTCCTCTCTGTTTTAGCTACTTGAACACTTCAAGCCAAGTGAACCGTGGGTGAGTTTGACTCCTCCTAGTAAAAGTAACTCTGCTAAAATACCAAGCAAGCTTTCACCAGAAGAGCTGGAAGAAGAGCTTTTCGATATGTTCTTGAAAACAAGATTTCATGCCAGGTTCTCTCAACTTACCTTTTAAGCTCTGGATTTAGAACTGTGCCTTGGATCAATCTTTGAGATATGTATATGTCTTTTTTCTCTCTCTCTGGTTTACAGCAATGTTATAGGGATGGCTGCGGATAGCTGGTTAACACTAATGGACCGATTCCTCACACTAGGAGATGAGAGAGGTGAGGAAAAAGCCGAAATGAAGAAGAGAATGTTAAGGCTGATTGATATATACTATGATGCTCTTGATGCACCTAAGAAAGGGGATAAGGTCTATCTTCCAGACGCGCTGAAGCCTGACATTTTTCCACATTACATGGAGCGGGACAAGACGTTCAAGTCCACTTCCATTCTAGGGAAAATCTATGACTTTGTTAAATCACAGACAACAGAGGAACCCACACAATCAACAGGTAAAGGATCTTTCTCCTTGCTGAATTCTAATAATCAGAACACAGAAGAAATCATTATACAGTATATGTGTCTAACTGTGGTTTACAATTCAGAGATCAGTAAACTCCAAGGTTTTGAAGATGAGCCTGTCTCTGAGTTTCATAAGGAGAAATATAGACAATGGTATGAGAATTACAGAGCTGATATGAGCCAGGCGTTGAGTAGAAAGGATGAATCAGCCAGTGAAGTTATTCAGAGATACAAACAGGTAAGCTCCTCAATCTGATGCCACCAATAAACTCACTGAATCATAAATTTTATTTTTTGAATTGTCCTGCAGGAGTAAGAATCTGACGCTTTATAAACAAACAGTTCTGATGAAACGGTTTCTTCTTTTTTTTTTTTTTTTCAGGAGTTCTATGGTGCTGCAGCGTTTGAAGAAAGCAAGAAAACTCTGGAAGAACTTTACCCGCAAGCTTTGGCGCTTTACAGCACCGTTTACGATCATGCAGTCAAAATGAAAAACGTTCGAAATTGCGGGTTTGCCTGGAAAGTTGCAGGGCCGGTCCTGTGCAGATTCTACCTAAAGAAAACGCAGGGAAAATCTTTACTATGTTCACTCTCTATGCTTAAGGAGTTGTGGGGTTGAGCACAAATGACTTGTTAATAAGAATAAAGCCTTCTGTTGTCTTCATGTATCATAAGAAGCGTGTGAAGCAAGTATGTAACCTAAGTACAAACCTAACTTGTAGATAAAGCTATCCAATCAAGATGTGGTGCGGTGCCTTCTGTTTAGTTCTAATTGGATAGTTTCATTGTACACACAACAGTTACATTGGAGCTTGTTCTGAACAGTTTTCATAGACGAGAGAGGGAAAGAAGAGAAGAATGGAGTGGAATGCTAATAATTTTTGTTTTAAACATGATTTTGTCATAAAACTTTAATTAAAAAACTTTGCTAAAGCAAGAAACATATCATTATAATACCACAACGTAGGACATGAACTCACTGGATCTGAACCAAGCTTGGAACATAACTAATAATATATGGTCCAAATGATCCCAGTGTAGCTACCTTCGAATCCGGTTGTGAGGCTTTAATATCCCGAACATAATTAAAAAGATCGTGTCCAAATGACCCAAATGGATCTATCTTCGAATCCGCCGCTCGTGTGACTTCAATATCCTCCTCAGTATTGGTCTCGCAGACTGTGATTGTAAATTTATGTTTCTTAGAAAACACGAAGACTTTCGTCTCGTAGTCCACCAGAAAACAAACGGTAAGCCACCCCCACCTATCAAGTTCAGGGCATACTGTTACGATCTTGCTCCACACATCACTCTCATTCCTTACCCATATCTCTTTCTCCGATAAATCTTTGCGTTGTAGTAGCACCGAGAGTTTCTCTTCTCTGAAAACTGATAGATACGTAGTCTCATAACCAGTATGCTCATAGGGAAGACACGTACGTCCAAAACTCTCTCTTGTGTAATCAAAACTTACTAAGAACATGTGGAACTGATTCTCTTTCTCATCCCAACCCAACCAATAAGTCTTTCCCTTCAAAGACACGCCACAATACATTAAGCTGCCGTCAGGAGTGACGTCAAGAGTCCTCCAAGAACTAGACTTTTTTTTTTTAGATTTCCAAGATCTAGAGTTGATCTCACAGATTTCGAAATCAGTTTCACCAAGAATATTGTAGCTCAATATCTTGTAGCTATTATTACCGGAGCTGTTGTCGTCTTGGTACGATCCAAGAGTGTAAGCGATCTCGCCTATACTGTCACGATCACTAGAGGGTTCGATCGACTTTGTTTGACCAGTACAAGGGTTCCAAACCACGATACTAGTGTTGACTTTACTGGTGCATAACAGCAAGCCATCGCAGTGAAAGACTTTAGAAATCTCAAACTGGTCTAAACAAGAACGAGGGTCGATTGCGCCACACTTACTCAAAGATGGATTTCCATTGAGTTTGACGCTCATCGAACAAATCCTAAGTGGTGTCGTCTTCGACATGATGATAACCTGAAACTGTTTTGCAGCTTTATCAAAGTGTCTCCTTGTGAATTTCTTGTCGTTGAACAAACCGTCCCATCGTGTGCAAGTAGATCGTAACCGTTTCAGAGATGTGGCCGGGATGCGACCGAGTATCTCGTCTAACAACTCATCGGGTAGATTTGGCACCACCCTCATACACTTTTGATGTTTAGGGTTTGACATCATCATCATCATACACCTTTTGATCTCCCAAGGAAGAAAGTGGCGGTGGCTTTGATCTTGTCTAGCTAGGGTTCTCCGTGACGAGACAAAAAAGTAGGTATGAGTTAAATATTTTTTTTCCCTTTTTTGTTTTGTTTTGTTTCTATTCATTTTTTTTTTCTTTTCTTCCCATTTTCCTTTGTGGTTTCTATGTTGTCTTCAGACGTTAAAAAATAACAACTTTCCTCCAAGTGATTTCCTAAATATGAACAAAATTGATTACATAGAGAACGAAAGTATGCTGCCTTAATGATTACTGGATTATTGTCTTCATCTTGTAATAACATGTCACAGAATAATAACCAAAGAAGCAGAGCCGATTACGCACCGCCATAATCTTAGAATTATTTAAGAGAAAATCCCTTCAAACAGATTTGTCAGATTGTTTGAAATACGAAATCTAAACTCAATATATGATCAAATATATTTGCGAGATTCATAATTGCAATAATAAAGAAATGTGTCAAGATTCATACTAAGATATATGATCAAATATATTATTTCAGTAAATTACATTTGCACCATCTTTTGTAATCTTGCGCTTGTAATAACCAGCGGGACTGAATTTTGAAATTCGCGTTTTTGCGATGGCAAAGTCGGAAAACGCTATTTTCCTTGAGCGTTTGTAGCAGGCAGGCAAGAAAGTTGTGGCATCTTTGTAATTATGGTGCATATGGAATGGCGTTTTGAAACATTTTAAAAATCATTTGTGTTACTGTATAAAATCTCTCAAGAGTCCAATCAAAAAAGATATAAAATTTGGTTTGTCAGTGTGAGGTCAGCTCAACAGAGTTGCATTCAGTAACACTAAAAAGAAGAAAATTTGAAGACAATGGCAAAAGCAAGACACTGTCTCTGATTTGGGCGAGAAACAATGGTTACAACAACATCCCGGCATCTTACCGGCGGCGATCAAGCTTCTCCGCAGTCGGAGATCGCTCTTTCCGGTAGCGTTGAGGCAGTTCTGGAGAGAATCTACGGGAAACACAATCATCCTCCGATCAAAATGGAGACAAGGCGGAGACTTTCTTCGATTCCCCAGGAAGTGGCTTTGGAAACGCTGAGTAAAGTTTTCAATGTTGAGCATGTGAAAGCGACCGTCGACAAGCTCATCAACTATTTTCTTGGCCAACAGACCGTTTCTGTTTGTGGCTCTCCACGGCCGAGATCCGGCGACTCTCCGGCGCCGTCTCCTAGAACTCCGGGGAAAAAACATGGCAGGCTTTTTCAAGGTCGGTATCAGAAAATTAGAGAGACCCGTCACATGCATGTTTTTGATGAAACGGAAAAAACCTTGATTTCCCTTGGAATTTGACTATGGCTATGATTGATTGTCGCAGAGATGTCACTTGATTCTGAAGCTCCTTCTCCTAAGTCTCTGAAAAGAGAAATCAATGGAGGATCTCTGCACGTTCCTCCTCAGCTCTTAGCTTTGGGTGAAGTCGAATTTAACAAGGTGTTTCTGTTGCTCACCTATACTCCAGGGTGTGTTTTGCTCTGACCTTTGTCCATCACTATCCCAAACCTATTTTATGGTCACAAAATACCTTTTTTTTGGTGTTATACAGGCAATCTCTGGCTGAGGTTATAACCGCTGATGAGGTTATAACTGCTGATGAGATTTGGCAGTGGAAGGATTTGCCTATGGCTGCATATGAAGCAGCCGTTTGGGACCGCTTTGGCCAGAAATATTGCTCCCCAACAGACCGAAGAGTGGTATGCCTGTTTGCTCTCCTGTTCTCTGTTTTGTACTTTTTAAAGTGAAATGACAAAGGAAAAAAAATGGATATTGCAACCTGTTTTTGAACTGTCTGAGGAATTTGATTTTGGTGTTAAGTTTCTACTAGTTGTTTCATCTTACATGCTTCTTCTGTATACTCAGTCACTTGAATCGGATACCGGCAAGACTCATCATCGTTACTATCAATGTCATGTCGCCTTGGACGGTAGGTGCACATTCAAGGTTCAGTTGTCTTTCCAACCACTATCTATCACGTTTGCATACTCTCGTTTTCAATATGTCCTCAGTTGCCATAATTGGTTTGCAAGTCGCTATCATATGTCTCTTAATATGCTGTTTACTTATTGATAGAATGTGTTCGTTCACTCAGGGACCTCTTATTGAGAACACTGGAACGCACCTGCACAAGGTTTTGGGTGATGATAATGTTCTAACCGTCAAATTCGCGTACGTGCCAGGCGAGGCAACCTATTGTGATGACATTTACTCTACATACAAAGAGATTGCTAAGAAGGGTATCAGGGTTGGTTTACGCCGTTATCGATTTTTTGGTGGGTTGTTTTCCTTTTCTTTCCCTTTAATTCTCAAGATTGTCATTTATATTATTGTCACATACAACACTTTTCATTGTGAATGTGCTAAAACTTTCATGTCTAGCAACTTTCATGAAAGATCGAATCTGGTAGCTTGTGTGTGTTGACATAGCAGAAAATTTTCTTACTTTTGCTTTTGTTTAAGCCTGTTTGTCTTTGTTTTTATATACAGTTTTCAAAGATGGAGGAAAAGAAGAGAAGAAAAAGGATTTTTCTACAATGGGAGTGAAATGTTACTTTATACGGACAGAGTCGACAGCATCTAATGATATGCGAAACCCCTATATCTTCTCTGGAATGTCAATTCATGAAGCACGTATGCATTTTATGCATGTGCAAACATTGCCAACTTTGGCCAAATATATGGCAAGGTGCTATCTAGTCTCTTCTAAATCTCTATCGCAGGCATATAAAGATATTCTACTATCCTCATCTTCAAACTCTTCTAGAGATGTTCTCCTTTGTAATCAGAATCACCTTTCTTTCTTTGATGCTTCAGGTTTTCTTTGATCCTGTCAAAGACGAAGAAGCTTGAAGTTGACACGAATGGGATTATCTTCGAGGAAATTGATGATATACACTGCCGTGTACTTGCTAAATACTTCGTCTCTTTCTTTACTTTGATGCATTCACTATATGTTTTGACCTTTTTTCACCTCTCTTCCAAATTCCAGGATCAAAACAATAATGATGTTCTTGATAAGAATAAGAAGGCTTGTATACATTCAGATGGCACTGGCTACATCTCCGAGGACCTTGCTCGGATGTGTCCTACAGATATTTATAAAGGGAAACGTAGCAGAAGTTACAGTGTGCAGGTCTTTGTTCTACTTCCATGACAATTTGATTTTGATGGTTGCTTACTTGCCTTCTCTTCGCTCTTGTTCTCTTAACTTGTTTGTTTTTAAACCACAGGGAACCTCTGGCATAGAGCCGGTATGTAGTTTATACTCCATGTTATTAGCTCGATTCTCTTTATTTGTCTACTATCACTTGACACAAATAGTAACAATTCTGTTTTTCCAACAGCCTCTACTGATCCAGTTTCGGATGTTTCATAAAGGTTGTGCTGTTAAGGGTACTTTTCTGCTGAACAAGAAAGTAAGTAGGCTCTCTTTCATGTCTCAAAACCAGATTCTGAAGCTGTTCTTAGTTTATCTCCATTATGTGGCAGCTTCCTCCTCGGACTGTCCAGGTTCGACCTTCTATGGTCAAGGTGTATAAAGATCCAACCTGGACAATGTTTACCACTTTCAACTCCCTCGAAATAGTCAATACAAGGTATCTTTCTCTTGGTTTCTTCTCGTCTTGAAGCTGAACTTCTTGCTTGATGATCTTTGGTTGTTTCCGTCTTCCAGTAATCCACCAAGAAGAACAAAGCTCTCACGAAACTTGATCGCGCTACTTAGCTATGGAGGAGTCCCTAATGAATTCTTTTTGGAAATATCGCAACACGTTGGAAGAGTCGAAAACCATAGTCTACAACATAAATGCTGCGCTTAGAGGTGCCTCGAATCGAACTCCCTGAAACTACGTGGTTGATGTGTCCTGAAGTCTAAAGTCTTTAATACTATAGGAAGTATAAAGAAACTCTCAGTGGGTCTTTTAATAAAGTTAACTTGTTTGTGCAGCTGCGACTAATCATGGGGAAATGGACGATTATAACGCTTTACAAATGATCATGTCGGATATCCCGCTTGACGAACCACACTTGAAGGATCAGCTGTCTATTCTTCTAAAGACAGAGAGGAATGATCTCAAAGCAGGAAAGCTTCTTGTTACCGAATCATACTATCTCATGGGCACAGTTGATCCCACAGGAAAGCTCAAGGAAAATGAAGTCTGCGTCATCCTGTATGCTCTCTTTCTCTTTCACTTTGAGCGCATTTGCTACCTTGGTAATATGGATTTAACTTTTCATTTCCTCATTTGTTTCTTTTTGTGGTTTTGTAGCGAGACTGGCCAAATCTCAGGGGATGTATTAGTTTATAGGAATCCTGGATTGCATTTTGGAGACATACATGTACTTAAGGCTACCTATGTTAAGCTCTTGGAGGAGTATGTCGGAAACTCCAAGTATGCTGTGTTCTTCCCTCAGAAAGGTCCAAGATCTTTGGGCGACGAGATTGCAGGTGGTGACTTTGATGGGGATATGTACTTCATATCCAGAAATCCCAAGGTACTTCTCTGTCCATTGCATTTGTAAGTAAATCCTGAGACCTGACTAATGAACCGTAAATCTTTCTGTTTAAGCTACTCGAACACTTCAAGCCAAGCGAACCGTGGGTCAGCTCTTCTCTGCCTAGTAAAGTTTACACTGGTAGAGAGCCAAGTGAATATCCACCAGAATTGTTGGAAGAGCTGCTTTTCAATATGTTTTTGAAGGCAAGATTTCAATCCAGGTAACTTCTTGGCTTACAATAGTGAGCGACTTTTAAGTTTTTGAAGTACCATTTCTTTGGGATTTAGCTCTTTTTTTGTGTTAAAATAAGCCTTGTGTTTTCGATTTACAGAAATGTTGTAGGAGCAGCTGCAGATAGCTGGCTAGCAATAATGGACCGTTACCTCATGTTAGGAGATGAGAGTGCTAAAGAAAAAGCTGAAAGGAAGAAGATGATGGTAAAGGCTATTGATGTATACTATGATGCTCTTGATGCACCAAAAAATGGGGCTAATGTCAATCTCCCGTTGGACTTAAAGTTCGATACTTTTCCGCATTACATGGAGCGTAAGAATAAGAAAGAATTCAAGTCCACTTCTATTCTTGGATTAATCTTCGACACTGTAATGGCTCAGATTGCAGAGGGAACCCCAACATTTGGTACGGATCTGCTTGTTACTATTCGTAATCAGAGTACACAAGAACTCATCAAATATGTTTTAACGTCTTAAATGTATTTTCTTACTATTCAGAAATCAAGAAACTTCCGTGTTTTGAAGATGAGCCGGTCTCTGAGTTTCATAAGGAGAAATGTGGACAGTGGTTTAAAGATTACAATAAGGAGATGGCCCAGGCGTTGAGTACTAAGGGTGAATCGGCAGCTAATGAATCAGCAGCTAAGAAAGCAGCAGCTAATGAAGTTCTTCAGAGATACAAGCGGGTAAGCTCCTCTGTTCAATTGCTTGTAAGAGCAAAGATCTGACCAGTAGACTTCATGAAATCACATGCGGATTGGTCCAACGATTAGTCTAATGCTTTTATAAACAAAGCGTCTCTTGAACAGTTTCTTCTCTATGTATCAGAAGTTCTATGGTGCTGCATGTTTTGAAGAAAGCAAGAGAAGTATGGTCGAACTCTACCCGGAGGCCCTTGCACTTTACCACATCGTTTACGATTATGCCATCATGTGTAACGACGTTGGAAAATGCGGGTTTGTTTGGAAGGTTGCAGGCCCAGTCCTGTGCAGATTCTACCAAAACCAGGAGAAGACATTCCCTTGTTCATTTTCTTTTATTAAGAAGCGTTTCGGTTGAACACACTTACTTGCTCTGTTCTGCTTTAGTAAAAAATAGATAAGCCTTGTGTTGTCTTCGTGTCAAATAAGATGCGTGTTAGGCAAGTATGTTATCTATGTAACCTAACTTGTAGGGAAAGATATGTGGTGTATTGCCTTTGGTTTAGTTCTAATCTTGGACTTGTCCTCTAGTGTCACAAACAATTCCGTGTATGTATTTGCTTACGAAATAAAAAAATCATGTTAAATACGCGTAAGCTTATATTTAAGTTTATATTTAATTGTACGTGGCGAGTTATGAAAACTGTCTTCTTCAGTGTGACACCTCTCTGCATCCTCAAGCTTCCATTTGGATTCCATAAAAGCTTGAGAAAGTTTCTTCCTTTTTGATACTTCTGAATTTCGAAATCTCAAATTTCGAAAGTTTCTTGTGTTCATATTCGATCCTTTTAAGATGGAGAGTGGAACCAACTCGGATTTGAAATCATCCGTCAATGGTGGCGTTGTTGATGTCTATGGAGAGGATTCTGCAACCATTGAGCACAACATAACTCCATGGTCTCTCTCTGTTTCTAGGTAACAAACAACCTAACTCCTCCATGGTCACAAAAAAAAGTGTCTATATTAACAATCAAGTTACTAACTTTAAATTCTTGTTTCAGTGGTTATTCATTGCTGAGAGATCCTCGTTATAACAAAGGACTTGCTTTCACTGAGAAAGAAAGAGACGCACATTACTTGCGTGGTCTTCTCCCTCCAGTTGTTCTTGATCAAAATCTTCAGGTATAAACTTGTTGGTTTGGTTATTGTGTATGGTTCTACTTATGGAGATTGTTCTGAATGTGTGGTTTTTGGATGGATTAGGAGAAGAGGTTGATGAACAATATCCGAAAATATCAACTTCCGCTACAAAAGTACATGGCCTTGACAGAACTTCAGGTAAATCCTGTCTGTTTAATCTTACAGATAGTTGTTCTGTAAGCAAATAATCAGAGAAAGATAAATCTTTTCTTGGACTTACAAAAACAGGAAAGAAACGAGAGGCTGTTTTACAAGTTGATGATAGATCATGTGGAGGAGCTTCTTCCTATTGTGTATACTCCAACTGTTGGCGAAGCTTGTCAGAAATATGGAAGTATTTTCAGGAGACCTCAGGGTTTATTCATCAGTTTAAAAGAGAAGTATGGACTACAAAAACTCCATCTAATCATTTTCATTTTTTCCCCAGCTTTAACTTTTACTCATAGCCTTTGTGTTCATACAGGGGAAAGATTCTTGATGTGTTAAAGAACTGGCCTGAAAGGAACATACAGGTTATTGTTGTAACAGATGGCGAAAGGATCTTGGGATTAGGAGATCTTGGATGTCAGGTAATTTCTTCCTCGGTTATCATTTGATATGGTTTGGACAAGTGCCTGAAAACAGAGTTGTTTTGACATTTAGGGAATGGGTATACCGGTTGGTAAATTGGCTTTGTATTCAGCACTTGGAGGTGTTCGTCCTTCAGCGGTAAAGGCTTAAGTTTACTGAAGGTTGAAATTGCAGTAGTTTATAAGTCAAGAACTTGAGACTAAGTTTCTTTTTCTTGCAGTGCTTACCTGTCACTATTGATGTGGGAACAAACAATGAGAAGTTGTTGAATGATGAGTTCTACATAGGACTCAAACAAAAGCGAGCAACCGGACAGGTTTGTTCATTTTCTGTCTTGCATTTTAAGAATATGAACTTCCAGAAATTGAGTAGTTTTTCTTCAACAACATAACTGCAGGAGTATAGTGAACTCTTGCATGAATTCATGAGTGCTGTGAAACAGAACTATGGAGAAAATGTTCTTATACAGGTACTATAAATTATGAATTTTTGCTTCTTTAACTTGTGTATTTAGTATATATATTACTGTGTAAGTTTTTATGATGGTTTTGTTATCTTCCATTTGACACAGTTTGAAGATTTTGCTAATCATAATGCATTTGAGCTGCTTGCCAAATACCGTGATACTCATCTTGTCTTCAACGATGATATACAGGTAAGAGTTTAAACTTCTTTTTGGTGTTTCTTGTTGTCTTCATAGTTCGTTTGTGTTTGCCTTTTCAATGTCAGGGGACAGCAGCTGTTGTTCTTGCGGGATTAGTTTCTGCGCAGAAGTTAACGAATAGTCCACTTGCAGATCACACCTTCCTCTTTCTTGGTGCTGGTGAAGTAAGAATCAGTTTTTGGCATTACAGTCTGATTTGTTAAAAAGTTTGGTCCAACTTTCAATTCTTATGCTTATTGTTTTGTTGTTACAGGCTGGTACTGGAATAGCAGAACTGATAGCTCTCTATATATCGAAACAGGTAATGAATCTTCTTGATTTTTTTCAAATATTTGGTGCAATCACTTTCAGTTTAAAACCTTTCTTCTGCAGATGAATGCTTCAGTAGAGGAAAGCCGCAAGAAGATCTGGCTTGTTGATTCCAAGGTAGAAGATCTTAGAAAAGCTAAACATAAGACATTTCATTGGAACTATAATTTTGAAGCAAGTTTGTTTTTCTTTTGCTGACAGGGACTGATTGTTAACTCTCGCAAAGACTCACTACAAGAATTCAAGAAACCTTGGGCTCATGAACATGAACCGGTCAAAGACCTCTTAGGTGCTATCAAGGTTTGAAACTTCTTCCTACTTAGAGTTGTGAGTCTCTTCTAATCTCAATCTGTTCTCTTTTCACATATGTTATATGTCTTCCCAGGCCATAAAACCGACTGTTCTGATTGGATCCGCCGGCATTGGACGAGCTTTTACTAAAGAAGTGATTGAAGCCATGTCCTCCATCAATGAGGTACATATATTTGTGATTAGAGAATTGCATTTTTTGGTTTAAGAATAAGAGGAGAAACCAACAAAAATGTTTCTTGCAGAGACCTCTGATAATGGCTCTCTCTAACCCAACAACACAATCAGAATGTACAGCTGAAGAAGCTTATACTTGGAGTAACGTAAGTCTCTCTCACTGCTCCATTTTTCTGAAACGTCTTCTCCCTTATTGGAGATTTAAGTTTCCTGATCTTCTTTTCAATGAAGGGTCGTGCCATTTTCGCAAGTGGAAGTCCGTTTGATCCTGTTGAGTATGAAGGAAATGTGTTTGTATCTACACAGGTAATATAATAGATAAACTCTCTCTTGGATCATCCATTGGGGACTATGGAACATATTAGTTAGTAAATCTCTCCTGCATTTTCTTAAAAACCTAGGCCAACAATGCGTACATATTCCCGGGTTTTGGACTCGGTTTGGTTATCTCAGGAGCAATAAGGGTACATGACGACATGCTACTAGCTGCTGGTGAGCATTTAAGATATCCTCTTAAAAACTAGTAGAAGTGCTCTTATTCTTATATCAAATGTTGTGTTTCATGCAACAGCTGAGGCATTAGCTGGACAAGTAAGCAAAGAGAACTATGAGAAAGGAATGATATATCCTTCCTTCTCCTCAATCCGAAAAATCTCAGCTCATATTGCAGCCAATGTAGCAACCAAGGCATATGAACTAGGTCTCTCTATCTCTCTCTCTCTCTGGCTCTACTTTTGTTTACACACTTGACTTCTTTCAGACTGAAAATGCGGTTGTGGCTGAAATGTTTTGGTTTTCATCAGGAGTGGCGGGGAGGCTTCCACGACCAGAGGACATTTTCAAGTGTGCAGAGAGTAGCATGTATAGCCCCACTTACCGTATCTACCGTTGAGAGAGACCAAGAACAAACTCAAACTCAAACTCAAAAGAGTCTTATGTAAAATTCCAACAATAGTGAACTGTTTTTACTACATAAAAGTTCAACGAACACATGCCACAACAAGTATCTATGTTTTGTTTTGGTCTTCTCTTGCCAGGAAAGAGATTCATGTAACAATAGTTGGATCCTCTATAACTTTGTGTGTGTCTAAAGGAACATCTCTCTCATCCAAAACTGACTCTTACTTTTCATTATGCAACATTTACTTAGCTAGACATAGAATCCACCAATCAACTTTTTCTAAACAAGGATTCCAAAATCAACTTTAATATCAAACTTCATAATGTTTGAATCAAACCATTTACTCATGCATTGTTTTAATAGTGTTTGTTAGAAAATGAATGAATGATTAAGAGTTGATATAAAATAGTCACAAAAAACAGTTGATGTATTATTCTGTGTTTTAAAATGATGATAAAAATTAAGGTGGTATATTATTTCAAAAGTTCCCCTAATCCGGTTTCAATCAATTTTATCTGCTTAAACCGGCAATGTACCGAACCAGATCACTCAAGCGGTGTTAAAAGCCTTGGATCTCGACTTGTTGAGCACTAACCATTTGAATTTTCCGGTTTACTTCGGTTATGAACAAGAGAACCTATGAGTTTTACCAACATTTATCAAAATTTACACCACTAAACTCTGCTTTTTCTCGACCTTTTCACAATTTCGTTTCTATTTTTCCCATACACAAATCAAAATCAGAATGAAAAGATGTGTCACGACAAAACAAAAAAAAAATGTATTAGAATGATGTATTTGGTGGATGGAGGTGTCTCTTCTTTGGCTGCTGCATCTTCTTATTCACGCACGAGTGGAAAAGTAAGCATCGGCAAGAGCTTCTTTGGCAGAGATTCTCTACACCAAACCAAAAGACTTTAAAACATACTTTTTGATAAAAAATTCTGCAAATTTTCAAATACATACCTTGCTAGGATCAAGGAGCAACATCCTATTCAATAGATGAAGAGCTTCATGATCAAAGCTGTGACATAAAACATATGTCATGATCTTTTCTCCATTGTTCAAGAGCTCAGCAAATAATCAACCCACTGACCATATGTCAACCTCCGGACGGTAATCACCTGAGCCAATAAGTATCTCGGGAGGCCTAACAATGTCAAACATATGTTATAAAAAAGATTTCATACAAATCTTATAATATAAGCGAGACTTATATACATACTCGTGCTATGCACCGAGAATGCACCGAGAAAGTCATTTAATTGCATTTCTTCAACCTTAATAACTCATACATATCGTTTGAGTCAAAACATTAACTTATGCATTGTTTCCCAAGTAATGTCAAAGAACATTTAAAACCGATGACTGTAAAAACACAATTACCCAAAAAAGCCACAAACTTGTAACTATATGCATATACTAATTACGCAGAAATTAAACTTCAAACAAAATCTATGATGTGAGGATAAATGTGGCATTTTGGTAGTTAAGATTGAAGATATGGCACAAGTGTCAATTACTTCTGCAAACGGCTACATGAACTTGTTGCGTAAAAAAAGAGAGATAAAATTCGAATCCATCAAGTCAGATAAAAATCTACACGAAAAGAAAAAGCTGCAATTTTTTTCTTCTTCCTCTTGTGTCGTCAAATCAACTAATCTCACAATACTATTTGTTCTCTCCAGACACAAAAATTGCTGCATCTTCTTCTCTCATCAAATCAACAAACAAATCACAACACTGTAGCTTTTTTATCTTTTTCATTTTCAAAATTATGTATAAAACTGTTAACACTCTACTAGTGTTTCCCATAGCGAAAGAAAGAAGAAACTCGAAATCGAAGACGGGGAGAGAAATGGTAACCACCACTACAAGTTCGTATTTTCACGGCGGCGATCAAGTTTCTCCGCAGCCGTCAGACATCGTCCTCCCGGGTCGGGTTGAAACCGTTTTGGAGAAAGTCTACAGCAAACACAAGTGTCCTCCGATAAACGATGACTCGAGGCAGAGACTGTCTTCGATTCCCGAGGAATCAGCTTTTCATCTGCTCAGGAAAGCTTTTAACTCGCCGGAAATGTACAACCTTGACCGGTTCATCGTGTCTAAGGTTAACCAGTCCGTTACCGTTAGTGGCTCTCCGCGGCAGAGCTCCGCTGAGTCTCCGGCGAAGCCTCCTCCTAGCCCCTCTCGACAACACTATCAAGGTCAGTTTCAGAAACAGAGTCATCATCTACTGTTCATTTGTGGGGTTTCCAAATCATATGCACAATAATGATTTACTTGCCGATTATAGAGGAGATATCTGTTGATTCCGAAGCTCCCAAATCTTTGAGAAGAGAGAACATTAGAGGATCTGTTCAAATTCCTCCTCAGATCGTAGCTTTGAGTGAGCTTGAATTTATGAAGGCGTTTCTGTTGCTTAGCTACATTCCAGGGTATGCTTGTTTTGTTCTGACAAGTTTTCGACTTTTCTAATTTTTGTCCATCAAGATCATCTCTTTTCATTTCAATTTCAAGTAAAAATTACATCTTTTGGGATTTATAGGCAATCTCTGGCTGAGGTCATAACTGCTGATGAGATCAGAGAATGGAAGGACTTGCCTATTGCGGCATATGAAGCAGCGGTTTGGGACCGCTTTGGCCGGGATAATTGTTCCCCAAAAGACCGTAGAGTGGTATGGCTGTTTGCTCTTTTGTTCTGTTTTGGGTATTGTTTGATATTTCGAGTTTGCATTTCAAAAGGTGATTTGACAAGAAAGAGAGACTTGTTGGATACATTTTGTACTAATTGCATCATCCTTTTCATGCTTCTTCTGTATCCTCAGCCGCTCGAATGGGATAGTGGCAAGACTCATTACTATCAGTGCCATGTCGCTGTGGACGGTAGTTACACCTTCAAGGTTCATTTTCCGCTCTTCAACTATTATCCTTCATGTTTGTATCTTCCCATGTTGTAGAAGCAAGTCTTTTGCAATTTGCTGTACTTATCAACACACTTGTGTTCACAGGGCCCTCTTGTTGAACCCACAGGAACACACCTGCACAAGGTCTTGGGTGATGAAAATGTTTTGACTGTCAAATTTGCGGATGTCCAGAAAAAGTCGTCAAACTTAAGTTACTCTGCCTACAAAGGGATTGCCAAGAATGGTATCATGGTTGGCCTACGCCGTTATCAGTTTTTTGGTGGGTTCTTCTATTTCCTTTTTCTCTCTTCATTAACCATTCTTTACGTCATTACACATGCAACAGTTTGCATTGTAAAGTACACTCTAACAATTCTACTGAACAGTTTTCAAGGATGGAGGGAAAGCAGAGAAGGGAGTGAAATGCTACTTTATACGCACTGACTCTACAACGTCTAATGATATGGGAAGTCCTTACATCTTTTCCGGGAAGTCAATCCATGAAGCTCGTATGCATTTTATGCATGTGCATACATTGCCATCTTTAGCCAAATATATGGCAAGGTAGGTACTCTAGTTTCTTCTCTAAGTTCTACTGTTTCATTTTTGAGATTTTTTGTAGTTGAAGTCACTTTTCTTTGGTTGATGCTTCAGGTTTGCTTTGATTCTGTCAAAGACTAAGAAGCTTGATGTTGACATGACTGGGATTAACTTCGAGGAAACTGATGATATACATTGCCGTGTAAGTCCTTAATTCATGTGTCTTTCAAGAACTATGTCTCTATCTAATTGGACTTTACTTGGACATATTTTCACTCTGTGCTTTAACCTTCCTTCACTCTTCCAAATTGCAGGATCAAAATAATAATGACGTTCTTGATAAGAATGGGAAACCATGTATACATTCAGATGGCACTGGCTACATCTCTGAGGACCTTGCTCGGATGTGTCCTGTGAATATATCCAAAGGTCTCAGTAAAGAAAATATCCAGGTCTTTGCTCTATTTCCATGACTTTTTGATAATTGCTTATGTGCCCTTTGTTCACTCTTATGTTTCCTTTTCATTTTTTTCTTATCTTGAATCACAGGGAGCTTGTGGCCAAGACCCGGTATGTATAATATAGTCCACACCCTTATTTATGCTTGATTATGTATTTTTCTGGTACTGAAACAATAAGTTTTTCCAACAGCCTCTGCTGATCCAGTTTCGAATGTTCTGTGATGGCAATGCTGTTAAGGGAACTTTTCTCTTAAACAAGAAAGCAAGTCTGCTCTCTTTCACATTACCTAATCCGTTTTTTCTTTGTTTAGATGTTTGCAAGACATTGCTAATGCTGCTCCCAATTTGGCAGATTCCTCCTCGGACTGTCCAGTTTCGACCTTCTATGATCAAGGTGTCTAAAGATACAGACTTGTTAGATTTTACCACATTTAACTCCCTCGAGGTAGTCAATACAAGGTATGTGTTTTTTGGATACTTGTTGTCTACTCAAGTGCATGAAGTTATCCTAGTAACACCTGGTTGCTTTCATCATCCAGTAATCCACCAAAAAGAGCAAAGCTATCAAGAAATTTGATTGCACTGCTTAGCTATGGAGGAATCTCTGATGAGTTCTTTTTGGATATATTGCTCAACACGCTGGAAGAGTCTAAAACCATATTCCACAACAAACGTTCTGCGCTAAAAGGTGCCTCAAAGTCCAAAGCTTCATGATTCTTTTGCCCTTTTTCTGTTATCATGTCCCTAAATCTTCTATTTGTGTGTGCAGCTGCGCTTAATCATGGGGATATGGACGATCAGAACGCTGCACAGATGATAATGGCTGGAATCCCGCTTGACGAACCACACTTAAAGGATCAGCTGTCTATTTTTTCAACCCAAGGAAAGAAAGATCTCAAAGTAGGAAAGCTTCCTGTGACTGAGTCATACTATCTCATGGGCACAGTTGATCCCACCGGAGAGCTAAAGGAAGATGAAGTCTGTGTAATCCTGTATCATTTCTAATCTTTTGCTCTTTCCCCTTGAGTTTTACATGGACACTACAAGAAACAGTAATTTTCTTCCCTGGAATTGTGAGTTAGCTGTTCATTTCCTCATTTGTACTTTCTTTTTGTGTGGTTTTGTAGCGAGTCTGGCCAGATTTCAGGGGATGTGTTAGTTTACAGGAATCCCGGATTGCATTTTGGAGACATACATGTACTCAAGGCTACATATGTTAAGGCCTTGGAGGAGTATGTCGGAAACTCCAAGTATGCTGTGTTCTTTTCTCAGAAAGGTCCAAGATCTGTGGGCGATGAGATTGCAGGTGGTGACTTTGACGGCGACATGTATTTCATATCCCGAAATCCAGAGGTAATTCATAGCATTAGGAAGTAAAACTATTCATTGTTGTGACCTGATGATCTTCTCTGTTCTTAGCTACTTGAACACTTCAAGCCAAGTAAACCGTGGGTGAGTTTGACTCCTCCGAGTAAAAGTAACTCTACGAGAGAGCCAAGCAAGCTTTCACCAGAAGAGCTGGAAGAAGAGCTCTTCGAAATGTTCTTGAAGACAAGATTTCAGGCCAGGTGCTCCTAGCTTACCTTTTAAGCTCTGGATTCGAAACTGTGTCTTGGATCAATAATGTCTCTGTTTTTACAGCAATGTTATAGGGATAGCAGCAGATAGCTGGTTAACAATAATGGACCGGTTCCTCACACTTGGAGATGAAAGCGCTGAGGAAAAAGCTGAAATGAAGGAGAGAATGCTAAAGCTGATTGATATATACTATGATTCTATTGATGCACCAAAGAAAGGCGACAAGGTCTATCTCCCAGACGTGATGAAGCCTGACATTTTCCCACATTACATGGCGCGGGATAAAACATTCAAGTCCACTTCTATACTTGGAACAATATATGACTTTGTTGAAGCACATACAGCAGAGGAACACAAAACACCACCTGGTAAAGGATATATTACTTGCTACTAGTTTACAGAAGAAATCATTACATCATGAAGATGTGCTTTTAACTGTGGTTTTACGATTCAGAAATCAAGAAACTTCCATGTTTTAAAGATGAGACGGTCTCTGAGTTTCATATGAAGAATTGTAGACAGTGGTATGAGAAGTACAGAGCTGATATGACCCAGGCGATCATTAGAAAGGATGGCTCAGTCGATGAAGTTATTCCGCGATACAAGGAGGTAAGCTCTCCTCAATCTGATGCCACCAATAAACTTCAATGGATTGGTCCCGCGCAAATCTTTCTTGATAAACAAACGAACAAACAAACATTTTGAAATAGTTTATTTCTTGTGTCAGGAGTTCTATGGTGCTGCATGGTTTGAAGACTGCAAGAACAGTCTGGAAGAGCTTTATCCGCAAGCCTTGGCACTTTACAACGTCGTCTACGATCACGCAACCATGATGAAAAGCGTTCGAAATTGCGGGTTTGCTTGGAAGGTTGCAGGACCGGTCCTGTGCAGTTTATACCTTAAGAAAACGCAGGATAAATCTGTCATGTGTTCCCTATCCATACTTAAAGAGCTGTGTGGTTGAGGCACAAATGACTTGTTCCTGCCCTGTTATGGTAATAATAATCCTTTTGTTGTCTTGTGTATGATGTATGAATGTGTATCATAAGAAGCGTGTGAAACAAGTATCTTACTTTTGGTGTATTTCTCGTCTACATTTGTTCCTCTGCTCTAGTGTATAATATTTCGTGTGTATATTTGCTTATGGAAGAACTGTGGGCAATAGTAAAGCTTCATGTTATAATTAAGGACTTTTTTATATTAACCATGTGACAGAGAAATGAGGCTTAACCTCTACAAAAAAAAAAAAAAAAAAAAAAAGAAAAAGAGAAAGGATCTTCTTCCAAGGCTTCTTGAGCAAGAAAACCATTATGACTTGCATCTAAGAATGCGAATTTTCAAATTATATTTTGAACATTGGTATGCAAGTGTGTTACATAACAAACTAAAAACATGAATGATGAAGAACCAAAAAATTACAGAAATCAAGATGATGAATGAAGAAGATGTTAAGCAATATTTCTTCCCAAACCTGCTAAGTAAGAACAGAAAGAAATCAATAAATAAACACTTCCCAGAGGGGAATGATGCTTTTCTTCACCAATAAACATTTTTGAAGGAAAGAAGACAAAAAAAAGATTAAACACAAGAACAGATTTTTCCCCCTCTGGAAAAAGAATCACCAATAATAATTCACCCGCGAATTCCCAGGCAAAAAAACGACTGTTGGGGCTTGCTTCTACTGTATCAAAAACCAACTTTTAAACATCAAACTTCTTGGGTTGTCGCCAATGAGCCAAATTTCTTCCCAGTGAGCTTAAGAAGGAAGCTTTCTGAGGAGCTCCTTTCTTACCATACAGGTGTTTCCCTCCTAAATCGGTCTTTGCTGGTCCCATATCCTTTCGTCTCTCGATCTGATATCACATTGCAAGCATCTCAGATGACAATATCTATTCAAGATCCGAGGAAACTATTTTTAAAATGACTTACTTTGAAAATCTTTCCATTTTTCAAGTGGTATCTAATCCCAGACCAGTTTATGGATTGAGAAAAGTGAGAACGGAAAGCTGAGATTGGGTATAAGAAGTTGTCCACTAGCATTGCTACAAACACCTGCAAAATTTGTTCCCAAGATCAAACCCAAAAAACTTCTGAAACCATTTCTATAATCTCAATAGAGAGGGTTGAAAAGCAACGTACAAGTCCCCAGTTATAAGTTGCAAGAGAGAGACGGGGAGCCTCCGGTGATAACATATTGCATAGCGTAACTTCTCGTCTTGTCAAATTCCACATTGAAAGAAGTTCGATGAAGGTACAGATCGCCAACATTATAACAAGCAACATACCTACACAGAAACTCATACCTACAAGGTCAGTATGTAGCACAAAGAAAAGCAGACAATCCTACAGTTTATGTTGAAGATGACAAATCACTATGATCCCCCCAAAACACACAGGCAATCTTCGACACATAACCCACCTAAATAAGAGGAAAAGTAAGCTCACCACTAGAAGCAAAGGTCGTGTCTTCAAGTTGATGATAGCCCTTGATGTAGATTCTTAAAGCTGATGTGATGTGAACGACAGCCATAAGATATGGTGCAACAAAACCCCATGACAGATAACAGTGGACAGCAAACAAAGCCTTGTTCATTATCCAGTTCACTTTGGATATGTAAGATTCTAGCACAAACGTTTGCTTTCTCAAGTAGTTCCAGTACCTATTTAATAGAAAAGAAACAAATGGTTAAACATCTAAAAGTTGAGTAACTTTTGTGGGTTTAAACAAGTGAAATCCAAGTATGTACCGTCCAAAGCTTAGATCGCTTGCGAGAGGATGAGGGAAAACAGCAACAGGAGGAGATGTAATGAGCCTCTTGTGAGCACCTGGAGTAAAACAGATCAGTGGAAACAAGAGTAAACTATCAACTACAGATACGATAGACACATATAAGTTTACAAAATAGAGGTGAATTCAGTGGAATACGTTACCTGCTAGAGCCGCAAGTGTCATATCATCTGAATACCCACCATCACGTAAGCCAGAGGCAACACCGTATCGATCTTGTCTGAAATCATCAGCATGCATCTACATATTGTTGCAAATAATCACCAACATTAGATGTAGCACAATAATACAAGAAGAAACATTATATACCATGTTATTTACATACCATCATACACCCTCCCCACAAAAAGAATGTTCTCCCACCAGTCGCAAATCCCATTGAGCAAGGCTGTAAAGAGAGTGTTCCATATATATTAGCTCAAATCGAAAAATGCAGCTAGCATGGAGAAGGAAGAGCAAAGAAGGGAGAGAGATGTCAGTGTACCATGTGGTACTCATAGATGCAATAACTCCCAAGAGTTCCAGAGGGCAAGTCTAGAGGATACCCAGTTTGAATAAATATCTGCAAGAGATCACTGTTGCTGTTAAACAATTCAAACAGAAGGAAACATAATTAAGGGCCTGTTATCATTAGCCATGAGATTGGGTACAACCTCTGGATTTTTCTCCATCTCAGTCGTGAGAGCTCCAATTGTTCCAGGATGCAGTCTAACATCATCGTCCAGGAATAACACATATTTGGTATCTTTGTGCATTTTCTCAACTCCAATCTTCACCAAGCAAAAACCAAAAGCACACAAACTTAGCAAAAGCCAATGAATGAACAGCATACATGAAAAACGTATACTGGAAGATAATTTAGCTTTTCATGGTTGTGCTTACAGTTAAGCCAAGAACATTTACAAAGAAGAGATGAGAGAGAAAGAAAAAATGATTAAGTCTGCTTCAAAGATCATACATACCAATTGATTATGAATCTTCTGGCTGCAAGTCGTCGATAAACCAGCAACCACAACCTTAGCTTCAACATGATCCTGTGCACATTTAGGCATTGATATGAGCCAAAGTTGTAAAGTCAATACATACTTCAAGACGAAAGAAGGCCATATCAACTATAAATTGACATCTTAAACGACCAGAAAGATATGCTGAAACGTGTCCGTACCTGATACATAGATAATAAACGGGAAACAGCATGATATGCAGGGTCTTCAGTACTTTCTACAACAAAAAGGAATTCCAATGGCCCACCATAGAGAGAAGTAATCTACACAAACACATCAATCAATCATTAACAAGAAAGTTGGAACCAAGACGCTTCTCTGTCAAAAAGCTTAAACTCCACAAAGATACTGCAAACATGAGGGACTGACCTGGCTTCTCCAATTGTGCAAATTGTGCTCTCCAAAACCTTTTAGAGGCATGACAACGGAGATTCTAGGAAGTTTAAGCTGCTTAGAGTGCTCGAGTTCATTGATATCTTGATAGAGAAACGCCAAGCTGTTACCCGCTTTCATGCTGTTTTTAATTCTCTTAACCTCTCGGTTCCTTCAAGGTAGACATAACAACACACACATTTCAGCCACAAAAACCGCAGATTGTACAGCCAAAACAGCACCAAATGAGGCATTTTTATAGGTAAAAAGACGCTACCTGACATATGCAGCCATTAACCAGCCTAGAGCAAGGAGTAAGCATATCGTACATCCCTGAAAACATATACAGAAACAGTAAGATTAACGAAAGGCAAGCGAATGAAATGCCAAAAACTGATAGGATTCTCGAAGGAAACCAAAAAGTCTTCGTTTTTTCAGAGAAATCATTGATGATGATGATGCGAATTTATGTTTTCTGATTCATCAAAAGACGCTCAATTTATTCTTATCTACTAAAAAAAACCTTAGAGAAAACAAAAACTTTTAGTTTGTCCTGGAGATATAAACTATGTAACTCTTATCCTGAATTCTCAATTCTGGGAAATGGCCAAGCGAATCAAGGGATTTTGGAAGAAATATCAGATGAGGAGATATGAATACCCCAAATCCTTGATTTCCCTCCAACATTTGAAAGAAAAAAGATCTAAAAGGCTCACCTGGATCTGAACGAAAACAGCGAAAGGGCTACAGAAAGCTCTGCTGAGAGAGAAGATAATCGCGTCGATGGAGTCCAATGTAGACATCTTTAGCTCTCAATTTCTCTGACTCCCCTTCCCCGCGACGATAAAAGATGAGAAGAAGAAGAGGAAGAAAACAGGGGAACGGGAAAATGGAGGAGCAAAAATGAGAAACCCTAAGAGTTTTAAAAACTAGCGCAATTCTTCTCTCAATGTCTCTCCAATTAGAGTCGTGAAATTTTCTCAGATCGCCATTGACGGACCAGCGAAAATCCAGAGAGAAAACACTAAACTTATACTTGAAAGGAATCACACATTACACCATTCATTCATCGACACATCCATTTTCCTTCCTTTTTTTAATTCAAATATTAAAATCATTTACTATATTTATTTTTATTTTAAAAAATAATAGCACCTTTCTACTTTTGAATAACATCTTTTGTTTTTCTTCTGTAACATTCTCACATCTTAAATAAGAAATTATTCCAAACTAGTAAGGAGAATATTTTCTCTCATTAAAAGTTCAAAACATAAAGGGTATTTTATTTTCATTTTTATTTCTTTCGAGAAAACATTAAGGGTATTTACGCGGTTTTCTCCATATACATATTCACGCGGTTAGTAATAAATCAATATGCATTTAAATCATTTTAATCTTTACAATTTATATACATGACAGGAATGCAATTAAGTGTCAACTAAAATTTTGGCTACCGAGCCAAAAAATATTGTGAAAAAAAAAACTGATTCATGATACGTTTTTGATTTTGTTAAAATATATTCAAATCAGGGTGATCTAAGTATCTAACTAAATAGATAGTGGCGGCATGATCAAAATAGTTTAGTACTTTAGTTTGGTGTTGCATTGCACTTGACCGTGTCAAATTAGATTCATAATATGTCGCATTGGAATGTCTATGAGATTTCCATTTTTTTACTGGCGTGAAAACGCAACTTACCTTGATGTTGATAAAACTAGCTTGAATATTAACTTCAAATAGTATAATCTCATACCATTTCAGCCTCAAACTGTATATTATCATTTACAGTTTAACTATGTCACTTGTTTTTGCGTAAACCGCATGCACTGAACGTATCAACTACTACTTTGCATGTAACCTCCAAGTTTACTTTCTCGTGAAGATTAGATTCTTAAAATTCATTAGCAAATATTGTTGTTTAATAGTAAGAGGTAAATTTGGCGGCAAAGATGCCAGAATGTTATGCCGAATCTTAAGGATGGAGAGGGACCATGTCATTTTCGAGCACAGAGTATTACAAGTGGTGACAGCTTAGATACATGTGTGGTTTTTCTTTTTTAATTTCTATCATACGTGACAACGCAATTTATTTTTCTTTCAAATATTTTATTCTGTAATTTATTACTCCTATGACCTAATCATTGATCTCCTTTGCGAATTGAATATTTGTGTGGGTATATACTATGCATCTTCTTCTCTGATGTGACTTTATAAATATGATTTTGTTCGCTTGCTAATTCTATGTTCTTCAAATCAAATCTGGTGGGAAAACAGTTGGCGTATTAGATTACTGTACTATCGATCGAGTTAGATCAAGATCATTAAGTTTTCAATCTTTTTGCATAGTTTCTATAAATATAATATAATTCAAGCGATGGAAGCTAGTTTTGTTCCCAATTGTGTGACTTTGTTATTGTTCTGCTAACTATTTTAAACATTTTAATTACATATTTAAAAAGCTAATTAATTCATATTGAGTTTCTTTGGTATTACGGTCAAACTCGGACGAAATTTAAACATTGTTTGCTTATGTACGTAACTACTAACTAGAGTTGCTTGTGTACAAGAAACAAAGTATATCGCAAGAAACTGACTTCACTTCAGTTTATTATGAGTAATGTACGTAATTGTGATTAGAAACATCTTTAGGTGACGACGTTTTCAAATTATTATAGCAATGATTTTATAATGAAGATTGTAGTTAGAGTTTCCTAGGTCCTAGGGTATTCTAAAAGGAGATATGTTTTTGGTCAACCTTCTAAAAGGATATTTAAACCCAAGAAACTTGTAAGTAAAGATTTGATATTGATAACTACTGCTAGTATTGTTTAACAAAGCGGTTGAACTATTCACACCTACGATTGGTGTGACCAAGAGACGATTCCCTCTCAGATTGTGCTACCAATCAAACTTTATCTGTATCCAAATTTCCAGGCTTTTATATATACCTTGTGCTAGCCCTACATAAGCATAGACTATATAGTGGTACCCATGAATGATGAAGCAATAAAGATTACACATGCACCCAAACACACACACACACACACGAAAATCTTTCGCAGGAAATAAGATTTCCACTCGGCAGAATCACCTGAAGTTGGCATTTATGAACCAAAGACCATGAATAATGCGTTGATAACTCATTGTTTGTCTTGTATAGACTCAAGTTTGATATCTCTTTGCAACATTAGAACTTCGGATAAAGAGACTTTTCGAGCGTACAGAGATCAAGAAATGATCGTAAGCAGAATCAATAACAACCAATTTTCCATAACATAACCATAGAATAAGAGCAGATCCCAGTTTTGGTGCAAAAACGAAACTGTTTAGAACAACTCACACATCAGAGTCAAACACTTGCTTTGTTGCCTATCAAGTGGTGAAGAAACAAACCAGCAGCAACACTCACGTTCAAGCTCTCCACAGCAACAAAAGATCTGGATCCTTCGCCTTCCCCATCATCATCATACTCTGTAACTGCAACATCCTTCGCCATATTACCGCTAATCCGAACCAACTCAGTACATGATCTCTCCACCAATGGCCTTAAACCCGTTCCTTCGTTCCCCAAAACAAGAATCGTCGGGCTACCAGGTACAACCTCCTTCAAAGCAACAGCCTTTGGAGAAACCGAACCACCAACCACACGCCAACCATTCTCAGCAGAAGCTTCCAAGAACTGCATCATGTTCTTGCAGTATCTAAGCTCCATCACTTCCAGCGAGCCAGCGCTTGCCTTACTCACAACCGCACTCAACGGAGCTGAGTTTTTCGCGCAGACAACAATACCGTTGGCTCCAAAGAAGTAAGCTGATCTTATGATGGCTCCTAAGTTCTGCGGATCAGTGACCTCATCAAGAGCCACCCAAAGAGAAGCTTTCTCTTCCTCCGATGAAACCGGGTCTAGCTCTTTCACTTTCACAAGCTCCAACGGAGAAGCATCAAGCACCAATCCCTGATGTGGTCTGTTATCAGCAACCATGTTAAGATCATGCTTCGAAGTCTCCTTGATGTTTAAACCGAGTCTCTCAGAGAGCTTCAAGACCTTCTCAAAGCCTTTCTTGTCTTTCTTCTTCCTATTGTTACTGCTCAAATCCAAACCTTCTTGAACGTACAGAGCGTAGAACTCTCTTCTCTCAACAGTGAGTGCAGCTAACACAGGACTCACTCCATAAACAACTTCGCCAATCATCCTAGGCACGCTTGACTCGCTCGCCTCCTGCCACGTCTTCTTACCCCAGCTCTCTTGCCTGTTCCAGTTTCGATACGCTGCAGAATCTTCACGCCCTTGATCTCTTCTTACATCATATCTATTAAACCTGTTCTTGATCTCAGGCCACCTAGTATCACTTGGTTCTTCTTCAACATCATCATCATCATCTTCATTGGCATCATTCACTGTTTCTTCAGTGACTCTACCATCTTGTTCCTCCCAAGATGACCGGTTAGCTCTCGGCGATTGCTCTTTAGCCGGTTTATCATTAGCCACCCAAATCGAATTTCCGCTAGCTTTCTCGCTTTCTTCTTTTCCTTTGACGCCTCTATCATCTCTTCGATTCCTTGTTTCACCTTGAGCACCAAATCTGCTTCTCCTATCAGAAGAAACTGAATCGTATCTAGCTCTACCATCTCTAGCTCGCTGAAACCTCTCTTCCACAGGTTTATCATCAGATTTCACCCAAATTGAATCTCCACGGCCATTTCCGCGAGTTCTCTTATCCCGGAAAGTTTTCGATCCTAATCCAGAGCTCCCTCTATTACTACTTCGTTTGCCAAATCTCTGCGAATCAAAACTCGAGTATTCTCTAACGCTTTCGAGCTTCCCTATCATTCCGATCCGAGAACTAACTAAAAGACGCATTTGACTCTTACCGGAGCTAAACCCAGTGGGAACATTCGCAAAGGCGCTTCCTTTGGGGTTTATGCAAAGCTTAGCTGGTAAATACGAGGACTTTGAGAGCTGGAACGTTTTCACTGTCGTCTGTTGCAAGGAAACTCTAATCGCCATTGGAAATCCTTGGCTCCTTGTTAGATTGCAATACATTTTTTCTGGTTAATCAGAAGAGAAATTCAAACTCTTTTCGGGTGAAGAAAGGTGACGCACGCTCTCAGAAATCGGCAGTTAAGAAAGGTGAATCTCTCTCATTGTTAAACCCAATCTTACTATCAGATTTTTAGGGTTTAAGGGAAAAACATCAGCGGAAGGAGAAGAAGAAGATAAGAGAGAAATGAAAGAGTCGTCAAAACGGCGTCGACTGAGAAAAATTACACATTGACCAAAAACACCTCAAAAACAGAGTCGAAATTATCTAGTGTTGGATCATTTTAAAATTTAATTTAACTAAATTGTTGGATTAATGAAAAAAAAAGTTGCATTATAGGTGAAGCCAAATCCGACTTAGTTCTACAACATTTGCTAGAAGAAGGTCTGAGAAAAAACACAAACAGAGATTTCAGATTTGCGGTCTGTTAAATCAACTTATTGTTTCAGTGTCTTCAAGTTGGAGATACTGAGAGTGAGAAGCAGCGAGTAATGCAGCTCCAATACCTGAGCCATCATTCGACAGAATCACTTCAACACTCTCTGAAACTTCATCTCCAAGCAACTCATTCAGTGAGCTCTTCATTGACTCACTAAACTGAGTATAGTGCTCAAACAGCCCACCGTCCATGGCTATAACCGATCTCTGAGCTTCTCCATCCTTCGTCGCGTCCCTTCCCAGTTTCTTGAGGATTCCGTAGATCCCTGCAGCAGACAAACGAGCTCCTCTGGTAGTGATGATGTTACACAGACTGACGACAACTTTTCTCATCTTTAGAGAACTTGTAGGGACCTCCAAGATGTCCTTTAACTTGCTTCCAACAACCTTCAAATCCGGAGAAGTGTCGCTGTGCATAGCAGACATGTTTGGGGTCCTGCACTCACCGCAAAAACGATGCTTAGACTTCTCATTCAATGCAAGAAACAATGTAGGAGAAGTTAACAAAACCTTATGATGCAAGAAACAATGTAGGAGAAGTTAAACAAACCTAATGATGAATGGTATCTTCAGCTTAGGTGGGACGGTGTCTCCAAAGAAAGCAGCTTCTTCAGCCATCTTCAGAAGCACTCTACGCAAGATCTCTCCCAAATACATTCCCGATATGATTTTCTCAAGAATCTGTAACACAAAGTTTCTTCATGATGATTCTGAAAACCAAAAGGATCTTCAAAGCTCTCATTCATATCATACCTGTTCACCAGGATTCAGACTCTCGAAATCTAGCGAGTGGTCGTACTCTGTCAATGGAAGATGTGATGACCTGAAGTTTCCCCACTCCATGTTGATAACCATTTCTCCTGACTTGGGAAGCAAGCCATGCCACTTGGGGATTGCCTGTGCACGTTCCACATAGGCTGCATTTGTACCAGTCCCCAAAATAACAGCGGCAACGACATCCGGGTTATCGAATCTACCACCCGCCAGTGTTCCAATCGTATCATTAACCTATACAAAAGGTATCAGAGAATGGTAGAATCAAGTTAGATGATTTAGAGTAAGAGAATCAAACTCACAAGCGCTGCGACACGCATGTCAACCCCAACTCTCTCCATAGCTTTAATAAGCTCTCCAACAACATCTTGTCCAATCTAACACAATCACCAAGAAACAGAGATACAGAGGCTTCAGAAACATCATCATGTATATTTGCAGAGTCGCATAGGAGCTCATGTGATAAAAATGGACATTAGATGAGAGGAAATGAAGCTCAACTGTATCTTCAATGTGGAAGCCTTTTGTCCAGTTGATGAGAGTGCCAGAGGACAAAGATGTTTGCTTAACCGGGAACGAGAAAGTGAAACCTAACTCCCTTTGTCTACCAGGTGGAAGACGAAAGTCATCGCCTTCTGTAGCGACAAACTCTGCAAGAACTCCAGCGATGAAATCGAATAATTCCTGTCTCCATAATCAACAACACGTGACAAAGATAAAGATCATCAAAAAGACTTAAACATAACATAAAGGTAAGAAAAAGGGTATAGTCAAGGGAACTGACATCTGATTTTCCGGTCATGAGAGGAGGAGGAATTGAAACTTCTTTGAATTCTCGTTTCACAACACCACCTTCTTTCCCACCAAGAAGGAAACGCATTACGCGGAAGTTTGTTCCGCCTAGGTCCAATGCGTAGAAGATACCATTCTCATCCCTGTCAAATTGATTTGCAAGCTTTTTAGATCCAATTACAGCTCAAAGTTTAGTACGGAATTAGTAAGAGTTACACTCATGATTCACTCCAAAGTTTCATAAAATCCTCATATAAAGACACTTTTAGGATATGCAGAGACCAAACTTGTCCTAGACCATCATATCAACATCGCTAGATATATTCAGATGCTACTCATTAATCAAAGAGTATGCTACTCGTAGATTCTCTGTTTCTTAATTACCGTTACAAAACAGAGAAGCTTATGAAGCTAAGTAGAGAAAACAGAAACGAGAAGCTAAATAAACAAGACAAACAAAAATGAAAGCATAGAAAAGGTAAACAGAGAACACACTAAAAAATCCAACTTTGGAACAGTGAAACATCAAAACCTTAATCTGTAATAGATTCCATGGAATTCAATAGGTTTTGTTCGAAATCAAACAAGCTACATAAAATTCGAATTATGATCAGAGACACCTGATTCATATAGAATCATAAAGCAAGATACTTTATCAGACAGAACTCAAAACATTATCCCAAATTATTTTAAAAAAATTGAGTAAACGTGGCAATAATTTATCCAAAATCAGATTTTTTAAGTTGAATTTACAGACAAAATTCTACAAAAATCGCAACATTATCTTTTTTTCAATCCAAATCTCAAAATGAGGATAAGGATTAGATTACCCAGAAGGAAGATTATCGACATAGCTGATAAGCATCTTAAGCTTGCTTCCACCTTCCGATGCGAGACCGGCGTGCATTTCCACGGTCATAGCATCAGCCACCTGTCTCAGTTTCCCGATCGGCGTTGCGCAATCTTCTTCGAACGCCTTCAATATCTGAATCACTCGAGCCCATTTCTCGGAGCTTTGCATCCGCCGTCGCACAATATATACCGCCGCCGCACAAACCGCCGCAGAGCACACAACCGTCGCAACAACAGCTACTTTCCCCATCTCTCTCACCGGAATTTAAAATCGAACAAAACGAATGACAGCAACAAAACTCTCGATCTAAAACGTAGCAATTTGTGAGTGAGAAACCGAGAATTATCCCAAATAAATGGATTGATTTGATAAGAACCCTTTAGATCAATCTGTACTTGAGCTACAAGCATACCACGTAAGCAGCTCCTTTGTCTGAAAATCTATGGAAAGAGATTATTTTTTAAGAAATTTTCATAAAAAAAATAGAAGATTTTGTAGTTTTGGAATTTTCTCGCCGGAATTTTATTTTCTGAGCTGAGAAAATGTCAAAATTACGAAACTGACCCTCTCCGAGATTTTGTTTTGGTCTTTTTCTCACCAAATTTTGTGGATGTCGTTAATTAACTGATAAGGATTCAAAAACCTTAAGAACTAAAATAACATCAATGATATAGAAGACGCAATATATTCCACAACGAAAGTAAACACAACGAAGGTAAACAAATCTGCTTTTGTAATCTTCATAAACAAAAAATGCGATCATCATGTATAAATAGAACTCGAATATATATAGTTCTACAACATTTGGCTGTTTTTTTCTGAATTTTTCCAGAGCCTGAATAACAACAAATCCAGGGTTTTATTGTTCCTCAACATCGAAAGACAAAAAAATAATTTTCCCCCAAAAAAGGGATTACCTTTTTCTTCTTTTATTTGTTTAAACCCTAAAGGCAAACAAAAGAGTTGTTCATAAAGATAAAACACAAAAGGTTTTGTGCTTTACCTTTCTCAATGAAAATTTAACTTAACTTGTTTCAGAGTCCTCAAGGTATTGAGAGTGCGAGGCAGCGAGCAACGCTGCTCCAACACCAGATCCGTCGTTGGAATGAATCACCTCGACGCTCTCTGATGCTTCGTCTCCAAGTAACTCTTTCAGTGAGATCTCCATACACTCACTGAATTGAGTGTAGTGCTCAAACAAACCACCGTCCATGGCTATAACCGATTTCTGAGTTTCCCCTTCTTTAGGGACATCTTTTCCTATTTTCTTGAGGATTCCATAGATCCCAGCAGCTGACAGACGAGCTCCACGGGTGGCGATGATGTTACAGATACTGATCACAACTTTTCTCATCTTCAGAGAAGTCGTAGAGACCTGAGAGGAGTTTCACCAAAGACCATTCGATTGAGACTTTCATTATACATTCAGTAGTTGTGAAGCATGTTATGCAGATAACCGACAGAATCTAACCTCCAATATGTCCTTTAACTTGCTTCCAACAACCTTCAAATCCGGAGAAGTGTCGCTGTGCATGGCAGACATGTGCGGGGTCCTGCATTCACCGCAAAAACCATGTTTAGACTTGTAAAATCGATGCAAGAAACAATGTAGGAGAGAAGTTAAACAAACCTTATGATGAATGGTATTCTCAGCTTTTGTGGGATGGTGTCGCCGAAGAAAGCAGCTTCTTCAGCCATCTTCAGAAGAACTCTACGCAAGATCTCTCCCAAATACATTCCCGATATGATTTTCTCCAGAATCTAGGAACAAAAACCAGACAGATATAATCTTAGTGAGCTACAACCTTAATGCTCTAAACGAAGTCAAAAACCAAAAGAATCTTCAAGGCTCTAATTCATACCTGTTCACCAGGATTCAGACTCTCGAAATCTAGCGAGTGGTCGTACTCTGTCAATGGAAGATGTGATGACCTGAAGTTTCCCCACTCCATGTTGATCACCTACATACATTGCGGTATACAGTAAAGATCCAAGTAGTTCAAAAGCATTATGATGTTCTTGCAAGAAAGCACAAACCATTTCTCCTGATTTGGGAAGCAAACCATGCCATTTGGGAATTGCATGTGCACGTTCCACATAGGCTGCGTTTGTGCCAGTCCCCAAAATAACAGCGGCAACAACATCCGAGTTATAGTATCTACCACCAGCAAGTGTTCCAACTGTATCATTAACCTGTTACACAGATATACAAAATGCTGAAAGAATCATTAACAAATACATGACACTAATCAATTTAAGCTTAGGTGATTGAGAAAGAGAAGAACTCACAAGCGCTGTGACATTCATGTCGAGACCAACTCTTTCCATTGCTTTAACAAGCTCTCCAACAACATCTGCTCCAACCTACACAATCACCAGAAATACAGAATGCAGAAACAGAGTTCAGAATGAGAGTTTGCCATCAGAACAATAAACGAGAGTCATGAAGGGGAATCAAAGCTCAACTGTATCTTCGATGGAAAAGCCTTTAGTCCACTTGATGAGAGTGCCAGAGGACAAAGATGTCTGCCTAACCGGAAAGGAAAATGTGAAACCTAGTTCCCTTTGTCTACCGGCTGGGAGATGAAAGTCTTCGCCTTCTGTAGCGACAAACTTTGCAAGCGCTTCGGCGATAAAATTGAACAATTCCTAGCTCCACAATTAGCAGAATGTAATCAGTACACAGACTAAACATAGAACTAAAGGGAAAAAAACTCTCTGGTCAGGGAACTGACATCTGAGCCACCAGTCATCAAATGAGGAGGAATCGAGACTTCTTCGAATTCTTGTTTGACGACACGGCCTTGTTTGCCACCGAGAAGCACACGCATCACACGGAAGTTTGTTCCACCTAGGTCCAGTGCATAGAAGAAACCATGTTCTTCCCTGTCAAATTGATGGTGAAGATTAGATTCTCATTCATTTGTTTGATCTTCTTCACAAAAACAGATGAAGCTAACAAACAGAGAACCTTGAAACAGGACCAAGAACAAACAAAAAGCAGGCAGAAAGGTAAAAAGAAAGAAAACTCTTTACTCAAGGAACAGTGAGACATCAAAACGTATCAACTATGTTAAAGAAAAAACAAAATGCTATACTCCAAGGTTGTAGTGTCATGTTTAAATCACAAAATAGCCAAAAAATAAGATTCAAGTGAGATTATGATGCAAATTTAAAGGATCTGGATTCCTTCTGAATCGGTTGTTACATACACATCTAACTTGATGAAATTCAATAACTTCAAATCGCAATCAAACAAGTGACGTCGAAATCACTCAAACTAAAACCAGAAAAATACGGTCTAAATGATTCACAAAGCATGAAACTTTCTGATATAAAATTCATAGCATTATCCAAAACAAAAAATGAATAAACGTGGCAAAGATTTGTCTAAATCAGATTTCGAATGACACCAACAAAATAAAATTCCACAAAAATCTCAGCTTTATCTTTTTGCAATCCAATCCAATCAAATTCTCAAAATCAGGATAATAATAAGGATAATTTACCCAGAAGGAAGATTGTCGACGTAGCTGATAAGCATCTTAAGCTTGCTTCCACCCTCCGATGCGAGACCGGCGTGCATCTCAACGGTCATGGCATCAGCCACTTGTTTCAATTTCGCGATTGGCGTTGCGCAATCCTCCTCGAGCACCCTCAAGATCTCGATCACTCGCGCCCATTTCCCGGAGCTCTGCATCCGCCGCCGCACGATGAACACAGCCGCCGCACAAACCGCCGCAGCGCACACAACCGTCGCACCTACAGCCACTTTCCCCATCTCTCGCCCTCTCTCTCTCTCTCAGCGTATCTAAAACAAAAACAAACAAACACCAACTTTCGATCTAAATCGCAACAAATCACAATCAAAACGCAGATTCGTCTCAAATGAAATGGATTAAAAAGAGTGGGGGAAAGAAGAAGAACCCTAGATCGATCTAGTTGAGAGAGCTGGTGGTGATGATGATTGTGAATAGTATAGAAATGAGAGAGCACGTAAGCAGCTCCGTTGTCTGTAAACTATGGAAAGAGATCAAATTATTGGTTTTAACAAAAATTGGATTTTTTGGAAATTTCTCGCCGGATTTTTATTTTTTTATTTACTCAGCTGAAAAAATGGTCATGGATTTTAACGAGAATTACGAAAGTAACCCTTTCCGAGATTTGGTTTTGGTCTTTTCCTGGCCGAATTTTGTGGAGGACGTTGAGTAACCGATAATTCGAAAAACCTAATCACTAAAAAAAAAAAAGCATTTTATGCTCATGATATCGAATGTTTTTGGAGAAAGAAAGTCCTTTCTTGTGAATATACCTCATACTTAATTTCTTGTCTTTACATGTTAAACTAGTTTAAAGACCAATAATAACTCGATGGACTATATATTTTAAGTTCATAATTTGACATTTCTTTGCTTGTCTCTGTTTTTAATTAACACAAAAAAATACGCTTGACTCTGTTTAACAGCTAAACGACGCAATTTATGCCTTTATGGACAGTGCGTGTGCGTCAGTGCCATATATTGATTTGACCACCGACCAATATTATGCTAATAAATCTATTCGTAAAAAAAAACTTATTTTGCTTGATAAAAAGAGTAGTAAATTCTATACAAATCGACGAGAAATAAGATAATAATTTGGGGGTGTATGTTCTCTCCTTGTGATCAAAAGTCACTTTAGATTTCACATCGGTTTGGTACGAGAAAGCAAAATAGTTTGGTTCTTAGTTTTGTCCTTCACCCATCAATCAGTCCAACACTTTTAGCACAGCTTAGTTATTTTATGCACAAAGTGTTAACAACACTAGTCACTCTTTAACTTTGTACTTTTTAAGTGGCTTTTTTTATACTATAACTATGCAAAATCCTTGTCCAGACCCTGGTGGTAGGAGTAGACATTCCATCAAAATCAAATGAAACAAAAACAAAAGTATATAAAACGTTTTATCTTTAATGAACTTTTCATACAAGTGTTGGAGGTGATTTTGCAGCCACTACTAGACTACGACATGTGAATAATACATCGGTTGGGGTTGTTCTCTAGAGTATATCGACGGACGACCAATATGCAATGGCTGCTGAAAAAGCCTTTGGATCATAAAGTAAAAGCGTTGCTAATAGTGTTAAGTAAGTTTCATAACAATAATAAACAAATACAACATTGTTTGCAATACAACTGAGATCATTTTATTTTTATATCGTTTGAGAATTGAATATAAGACGTGAACGGAATGAACTTTTAGAGTTGAAATAATATATGGTATTATTAATTATTTGTTTGTATATTAACTAACACTACTAATAATTATTGTTTGGGTAGTCACATTATTATATTTGGATTGGGAAGAAAACTATTGAGTGGTCCACAACTAGATAGTTTTCTCGAAACAACGGTGGAGGAGCAAAGATGAAGATGACTCTTCTGTCACCTTCTTTAGTCTGACATCGATTGCTACAAGTTTCCTTTTCTCTTATATTGTCTGAGATATTTTCAAGTCTGATAACAAAGGCTGGCCCAAGACGAAATCAATACAAGCCCTGAATATTTTCTTGCTATAATTTTTCATACAACTTACTGTTTACTTTTACTTGCATGATAGTCGCAATACACATAATGAACATGCTTTTCACAATACAATACCATGTCAACGGTCCAACTCTCAATTCTCAACTACGGTTCAAAGGTAAGGCACCAAGTATTCCGTTTAACCTTTCGTGTTTAACCAAGTTGTTTCAATATTTGCTTCGGTTTGTATTTTTTTCCTTATCTTATAGAGATTAGAGATACATTTATAAAATTCTTGTTCCTATGGCACAGAGGAATAATTGTCTGTTGTAGAATTATTTTTGTAATTTTGTAGAAAAGAAAGGAAATAAATATATATCACAAGAATAATTAAAAATACCAAACTTTTTCTCTGAGGAATTCGTAAAGGAGTACAGTATATAATTTAAACGAAATTTACTAGAGATATGTATATGAGTAGAACGTATCAACAGAAAATATCAATACGAAGTAGAAAAGGATTAGGAAAACCCAACTCCTTAAGATTTTAATTTTTTTATAAACTAAAAAAAAAACTTCAACGCCGTTTCTTCTTCTTCGTCATCGCTCCCGATTTATCTCCTCTCAATCAAGCAAGCTTCGCATCGTCAAATCTCTCAGGTTTGTGTCTCTATGAGCTGATTTAAGAGATTCATAAAACCTTATCCTTCCTTTTCTATTGTGAAATCTTCTCCTAGACATGTCGGCATCTTAATCTCATTAATAAGGTTTTAGATTTGGAATCGAAATTTCTGTTCATGAACGAAACTCAGCTCTAGAAACCCTAAATTCCCCTTCGCTCGATTCACCGGTTCATGCCTAGGCTTCAATTTACGAAATTGTTTCGAATTTTTGTTTGTTTGCAGAGGAGATTTCAGTGTGTGGTTTGTTTGCGAGCTAATTAATCAAAGAATCAGCAATGTTGAGTCGGCTATTCGGGAAACCCAAGCCGGAGACGAACACTCTCCAAACATTAGACAAGCTCAATGAGGTATCATCAATCTCTCTGTTTTCGATTTGACAATTATTGATCTTTCATCTCAATAATCCTTTTTCTAAGAAGTTAAGTGATTGAGATAAACTCTTGAATGGGTCAAGGACTATTGCTTCGTATCTGTTTTGTGTCAATCTTCAATGCAAAAACTGGAGACAAAGCTTGCTTTTTTGGTTGTGTTTATTGTTCTTTCAATGCTTCTTCTTTTGGTTGATTCATGATTGTATGATTCCTCTTCCTCAGACTCTTGAGATGCTAGAGAAGAAGGAAAATGTTCTTCTTAAGAAAGCTGCTGGAGAGGTTGAGAGAGCAAAGGAATTCTCCAAGCTCAAGAACAAACGCGGTACGACCAAATCCTTCCATTGTGATCACTATGAACAGAAAAGTATGAATATTCTCTGTGATTGCATTGTCACTATCACTAAACAGACTGTTTTGTTATCTTGTAGCGGCTATACAATGTTTGAAAAGGAAGAGATTGTACGAGCAACAAGTTGAGCAGCTTGGGAATTTCCAGCTCCGTATTCACGATCAAGTAAGCTTTTCCTTCTATGATTCTCATTATCGAAGCATTGTATGGTATAAGAGCGTTTACTGAATATATCAGTCACTGTTTTGTGTGTAAACAGATGATTATGTTGGAAGGTGCCAAAGCAACAACAGAGACTGTAGATGCGTTGAGGACTGGTGCTTCTGCAATGAAAGCTATGCAGAAAGCAACGTATGTGTTTATTTACTTTGACCTTTTTAGATAGATTATGAATTTAAGCAGGCGGATTTGAACAAACATGTGTGTGTTTATGCAGGAACATTGACGATGTTGACAAGACAATGGATGAGATCAATGAGCAAACTGATAACATGAAACAGATCCAGGAAGCATTGTCGGCTCCATTCGGGTCTGCTGCTGATTTCGATGAGGTATAAACTTTTCCTTTTATCCACATGATCACACTCTCACAATCTCTCTCAGGTTTCTTATTTCTTAACAACATTGTCTCTTGATTGGGGAAATCACAGGATGAATTGGAAGCAGAGCTTGAAGAACTAGAAGGCGCAGAGCTAGAAGAGCAACTTCTTCAGCCGATAAGACCGGCTCCAAACGCACCTATTGGAAAGCAAACTGCTCGTCCTGTGCCTCAGAAGCAACAAACCGCTGATGAAGATGAGCTCGCTGCATTACAGGCTGAGATGGCTCTCTAAGGTAACTTCAACTTGTCATGTTCAAAACCTATTTTGAAGAAGAATCAGATAGTCAGTTCAATAATGGCTTGTGTGTGTGTTGCAGCTCAGAAACTGGTCTTGGAAGATGAGGTTCGTTCGTGTGTGCATTATTTAAAACAGAAAGAAAGGAGGAAGATTATTGTGTATGTATATAAAGGATCCGAGTCAAATTGATCGGATAAATCATTATTTCTTTATACACAGTTGCACTCATCATGAGCTTTTATTTATCATCGCTTGAATGTTTCTACAGTCCTTGTTTTGTTAAACACCTTACGACACATTCTTGTGTTTATCAACAACTATTCTTGGTTACAACTTAGTTACCTTCCCTGACGTTTTGAAATTCGTTATTACTACTATGTGCCTTCAAATTCAATCGAACATTATGAATGATTGATTGAATGTAGAGTTTTTGAATCTCTTATATATAACAACTTTTACACGGATAAAAGTTTTGAATCTAAAAATCTCTTATAGGTATAATGTATATGGTTTGAAACTTTGGATCTGATTTGGCAATATCCATTAATGCTTACTATAGCTATAATAGATTCTTTTAAAAAAAATATAGGTAAATTTATGTATATCTCGTGACGTAGATAGCTAGGGTTTAGTTAATACATACCTGTATATATAAAAATCAAAAGCAAACCCTTAGTTAATTTCATCAGTATGTTCGGCAAATAAGCGCCTACATGGATCATAGGTCCAAGGATTCGATGAGAATGAAGAAGAGACGTAAAGTGTTCAAATATATAAAGTTTGGTTTTGGTTTTGCATTGTCGAGAAATATCAGAAGAAGGAAGAGGCAAAACAAAATGTCTAGAAAGGAGGAGACGCCTAGAGGCTGGTCCAAGCTTTGTCCCGATGTCCTGCGAAAGATCATGCAAACATTGAGCCCTATTGATTCTCACATGGCAAAACTCGTTTGCCTAGATTGGTTTTCCGTGTGGAAAACATGCGCTAATCGGCTGCCGTGTCCGTTACGGATCATACACCATGGTGGATCTCCCGATGAAGACAAGTTTTACATGAGAAAAACTTACACGAGCTATTATGGTACTCGTAACCGCGTCTCCTACGATTACAAGACAAATCTCGCAAGCAACTTCGAGGGGAAACATTGTATGGCTAGCTGCGGGAGTTGGCTCCTGATGGTTGAATATTGTTCACATTTCCATCTTTTGAACCTTTTCACGCTCAAAAGGATCGAGCTTCCATCGATTGAATCGAGAATCGGTAGTTGGAATTGGAAGAACTCAGCTCTTGTTTGGATAAACGAGACAACAGGAGATTATGTCGTCGCTTTTCTTGTCAGTCAGCACAAGTTGTTCTCACACAAGAAAGGAAGTCGTTCTTGGTGGAGTCTGGAACCTTCAGGCCCCGATTCTGGTTTTCTTGATGTGGCTTACAAGAACAGCAAGCTTTACGTGTTGACAACTGATCAACACATCAAGACTTTCGATTTCTCTGGAGTTTCTCCTAGAGAAGAAAACCGGTATCGGAATCTTGTTTTTCGATTCGATGAGCAACCGTGGGAATACATTTGGAAGAGGAAGATAGCGATTGATGAATCAGGAAAGGTTCTGCTCATCTTGAGCTTAAAAGAAGTGAATTATGATGAAGAGAAGCTTTTGTTTTACGTGTTTAAGTTGAATGTTGAGAGATGCAAGTGGGAAAGAGTATACTCTATTGGTGATAATGAGATGTTGATTTTTGGCCATGGTGTTACGGTAAGAGCACCGGTTCAAGATTGTTTTGGTGATGGAACCAAGAGTGGTTTAATCCATTTCGTTGAAGATGATGTTTGGCCAGATAGTCAAGAGCATGAAGATCGTTCTTCAGATTACGGTGTCTTCGATATTGCTACAAGTAGATTCGAATGGACTAAGAAATCTTGTTTTTATATAAATGAAACTCAGTGGTTTGTTCCAGGAGTTGATTATTAATTAGTCTTTTGTTTTAGTTGTTTTCTACTGCTTGATTTGATGAAGTACTTTGTTTCCTGCATGCTTTCTTTTCTAGTTTTAACATCTTCGAATGGTTTATGAATGATTTATGAATAAAATCATTCCATTGAAGAAACATTATTACTCGTTTAGTAATGAGTCTAGGGACCCATAAGCATAAGCTTTTTCTTTTCTCGATCACTTATTATACTTGTGAAGACTAGTAATCACTACGCAACTCTACGAACTTGGACTTTTCTTGTATCCATATCTACATGTTATCCATCAATAATTTAATTAATAATTTAGCTTTATTTAGTCAAAAGTATATGGGACTTCGTAGTATCTAACAACGGACCCCTTTATCAGCAAACGATCTAATAAACATTATTATAAAAATCCCAATGTGCGTTGCCTTAACCATTCGGATAAGATCTATGACTATGAGACTCTTTTTAAAAGTCAAATACTGAAAAGAAAAAATCTAAAAAATTAGAGTTTAAACTTTGAAGCAAAACATATAAAAGCATCGTCAAGAGTACGTCGTTATCATTAACTCATATTGAAGCATTTGACTATAGCATACGAATTTAAAGATGAAGTATCCCATTCTTTAACCAAGAAATACGACACTTGTTTTTGATTATTCCACAAAAAGCTATTAATATCCATTACCATATCTATTTAAAAATTACAGTATATAATTGTTTTGCAGTTGTTTGCGTAATTCAATACCGTCGAAAAAACGGTAATTCAAAACCTTGTCCACACGAAACGATCAATCGACCCATTTCAACAAGTTAGACCAGATCGAACTATATTTAATTGTATGAAAAACATTTAAAGATCCAACATCCAATTAAATCAATGTTTACCTCCTTTATTAGCTGACAAAGTCTATATCTAATTTTGATGTAACTACTAACGAAAACCCAAATCTATGTGCAAAGTATCATATCTCATGCTGGATAAGTTCAAAATCGTGCAAAGTGCTAAGTGTTTTCGACATAGCTTTAGGATTCATTATTTAACTTTTTATCTACTCAAGGTAGTACTATTTTTCTCCCTAAAGTACACACAAGTACAAACGACCCCTCCCAAACTCGACAAGACCAAAATTTGATCGCCGACTAATTAAGGACATTATCACACTCTCCGATAATGATGTTTTACAAACGTTAATCACATCACACCACCACTTTACGCATGCCTCAATAAATATAGCAAAACAAATAAAAATAATCACTCAAATTGAAAGAAACATTATAAAGTGTCCACTTAGGGCCATGACAAAATGATAATTTACATTCTCATTACATTAGAAAATTACAAGAGGTCCTTTTTTGCAAAAATAAATAAATAAGTTACACGAGAGTTGCATTGCATCTAAAATGGAGGGAAAAAACACAACAATATCAATAATATTAGAAATTTTACGAAATTAGTTTAAAAAAATATTTACACATAATTTTTCAGAAGAAAATCCATAATCCTTATCAACGGAATTGAGTATACGAGTCGGGTTATATCACATAACCAGCTCAGAGACCCACCCGACATCAGGAGCATCACCCGATCCCTGATACGGATCTGGGTCGACCCGACCCATACAATTCTCCTTGCTCAGCTTTTCGAACATCTTCGCTCGCAGTTCACGACCCGACTCGACCCGTTCCATCGCCGGTTCTTCCTCCACACCATTGTCCCAAATGTCCATATACCCAATCTCCGGCCTGGTCGGGGTATTTGGTAAGCTCCGAAACCCGGGACCCAATACTGATCCACGTGGCGACCCGTATCCGGATCCGTAGCATCCGATTTGATTGTTGTACGATGAAGGAAGAGATTTCACTTTATTAAGCTGCAAGTTCCTCAGAGACGCGACGACGCCGTTCACCGAACCAGACCCGAGTGAACGACTCAGTGAAGAAGCGGACTCCGAGTCGCCTCGTGGACTCACCGGCGGCGAACCTGACGCCGGAGAAATCGAAAACTGAAACGCTCTACGCATCGGAGACAAACCGTCGAACGAATCGACTCGGTCGGGGCTTTGATTCGGCAAAACTCTAATCTGATCCGGCGAATGAGCGAAGAAACAAACACGACGGCGACAGTTACCGCCGTCTTTACACGGCTGAGTCCGGTAACGCGCCGGATGAAGCCAACACTCAAAAACGCCGTGAGAAAACTCACACGCATCGCCTTTCTTACAACCACCTTTCCTGAAATCAGGACACGCCGCTCCGGAGTAATGATACTTCCTCGGATCACGACGGCGAGCTTTCTCTCCGGGATGAGCGTACGGACACTCCGTCCAGTCATGGCTCCGGCCACGAGCACATCGCCTGACTTTAAACTCGTACATACGGAAATGATCGCAGGAGTAAGCATCGATTGGAGCATCCGGACCCGATAAATCCGGGTCTGAATCCGAATCCGGATCCGGCTCGTTCGACGGAAGATAACGCTGCAACGCAGCCAAAGCCTCGATCATGCTACTTCCCCCGTCAGGACTTCCGTCAATATCCGCCGCCGTTAGATCGTCGGAAAGTGGCCATGGAGGAATATGAACCGTTGGATAAGTTCGATGAGTTTCTCCGATCATCATTTTTTTTTCAATAAAAAAGAGAGATGAAATTCGTTTCTTCTCGGATGAGTTGGTTTGTGTTTGCTAAATCTCCGGCAAAGCTTTGCTTCTTTATAAACTGATGCTGAGTAGTGGGAAATACTTAAACCACGAGTGAGTTAATGTTTAACCATGGTTAAGTTATCTACTTTTTTTCAACCGCGGTTAAATCCAAAGTGCGAAGCTCACGTGACTTGCCTGTGAGTTAGAGGTTAAAAAACAGCGGCGTGATACTTTACCACGAGGATTTTATTGATGACGTGGATGATTTGTAGGTGACTTTTACGTGACAGTACTGTGAGCGAACGGCTGTTATGATACTAAATTGATTTCTTTTTAACTCTCTCTCTCTCTTTGAGTTCCGAAGGCGGTGGAAGGACAAAACAGATACCTTTAGATACGCTAGAAAAACGACAAAACAGATAATTCAGCTTTAGCTTATTTATTTAAGCATTTTAAAATTTTGTTTATCCGTTTCTTTATAGAATTCGTGAACTAATGGGAACACATTTTCACTTTTCATTAATCGTTAATTTCCACTCCTCACAATCAATTTTTTTCGTTTGATTTAAAATTACATATATATATATGCGTACAAAACTGAAAATTTATTTTCGTTGATATCAATTTAATTTCTTTCTAAAACCAAAAAAAAAAAAAAAAAAATCTTTCATTTTTTTGCTGAAAATGAATGATTGAGAATTTTGATATTTACAGGGAAAGAGAAGGGGATAAAACGTAGGTGTCTGTGAAGAAGAAGACATGTTGGAACAAATTGGGAATAGTAACGTTAAAAGACATTAAAGGAGAGTCTCTTGTGCTTCTTTACTAAAATTAGAAGCAATTCCACCTCTCTCGTTTATCCTTTCTCCCTTTTTGTTTTTCTTTTCTTTTTTAGTTAGTTACCATCTTTATCCAAAACTGTAATGATTGAAGAAAATTTGTAGTACTTGATAACTCTCAATCCATGAACTAATGTTAGTCGATTCTTAGATAATGAATAATAGACTTTATATTGTGTTGAGAAAAAATCATTAGTAAGATGTATATTGGTTGAGTTTAGTCTAATGAAGGAGTGGATCATTTTGAGTTTCTCTCTCTATCCATAACTCGTATTTGGAAGTTTGCTAAACCATGATAAAGATGATCTTCTGACTTGGTTAATACATGGACGATGCAGCCATTGGAGAATCTCGGCCTATTGAATGGGAGCATTAGTAATGGATAATTTTTAGGTACACACAGTTTATATATCTTAAGAAACACAACAGTTGAAAAAAAAGAATAGATGGTCCTTGATTATTCAACATCATTTGCGCATAGAGAACAAACCGGATCAACATTTCCTTGGTCTAAAATTCTAGTCTAAAATGAATAGCCAAGTGGTAAAGTGTAGTTTTGCATATCTTGTAAAACAACCTCAGCCTAATCAATAGTAGTAAAATAAAATATATAAAAAAAAATTTCAGACTTCTGGCCTCGCAGAATGTACAATCCAGCATTTGTTCTCGTAGACAGAAGAAACTTTAGCTTTCAATGAAATTACATAAAGTTTAAGAACTAGATAATTAATAAATTGAGGAGGGAACTTCGAACTTTGTAAAATTGGCTGGTGGAACCATTTCCTCGATCAAATATGACGAGACGTAAGTAATGAGTCCTATCTTCAGATGAAAAGTCTAACAGTAATAAATTGACTAGTAAATTATACTTTTTAATCATGCCACCCAAATAGAACCACTAAGAAAGGTTATCCATACAAGTTATATATAGACCACAGATATTTCACTATTACATTCTTGACCACAAATATTTTATTCAAAAATAGATATTTAGCTATGATGATATGTTATAAAAAGAGAGAAATGGGAGAGAGAAAGTGGACCTCAGAATGATCAAACCCTGCAAATCTGCAATATGTCATCTCCGCCACAAGTTTTATTTCTACCTTTTACCCCAAATATCTTTATTGTGCTCACACTGATTACCCCAAACGCAAGTAGCAACTTCCAAAGTTACTGTTTGCCAAAGTATCAGAGCATCTCGACCATACAACAAATCAACTTCCCCAATTATTTTTGTATACCTTTGCTTAATTCACTTGTCTAGAGGTTCTTTTGAGAAACATCTAGATCATCAAAACACAACAATACCTTATAGAATCATGGGTTTTAGGTTTATGACTTTATTTCTGTTTTTTTTTATACTTTTATTAGCCATCATCAGTACATTTTCTTTTAACATTATCATAATTATCATATACATTCATAACGCGGTGGCTATCTAAACGCAAATGTTAAGTTTGGAACAATTGTCGATCAAATTCGACAAATCGTGATGCGTACATGCATACGCATACGTATGTAGAATACATACGGATGAATGTACGTCTGGATACATACACGTGTCGTCATAACACATGATAAGAATGCCACCTCCAAAGGAAACAGTGAGCATGAAGAATCATGCCCCATGCATGACCGACCATTAAATGAAATTTAATATCTTTTACGATTCCATCAAACATTTTTATGCATCTCACCATCATGACTCCTACGTGATCCCATATTTGCTTTTCTAATAAAAATATTGGATTAGATCAAAGAAAGCCATTGTCATTTTTCATATAATTCGAGAAAAGAGTGAATGTGTATATATGTTGAAACTTGAAAGTGACTAATTTGTTTTTTTTTTTTTTTTTTTTTTTTTTTTTTTTTTTTAACTTCCATTCATTAATAAAAAGAAACCCCGAAGGGTGAGATGTTACAACAGACGAAAAGAAGAAAAATACATAAGGTAGAAACTCAATTGAAGCAACAGTTAGAAGTAAACAAAGATGATCCCAATTGGCTGGAAGGGGATCACTGTTGAAAGTAATGGAACCAAGTATGAAGGTAAGAATCTTGTGAAGCAGGAGCAGAGATACGAGAGGAAGTCTCTCTATCCATCCCAAAAAGTTTGGCCCTCAGAGGTAGTTTAGTTTGTTTGTTGAGACGTAACATCTAAGAGGTAGTTTAGTTTTAAACTTTTAATGGTTTCTCATTCACGGAAATAACACTTTTTTTAACATCTCACGGATTAATAACACTTTTATGAGTCTTCTTCACGTAGTTTATCGAAGTATTTTTCAGAGCATTACTAGTATTTTTCGTTTAAAAGAAAAAACATTACTATAGTATTTTACTAAAATGAATCATAAAACAAAAGTCATCGTTATCTATATATTCCCTCTCTTCCATATTATAAGCTGTTTTGGCATAATGTATCTGCAATGTATATATTATGTCAAAATAGCTTATAATATAGGACAGAGAGAGTATATAACTAACTAGCATCGAATCTGGTATTTTACAACTAAGAAAATCCTTTAAAAATGTTTTGCTAGAAGCATATGTGTCAGATATTTGGAAGGCATTATTGTGTACAGTGAGAAAGTTTTCAGAAGCAGGTTCAATAAAGGAGGTGATACGAACACGTTCAAAGAGGGCAACCTAATCACGTGATTTGTCCCCAAGTCACGTGACGATGACTTTGTTCTCGCCACGTGTCGTACTCTTCTACCACGTGTCCCTTCCTTTTGGCTAAAAATAGGATCCCGACAAAAGATTATGAAATTCTTTAAAGGAAAATATAATATTTGAACAGAAAAAAAATCCGTGGGGCTAACAAGTTGTACGAAAAATACACGTGGTACAAGGCTTTTGGTCTTGACTGATGACGTGTCATTGTCTCTCTGACATTACAAAGCTTGAGACTTGAGTAGGAACTTTAGTTACGATCCGGACACGTGGTGAAACGAGATTGAGTTTACGATTTGATTTGCGTTATTTGGTGAATGATTTATCAAGAGAACATAACAAATATAAAAAAGGGTGAATTTAGCCAATATCCTCCAATAATCTGACAATTAAAAATTTGGAGAGATTAATAGATAATTAATTTTTGAGGAGAGATGATTTATTGTTTACACCCAAAATATCCTTTAATTTTAATTTATTTACATGTAATGCCATTGATCTAAAACCTGTTTTCTGATGTTATATATCGGAAACACTATTCATCAAATACAAACTGATTATACTGTTTATAACCTGAAAATTCAAGATAACTATTTAATTATCATGCTAACTAATATGATATCGAGATAACTATTCGATTACCATATTAACTAATATGATATCGAGATAACTATCTAGTTACCATGGTAACTATTATAGTACCATGATAACTATTCGATTATCATGTTAACTAATATAAATATACCTATAATACTTATGTTAACATCTAACATAAACATATATTTACCAATCAAAATTAGAAATTAACATGATAACAATACTAATATTGTCTAGTTCTGCAAAAGAACAAATGTGAAAACTAAAATTCCATCTTCTATGCCTTCAAATATAAAACCTACCATAGGGAATTCTGTGTTTTTTTTTTTTTTTTTAGTTTGTGTTATAGCTTCCGATGCACGGTACCTCCTCATTAATAAATGGTTTTTTTCCTTCTTCAAACTTATGTTCTGATCAACAGCTGATAATCTAGTTAATAAGCTTGAATGACTATAAAACAAGATTTTTGATATTCGTAACTCTCTACTTATTTTAAATCACTTGCTAACTTTTTTTTATCTCTTTCGATCTCAAGGATTTCGATTGAATCTTGTAAAACATTTAACTTAAAATTTTAAATAAAAGTTGATAACACATATCCTACGCAAGGTGCGGCGGACTAGAAAAAACTAGTGAAGATACAAAAAAAATACAAAGACTAGGGTTTGAGAAAGAGGAGTCTTCCAGATTCGATATCTTTTTGGTTTCGTTCCCTTTGAGAAATCTGGACAGCGGCTTAGGGTAAAATCAATGGATAGAGGTGATGCTGAGCTGGGGATCCGAGCAGCACTAACTGCTTATCGGATCCGAGAAGCAAGGACTTGGAACATTGAGAGAAACGAACAGGTAATGTTTTGGTTCAATTTTGAATTTTCGCTCTGTATATGTGGGAATTTGTATGAATAGAGAGGGCTTTGGTGAATATGTTTATATAGTTTCGGGACTTGGTTTCGTCTACCTACAGTAGTATGATCTCAAAGCTACCGTCTTTATGATTGTGTCTATGTTTTGGTTTTGAAGGAGCGGCTTGCAGAGGATATGGGAGTTGCAATGAGATCTGTGATACGAAGTTGGAAGAAGAAGGAGAAGGAGGAGGAGGAAGAGGGGGTTTATTCTATAGCCCCTAGTTTTGCGTCCTTGCAAGTGTTGGTCCAATGCTTGGCATCACCGGAGGTTGATATTCCGGTCAGTGCTCTTGGCTTAGGACCAGTCAGCCCTGCTGATATCAGGAAGGCCTCTAAACAACTGAAACCACAGGTCATCATGGCCTTTAAAGTGGAGGTGACTCCAGAGGCGAGTCAACTAGCTGAAGCATTCCGAGTCAAAATCATCTCTGGCGACTCCGTTGAAGACATGTGCCAACAGTTTAAGGACGAGTTGGGAGAGAAGGAGGAGGCACGGAGTGATAGCGATGAAGAAGTCTCCCCGTGCGTTCTCTCCATCTTACCCAAGTTTGTGCTCAACAAGGAAGACCCGATTGTCGTGGGAGTATCTGTAGTTGAGGGTTTAGTTCAGGTAGGGACTCCCTTATGCGTTCCACGCACACACAGAGGGTTTATATATATTGGACGGGTTGCATGGATTGAGAAGGATCAGAGACCCGTCGAGGTTGCTAGGGAAGGCGATACCGTGATTATCAAGGTAGGTTTTGAGATTATCTTAAAACTTTTATTGATTGATTCCTTTGGCCCTTTACTGCTGATTTACTTTGTTCTTTGTCTTGCAGATTGTTGATGCTGACCCCAAAACACAACAAGCGATGTTGGGAAGGGAATTTGACGTCGCAGATGTGCTTCTCAGTCGCATCCCAAGGAGACATGTCTACTACCATTTCATCATTCCAAGCTAATGACTGGGTCGAGAATCAATCAAGCTTTCAAAAAAAAAAAAAAACCTCATCCTCGTTCAATTTCTCGGTGCTCTACTTTAAGCTGAAGTATTTATATGTTGTTAACGCTTGACATTATCTCTCATCCTGGAAATATATACATTAATTAGATGTAGACAAAACAAAAGCTTACGTTTGCCTATATATGTTGTCTATTAGGAGAACAAGGCTTAGGTGCCAACTACATTTTTAAGCTATCTAATCTCGACTGTCATGCCTTGTATCTCAAGACACCTCCTCAAAAGTTTGCATCTCTCTTGGTTGGATTTGGGATTTTGAGAACTTCCTTGATATCAGACACCAACATACAGTCACCCATGGATAGGTCGGCCTGCAAAATTATAAAATTCCAGGTAAGTAAGAAAACAAATGGTTGAGGAGAGGATTAGAAGGTGGATAGGGTAAGCGGCCGACCCTGTGATTAGCTTTGAGCGCATCGATAGAAGCCCTTGTAATACGACTGAAAAGGATACTTTCATGATCACTGGTAATGTCAAAATGGGCAAGTCCTTGTCCTTGTTGTCCTTCCGGGTTTGATGCAACAATCTGTATTATATATATAGCAAAGGAAAGCCAGATTTTACTATTTATAAAACTAGTTAAGAGGGATAACAAGAATCATATATAGTCTCAATTCTCCAAAAACCCACCTTGATAATCACCCTCTCGCCTAAACTAGCAACCTCGACGGGTCCGCGGTAATTGGCAATCCATGCAATACGTCCTAAATCCACATAACCCCCACTTCGCATTCGCAGATGGCAAATGGACATTCCCACCTGAAAAACCAAAAACCAAAAATAAAAATGAATAATTAGACAGCAAAATTATTCATGTTTTTGAAGAAGAATAATCATACCTTAAGGGAACCCTCAACAACTAACACTCCGAGGACAATTGGGTCATCCTTGTTGAACACAAGGTCTCGTAAGATGCTGAGGACGCATGGGAAGATTGCTTTATCACCACCATCCCTTTGTGTCTCCTCCTCTTCCAGCTCTTTGACGTACTCTTTGAATTGTACGCTCAGCGTTTCAAGCACACCGCCACATATCACTTCGACTTGCAATCGTTCTGCAAGTTGGCTCGCCTCGTGAGTCACGTCCACTCCAAACCCTAGGATAGTGCAGAACTGCCGTTTCTCATCATCACTCATTATACGGACCTTCCTTATCTCCAGTGGTGTGATCGTTCCTACGTCTATAGCTCTCACCGGTATGTTCACCTCCGGCGATGCCAAGAACTCAACCAATTCTTTCAAGGAACCGGTGGTTGACGCCACCGCGTAAACACCCTCGCCGCTTTTCTTAAAATTCTTCACTGTTTCCATATCGGAATCTTTTCCAAAGCCCTCAGGCTACAACAACAACATAAACGGGATACTATCATACTAAGTACATCTAACAAGTTATTTCTCAATATTCACTAATCGAATTTATTACCATCTTAGATGACGTTTCTTCTCCCGGAATATTAACAATATGTCCATCCGTTAAGCTAGGCAAACTTCCATTAGAAAAATAAAACTGGATCAGATAGCTACTTCTCAGCGATAAGAGATTTAAAAGACCATAAATCATGAAGAAAGCATACTTGAAACTCCAGGTCCCCATAGAAGGTGAAGGTGAAGAAATCCAGTGGCTTGCTTGATTGATTGCGCAGTTTGCTCAATGCTCATCCGTCCAACACAAAACTATATACGTATGCATATGAACTCTGTTACTGAATATTAAGGCCCTTAGGCCCAAATTAACACATTGTTGGCAGCAGCCCATAAATAAAGATTTTAAAGATACTGCAATTAAGGCCCTAAGGCAAGCAAAAGCGACATTAGTTAGTGTTAGTGATATAACAATGACGAGTGTAACATTCAAGCTTCTCTTGCTGGCATCCTCTTTTCAACTTTAACGATATCTTATTTGATAAAAAAAGAATATATAGGATATGTTTACAAAAAATACCTATCACAAAAAATATATAGGATACCGAGTATTAAGGCCATTGGGCCCAGCTTATTACAAAAAAATACCTATCACACATTGTTGGAAACAGCCCATAAAGAAAGATTTTAAATATACTACACACATCAAAAGACTCCAAACCACAATAACAAACTCAAAATTCGAACTTAAACAAACGTTTGTTAATTTCAACAAGAGACTCATATCTTTCGTCTTTTCTTTTGTTTAGTGAAAACATTTTGTCTGAAGCTACAAGGCACAAGCCTGAAGCCTACACACTATCACTTTTCTACTTTGTTGGTTTACGGACAAAATTTCACTTTTATGTATATTGCGAGTTTAAGAGGATTTAACAAAGCTTTCTTACGATTACATGCATGAAGGATAATAAGGAACTTTGGCTTTCAAAAAAAGAGGATTTAACAAAGCTTTCTTACGATTACATCCATGAAGGATAATAAGGAACTTTGGCTTTCAAAATTTTGGTTAAACTATTTCAATATCTATATATAAAAACCTTAATATTTACATCAAATGTTAAAAGCTACGTTAACAACAGTAGAAGTCTCTTATAGCGTTAAAACGTGTCAAAATGAACGGAAGAGAAGACTATCCCGTGAGAGTGCTAGATTCTTTAGTCCGGATCTTACAATTTTAAATTAGATGCAGTCAATCAAAAGTACAAGACGTGGTGATGACAAACAAACAAAAAGTGACGTGGATCCTAGTTAGTATATGTTTGTTTAAAACATCGAGGAAAGACATCCTTTGTTGAGCACCGGACATTTTTGCATCTCTACCACAGTTTCCATCGACTATGGATATTCCTTGTTATGATGTTTCAGGTTTGTAATCCCGTCTCAGGGTTCCGTTTATTTGTCATGCTCTGTGTATATTCCTCAGAAGATACTTATAGTCAACGCCTATCCTTGGTGGCCTGCTGTTTTCTGTGACTGTTGTTTGAGTGTCATATTATTATTTTAAGATGTTTGGTTATATAACCTGTTCTTTCACTATCATTAGTAGTATGGATTATTCTCGTATGCTGCTACTAGTCTAACATGCTTCTTTACAGGGACTAGCCATAATTGCGTTCAATAAAGATAACCTTACTTCTCGGCAGACCTTGCTTAAAATTCTCAGCTTGGGTCCGACTTTCGTAGTGATGAAGTTTTCTGAGAGTCAGTCTTAAAACCTCATACGCTTTACTTTATCTTCAGTTATTGTCATGAACTAGTGAATAAAAAGCATACACTTAATGTTAATAGGTGTTCTGGATGCTATCATGATGTTTGGTGCCTATTCCACAACAAGGCGGCTGGCTGTTGCTCGCATTTTTCTCCGTTTCATTTGGTTTGGCCTTGCTTCCGTCTTCATATGTTTCCTCTATGTGTATGTTAACATTCTTTCCTTGCACCTTTTCAGCTTTCATTGGGCATTTGCTATTTTACTTTTTTTTTTCTTTGGGGTAGCTTTTGCGTTCCCTTGTTTGATAGTTTTTTAATTTTACAGGAAATCACTTCAAGCACCGAATTCTGATTCAGTCATATTCAAGCTTTATGTGATTGTCATAGCCATATATGCTGGTGTTCAGTTCTTTTTTAGCATCCTGATGCGTATCCCAACTTGTCACAACATTGCTAATAAATGTGACCGGTTTCCTGTGATTCAATTCTTTAAGTGGATGCGCCAGGTTCGTAGTCTCATGTTTCACTTTCATTTTTTATGCTTAAGATTTGAATCATTAATTATCTCTGATGCTTAATTGATTGTATTTTCAGGAGAGGCACTATGTTGGTCGTGGCATGTATGAAAGGACATCTGATTTTATAAAGTAATCTCTTCACCTTATATTTTGCTACTTATTTAGTTATCTGTATTCTGGATGCTTCGAAAGTTGTTATAGGTATATCTAGTACTGATAATATATGGGAGGCTTACTGTAATGGTTATTAAACGGTGTTTCTGACTAGTGTAGGAGAAGCGGCAGATATACTTGTTTGATAGATACCAACGAACTTCAGCTCATATGGTCTTAATGTTTTTTTTTTTTTATCTTCAAAGGTTGTACTAATCCATTCATATAATGCAGGTACTTGCTGTTTTGGCTTGTCGTTCTGTCTGCAAAGTTCTCATTCGCGTACTTTCTTCAGGTTAGTTCTTCTAGCAGGAAGGATAATTGTGATTTGTTGATAGTTGTACTGAAGATTGTGGTTAAGCGTGAAATATATTTATGTTACATGCATATAATACTACTTATGTACCAAAAGTATTCCTTCTGTGTGTTAATCAAGAGTTTTCCGTTGTATTCAGTATAAATTCTAGTCAATTTATACAGCGAGCTCTTAGAGTTGGAAGTAAATTTATGAACGCAGGCTTACAATTAATTTTATATAGAAAGAAAAATATATATGACAATTGACCGATATGTCTCTTGATTGCGATCTCTTGTAGTCACATCCTGAAGTAATTACTCGAGAAAGATCACAAAGATGCTTTGTTTGGCAGTTAAAGTGCGACTTGAATTACTCATTTTTCTCTTTCTGATGAATTTGCAGATTGAGCCGCTTGTTGGTCCAACAAGGATTATAGTGAAACAAAATAACATTCCGTATTCCTGGCATGATTTTGTGTCGAGTAGTAAGTATTGGATTTGTAGATACTTTTTTGTTGCTAGAAGTTTTTTTGTGTATTATGTTATGTTACTTCTTTCTGGAATCGTACACCTATGCTTTTGGTTGCAGTACATGATATCAAAGCTGAACTCTAAATTAGCTCTAAATCGTCTTCCTGTAAAATTCTAATTTTTTAATATTTGTTTATCTGGATGCAGAAAACTATAATGCTCTGACTGTTGCCAGTTTATGGGCTCCTGTGGTCGCTGTAAGTTCAATGGTCTTTACTTGAGGGTTGGCACTTGTGTTGTTCTAGATTTTGTTGGCAGCACTCACTTAATCAAGAAGTTGTCTCTAGAGAGTCACTTTTACTTTGGAAGGATGTTGTTGAAAACTATTTTACCAATCTTGGTGAAGTTTGTTCTGATTAGGATGAATGTTGCCTCTGGGGGTTCACAGTTAAGTTTTCCTTAATTGTATTGTAACTTTTTACTTTTCTTTCATATAACACAGATATACCTATTAGACATCCATATATTCTACACCATTATCTCTGCTTTTTTGGGGTTCTTGCTTGGTGCGCGAGATCGTTTGGGAGAGGTAAGTGTGGTTTCAAATGTCAAAATTCAGATATTTAAAACACTGTTATTACCCTGTTTGTAAGAGGAAGGTCCTTACGTTTCTTTTCCTTTCCTTGCAATTTTCACAGATAAGATCTTTAGATGCTATTCACAAACTCTTTGAGGAATTTCCAGGGGCCTTTATGAAGGCTCTTCATGTCCCTCTTACCAATCGGTTAGGTTCCTTTCCATCTGTCGTCTAAGAACTTCATTTTTCCTGCATATCTCCCTTTTATCTTTGTTAAATACTAACATTTTCTCATTTTCATTGCCTTCCGCCGATAATTCAAAATCTTGTGCAGGACTTCTGATCCTTCTTATCAGGTAGTGAACCTTTTTTCCTCTTCTTGGTTTTGTAGCTGTTGGCCTGTTTTACATTTATGAAGCATTATTTTCCCAAATGAATTTATGTTAAAGTCTGTTCCGCCGATTCAAGGTGACTGGCATGTTAGTTTTCTTCTCATGCGTGTTGTTCATATTTACATGTGATTATCGATTCGAAGGCTGTGGATAAGAACAAATTAGATGCAGCACACTTTGCTCCATTTTGGAACCAAATAATAAAAAGTCTACGAGAGGAAGACTACATCACTGATTTGTAAGTGCTTTATGCTCTACAATAACTATGCCGTGTGCCTAATGCTCTTAACTTCTGCTTTTTAATGGTTTCGGTTTTACCAATTTTTTTTCATTTGGAACCATTTTCTAGTGAGATGGAACTGCTCCTGATGCCCAAGAATTCTAGTAGGCTCCAATTGGTTCAGTGGCCACTTTTTCTTCTTTCCAGCAAGGTGAGTTTGTTACTTTTACCTGCTTCTGTATATAAATTCAACGTTTTATTGTGGCTATCTGGCTAGCCTCATTGGTTTTCACGAAAATAGCATATGAGGTCACTTCTTAGTGAAAAATATTTTCTTGTAAACTGTAGATATTATTGGCCAAAGAGATTGCTGCTGAGAGTAATTCACAAGAGGAGATTCTGGAGAGGATTGCAAGGGATGAGTATATGAAGTATGCTGTTGAGGAAGTCTATCACACCCTTAAATTTGTCCTTACAGAAACTCTGGAAGCCGAAGGGAGGATGTGGTAAATGGATTTTTTTGCCCCTAAAATGACTTGCACAGATTTTTACTGGATAAAAGAATGATATTTATTGTGAATTTCGTAGGGTGGAAAGAATTTACGAAGACATTCAGGCCAGCATAAAGGAGAGAAATATACATCATGATTTTCAGTTGAACAAACTCTCCCTTGTTATCACGAGAGTCACTGCGCTCTTGGGAATCCTGGTATTCTCATTGCCCCTGTCAGAAATTACTTTATTGAACCGGCTCTAAATTATTATAATACTATTAATCTTCATTATCTTAAAGTTGGATGATTGTGAATTATAGTCGTCCTTACCTATTACTGGAGAAGAGTGTCATAGTTTCCTGATTGTTATCAATTGGACGAAGTTTTTTTTCTTTCTATTTTTCCCTTGGATATATTTGATTTTAAATTGTGCTCAACTCCTTTGACAGAAAGAAAATGAAACACCGGAGCACGCAAAAGGGGCCATCAAAGCACTCCAGGATCTATACGATGTTATGCGGCTTGACATATTAACTTTTAATATGAGGTACATACAAAGTTGATGATTTGGCTGTGTTTTATGCAACAACTTCTTTTCTTTGTTTGATATCTTTCCAAAACATATGTTGCTCTATGTAGAGGTCACTATGAAACGTGGAACATGCTAACTCAAGCCTGGAATGAAGGTCGGCTTTTTACAAAGTTGAAATGGCCTAAAGATCCTGAGATGGTATAATGATGATTCTTGTTCTCAAGGCTATAAGTGTACTCGTTTATTTTCTGTCAGTCTGATAATTCTCTAAAATTTGCAGAAAGCTCTCGTCAAAAGATTGTACTCTCTATTTACCATCAAAGACTCTGCAGCGCATGTTCCTAGAAATCTCGAGGCCAGACGCAGGCTGCAATTCTTCACTAATTCTCTTTTCATGGATGTGCCACCACCAAAGTCTGTCCGCAAGATGTTATCCTTCAGGTGTTTCTTACTTTATGCTTCTTTCTCCATACTTTCGTCATCTTATTCAAACAATCTGTTCGGAAGCTTATTATCTTCTTTCGGACTTTGTTTTCAGTGTCTTCACTCCATATTATTCTGAGGTTGTGCTATACAGCATGGCTGAACTCACTAAGAGAAATGAGGATGGAATATCAATCTTGTTTTACCTTCAGAAAATTTATCCAGGTATATTGGCCTTGTGAGTTCCTCAAAAATATTAGTGACTCTTGCCTTGTTGTATTTGTTTCATACTAATAAACTGTAGAGTTGCTTCTGCTATGCTTTCTGTGCTTAAGTGTGTTCCATTATGGATAGGTGCCGGAAATGTTTCTCATCGATATTTAATATTCTGCAGATGAGTGGAGAAATTTTCTAGCACGTATAGGACAGGATGAAAATGCGTTAGAAGGCGATCTAAATAATGAGAGAGACATACTTGAACTTCGATTTTGGGCTTCTTACCGTGGACAAACGTTAGCTAGAACAGGTAAAGCAAGCGAATCACTCCACCCTTTTTTCTTGACGTTACACATTATTCACTTCACGATCTCACATTGCAAGTTGCCTTTGAATACCTGCAGTTCGGGGGATGATGTATTATAGGAAAGCTCTCATGCTTCAGTCTTATCTGGAAAGAAATGCTGGAGGAGGTAAGAGGCTAAGAGCTTTATATAGATATATTTGTAAGCCAAGCTTTTTCTTATAGCTATCTGACTATTACAGACATGGAGTCCGGACTTTCTGGTAATTACACAATGGATGCTGAAGGATTTGAGTTATCTCCTGAAGCAAGGGGCCAAGCAGATTTAAAGTTTACATACGTTGTCACATGCCAAATATATGGAAGACAGAAAGAAGATCAAAAACCTGAAGCTGTTGACATTGCTTTGCTAATGCAAAGGTAAGAAGACACCTTTCTGAGTTTCTAATGCTTCTGCTATCATTCTGTTACAAATATTGTATTACCAAGCTAATCTCATTCATTCTATGGTCAGAAATGAAGCCCTTCGCATTGCTTATATCGATATTGTTGATACTCCGAAAGAGGGTAAATCTCACACAGAGTATTATTCAAAGCTTGTGAAGGCCGACATCAGTGGAAAGGATAAGGTAAACTGTGTTTATTTTTCTTGTTAACTTAATGTTTGAAACACTTCGACATGCTTTAAGTGATTGGTAAAGTGTGATTGCGCATTTTTGCCACCTTTTCCTTTTTGATCTTATTGTTTTGTTATATGGATTGGCCACTTTTTTTCTGGCTATGCAGGAAATTTACTCCATAAAGTTGCCTGGGGACCCGAAACTTGGTGAAGGCAAACCTGAGAATCAAAACCATGCCATTGTGTTTACACGCGGAAATGCAATCCAAACTATTGATATGAATCAGGTTAGTGTGCAATTATCTTATCTTCTCTGCATCTTTTTGTTTTAAGTGCTTTCTTTTGAGATCTTGTGAGGGTTTGTTATTGCTAAGTTTCTCCGGAAATTCAGTTTAGTAAATTAGGTATATACGGGCTTTGTAAAGAGTATTAAGAATAACAGTTTCAAAGTGTACACGTTTAAAAATTAAAAAAAAAAAATAGGAGCTGAGAACAACATTGCTTCATAGCTCATGTACATATCTATAATCTAGCTGAATCATCTGACTGTAAAAGATCCAGCTTAAACTTATCATATGTTGCTGTAGTTTAACTTGGTGAAACGCGCATTATCCAAACCTTGTCCATGTAGATTGGATGTTTATGAAAACCGAAGTAGTCACTATGTGAGTTTTCACTTGAGCAAAATTTAAGCTTGTGCCATAATTAAATTTTACAAAACATCACTTTCCTTAGACCCAAGTGAAAATTTTGCCAAATGTAATCAGACGCATAATTTTGTCGAAGTTTATCCATTCTGGAGTTCACTAACAATGAGTGGTTCTTAACCTTGTAGTATTTAAGTTTGAAGTTCAAAATTAAACACAGAAATTTAGAGTAGAAATACTGCATTTTCTTTCAATAACAGAGAATCATTCTTAAATGAAAAGCACATATTGATATCATTTTGAGATTGGAGTTGGACATCTCATCACATGTAAATGTACCGGAATCTTCTATCATTTGTGCATGCCTGCTTTACATTCTTTACGTTTCTATAGAGCTAAATGCATCTCCAACCTTTAGCATCATGTTATTTATATATTTTTGTTACTTGTTAGGATAATTATTTTGAAGAAGCCTTGAAGATGAGAAATCTTTTGGAGGAATTTGATCGGGACCATGGAATTCGACCTCCCACCATTCTTGGAGTTAGGGAACATGTATTTACTGGAAGGTGGGAACCAGACATTTATAAATCTGTTTTCTTATTTTTACATATATCGCTTACGTAATTGTTTGCGACACAATATGCAGTGTCTCGTCCTTGGCCTCTTTCATGTCCAATCAAGAAACCAGCTTTGTAACTCTTGGTCAACGAGTATTGGCGAAACCATTAAAGTAAGCTACTACAATAAGTTTTATTTTCCCTGAACAACTTGAATAATTTGGAATCCTGATTCTATCATTTCCGAATTCTAGGATCCGCATGCATTATGGTCATCCAGATGTCTTTGACAGAGTTTTCCATATTACACGTGGTGGTATCAGCAAGGCCTCTCGGATTATCAATATTAGTGAAGATATTTTTGCTGGTAAAATCCGATTTGTTAATTGATAGTTACCTTCAAATGTGTTCCGTGTTGCCAGACAATTAAAGCATACTACTATGCTAAGCCATCGTATATTCAATTTCTTCCACACTTGATTAATGTTGATCCTATAATGCTATGATTTTCAGGTTTTAACACAACTCTACGTCAAGGGAATGTTACTCATCATGAGTATATTCAGGTCCGTACTTTTCAAAACTTAACAATTAAAAGGATAAAAAATGTATATGCACTAATTTTATTTACAGGTTGGCAAAGGGCGAGATGTGGGGCTCAATCAAATAGCTCTATTTGAAGGGAAGGTTGCTGGTGGGAATGGTGAACAGGTTCTTAGTCGGGATGTATACAGACTTGGCCAGCTCCTTGATTTCTTTCGAATGATGTCATTCTACTTTACAACTGTTGGGTTCTACTTCTGTACGATGGTATGTGGACCCTCAAATGAGTCATAGTGATTTTATTCGCGTCTCACCATGGTTTCTCATTTTTCCTCCATATCAATACTTAGCTGTCAAGTTTATAAAAGAAGTTTACGACAAGTCTTGAAATTCTATTGGTCACTTTCTTCAAGTTTTTCTAAGTATGGTTTCTAGGACTAGTGCTGATATTTTGACATTTTCATGGCCTCTTGCAGCTGACGGTGCTTACAGTGTATATTTTCTTATATGGGAGGGCATATCTGGTAAGCATAGTTACCTATGTTGGTTATGACGCATGTGCTATCTTCATGACTGACTATTGACCGATTTATTCTTGCATATTACCTATGATACTTGGTGTTTCATATTTTATAGGCACTTTCTGGAGTTGGAGCTACTATTCGAGAAAGAGCTATTCTTCTGGACGATACTGCACTTAGTGCCGCCCTGAATGCTCAGTTTCTGTTGCAAATTGGTGTCTTCACTGCTGTGCCAATGGTTTTGGGCTTTATTTTGGAACAGGGTTTTCTCCAGGTACTGGTTTTCCACCATTTTTGTCATATCATAATGTTATGCAATATCTTCTTAAGGATCTTCTTTAACCGTCTTTTATTGTGTAGGCCATTGTCAGTTTCGTAACAATGCAATTTCAGCTATGTACTGTCTTCTTCACATTTTCCCTTGGCACAAGAACCCATTATTTTGGACGGACAATTCTCCATGGTGGTGCAAGGGTATATTCTTATCCTTGGGAACTTAAACCGTTCTATATTGTCTGGAATCTGATAAACAATGTCTTTCAACAGTACCAAGCCACTGGAAGAGGCTTTGTCGTCAAGCATATCAAATTCTCTGAAAACTACCGGCTTTATTCCAGAAGTCATTTTGTCAAAGCGTAATCTCCTTATACTCTTTGTTTCCTATGTACATGCATTTCTTTCGTATACTTGTTTAGCCATAGTTAAGGATGGAATATTCACTGATATGCTTTACATGTATTTATTCCATCTCTAGGATGGAGGTTATTCTCTTATTGGTTGTCTACCTTGCGTATGGCAATGATGAGGCTGGTGCAGTTTCCTACATTCTTCTGACCGTTAGCAGCTGGTTTCTGGCTGCTTCTTGGCTTTTTGCTCCCTACCTGTTCAACCCTGCCGGATTTGAGTGGCAAAAGTGAGTAGTGCTATCTTATTTTGTATCGTGTTAAGTAACATGTTTTCTCACTGAGCAAGATTTGTTTTCTCCTTTCAGAGTCGTGGAAGACTTCAAAGAATGGACAAACTGGCTCTTTTACAGAGGTGGAATTGGTGTGAAAGGAGCTGAAAGCTGGGAAGCATGGTGGGAAGAAGAACTGGTAAGAACTCCATTTATCCAAACTCTGCTGTTTGATTGCCTATGGTGCTTTGCTTCTTTGTTATACTGCCTTCTCGTCAGCCACAATCCAAAGTTTTCAAATAGGTCTTATGAATTTTTCACCTTATCTAACTATATGTGTGCTTCCAACAGTCTCACATCCGGACCTTGAGCGGGAGGATAATGGAGACTGTTTTAAGTCTACGGTTCTTCATCTTCCAGTATGGAATTGTCTACAAACTGGACCTACAAGGATCAGACACATCACTTGCGGTAACAGCATTTCCCTTCGTTTACTGCTCCTATATGATCTTTTGCTTTGAACACTGCCTAATAATAGCATTTACACATGTGCAGATTTATGGTTGGTCCTGGGCTGCATTGGCGATAATTATAGTTCTCTTCAAGGTTGGTTAATCTTTTATCACAGCTTCATTTTCTTAAAACTTTGTCTTCTGACTAAATTGCATTACATGATCTGAGATATCTCCAATGTTTTCTTTGAAATAGGTCTTTACCTTCAGCCAGAAGATATCTGTCAACTTCCAGCTTGTGCTGAGGTTTATACAAGGCCTGGTCTTGTTGGTGGCTCTAGCTGGGATAGTCGTAGCAGTTGTACTCACAAATCTGTCAGTGGTGGACATATTCGCTTGCGTACTGGCGTTTATACCGACAGGATGGGGAATCCTCTCTGTAAGTTTTGAGCTCTTTCTCACCTCAGATACCTTCTTCTCTCTCTAATCTCTGCAGAGTCCAATCTAACGAAGTAATCCTCTCTTGTTGTAGATTGCTTGTGCTTGGAAGCCGATCGTGAAGCGAATCGGAATGTGGAAATCGATCCGTTCCCTAGCGAGACTGTATGATGCAGGAATGGGAATGCTCATATTCCTTCCCGTTGCGCTCTGCTCCTGGTTCCCTTTCGTCTCCACTTTCCAGACACGTATGATGTTTAACCAGGCGTTTAGTCGTGGTCTGGAGATCTCTCTCATCCTCGCAGGAAACAATCCCAACTCTGGACTTTGAAATTTCCATTAGCTTATCTATGCGTTGTTTTAACTTGTGTGTCTGTTTCACTAGTGTTATGAATTCTGAGTGTAGTTGTAGAAAATGATGAGAGCCTATATGTAATTTTTAGGCAATTTTTAGACTTCTGTAATATTATTTATTTGTAGATTCAGATACATTGCAAGTAAGTCAGATTAAATGTTCTTTTTCTTTCTTCTCACAACGTAGCTGTGTTCCAACATTTGGGCAATAGAGTGTCTGACCGATATTGCTAAAACTAGTGAATCATTTGGATGTGTTGGTATCTTTTTTCTTAGGGATACAATTGATCTTATTGCATTGAGGGTGTTCGATTGAAATTTTTAGATTTGTCACAAAAGATCTGTTGTATAAAGTAGTTTGGGTGCCATCAAACAAAAATGAAATAAATAAACTTGGCCCAAATTGAAGCCCATTGAACCTAAAGCAGAAGAAGGCCCATTTAAATGGAAATAATCTCTGGCGAAGGCAGAAGGTTCTCGTCGGCAGGTCAGAAACTCTACAAAGCTCAAAGGTACCGTTGGAAGAAGGTCGGAGAAAATTCAGCTGAACTCCAGAATCTCTTATCAGAGAGTGATGGTGGGAGAAGAAGGTCGGAGAAAGATGATCAGACTTTTTTGTCCCTCAGCATCGAAGATTATCGACTGGGTTGCTTGGAACGATCAGAAACTGGACTTTAAAGCCATAGCCGCAGCGTTTGAGCTCGAACCGTCGACGGTGAAGCTCAATGGTCACTTCATAAGCAGAGGTATTGATCTACTCGCCACTTGCGTGACGTGGCAGTCTCTGCTCGCTTTCTTCTCAGCTAGAGGCTTCTCAACTGGGGAAGACGAGTCCGGTGCTCTCTTCGTCGACGGCAAGCTCTGTAAAGTCGGTACCAAAAGTGAGTTTCTCTAATTTGTTTCCTTCCTGTTTAGCTTCCCGATTTTATTATAGGCAAATTCAAGAAATTTTGAATTTACCCTTTTCTAGGAGCACACTCTGATCCTCAAGAGGATATAACCTGCAACGATCTTGGTCTAATCAGAAACAAAAAGTTGAAAGACAAGTGTTCAGGTATGGGAATTTTTTATCTCATACCAAGTAGTTTTGAATATTTGTCTGCTTCTGAGTTTAATCTGAGTTTTCATTCTCATCAGTTGAGGAACCTCTTGTCTCTGGAGGCAACAAGAGAAAGCTATTGTCTGAAGATAGGCACTCTCTCAAGAAACTTAAACTCAGCATGGGTGATAGCTGTGGTAAATATGTTGCAGGAAGACAAGGTGGAAACAGCAAAACGCCATTGAAATGCAGTTTCATTAGTGATGGTTTGAAGAGGACAAGAGAAGATGAGATGATTGTTACTTCAGCTTGTAAGAGGACGAGATGAGAGAGTGCCAATGTAGATATAGAGAAGTCTATAACAGTTTTTGTCTCTAAAAGTATTTGACTAAAAATCGAAATGCAAAATTTCAACTCTTAATTGCAAATCTTAGGGTCCAAAATTACCTTGTTGATACATATGGTACAGCTGATGTCTCCTAAAACTGGACTAGAAATCATTTTTTCCCATTTGGAATTACAGTTTTCGTGTAACCAATGATTACGTTTACATTGTTTCCTTTCATTTTTTGTGTCAGTCGGATGTGACTCATTACTTTCTCTCTCTTTTTGTTGGAAAGTTGTGTTGCTATCATTTTAGTGTTTTTGAGATCAGTTTAATTTTAGAGTTTGACGATGAGAAAATAAGTCTTATGAGTGATGATGGTCTCTGTAATTGTTTTTGTCTTTAAAGTATCCATCTGACATGCAAAAACCAAACTCTCTTTAACTG